TCCATGGAGCCCATAGCGCTGGTGGGTTGTTGGATGTTGTGGGAATCTCCTGTTATGGACTCCTGGTTCCATGACTTAAACGGACGTGGTGACGATGCAGAGAGATAGCTATCGTCTTTGGAGGTAATATGCGCCTGAGCTGGTCGCGACAGGAAAACAGGATATGGTGGCCTTCTTCCATTATCACTAACAGCCAGCGTTGTCTGTTTGTTTGTATTTGCGTCGATACTCTGATTACCAGCGTTTGTTTGGCTTTGTAGTTGAGATGGTAGTGAAAGCGCCTGTTCTAGTGTAGATTTGTACGCTATAACTTTTTGCACGTCTTGTTCCGGATGCGCTTGTTTCTGTTCCTGCTTCTCTCCGATTGTTCGTTCGGCTCCATCATGTTCAACTTCCTGCCGATCCCTGCGAGCGATCTCACGCGTCTCATGTCTATGATACCAGCCCCAAGCGATGTCCCAGCAAAACATGACGAAAGCAGCTGGCAAGGTCACCCAAAATACCGGATATTCACCGCCACTCTGGTTCACAGTGTTGATTGTCAGCACGGTGATAAGTGTCGCAGCCATGATGACAGCACTAAAAGCCGCACCTCCTTTGTCCAGGAAAGGATTCATTATCTCCTCAAGAGAGAGGAGGTTGCTTTGTTCATCGTCCACCACACTATTCTGCTGTTTCCCAGACTTCCCCCCGGTGTAAGGAATGTTGGGATTTACGGGCTTCTTGGCCTTCGCTTCTTCGGAGAGCTCATGCATCTTGATCGACGACGGGATGAGTGATTCGTCCGCGAACACCACGTAGAGCAAGAAAGGGAACAGAATTGCAGCCGTGATAACGACAGGAACGACCATGTTTGCAGTGTATTTGAGGAACTTGACATTGAAAGCCCCAGCAAGCACGAGATTAGTCGGATTGGAAGAGACCAGAATGGCTGACGCAATGTTGGCCACAGCGAACTGGGTGTAGATCCATGCTCTTGGATGGACAATGTTGCTCGAGGCTCGGGTCATGTAGGCGAGAAACGGGGTGCCGGATAAGATAATTGGGTCGTTCCCAATAAAAGTGCCCAGGCCAAAGAAGAAAGAATAGAGGTAAAAGAAGAGCCTGTGTCCAGCCTTCCCTCCTTTCTGGAGCACCTTGAACGCCAAGTACCTGATGAGTCCTGAGGCGTCGATGGACATAGCAATATATGCTAAAGTGATGAAGAAAATCATGATATCGATTGGAGAGATATTATTCGCTCCGATTGTGCCATCGTGCACTTCGTCTCGGCCAATTGCTCCAATGGCAAGCAGGAGGAGATCCGCTATCAAAGGTGCTGTTACAAAGTTCAGGGGAAAGTTTAGTCGTAGGAAGTGTCCAGCTTTTCCATCCTGGTCATTCTCGGCATCATTTTGAGAACGGTCTTCCTTTGGAGGTATTACTCGCAAGGCACTTAGAGTATCTCGGACTGCGTTAGAAACATGTCGCGGTACATAGATCGGGATACGAAACGGAAACAAAACAACAATATCTGTGCGGGAAGCATTAATCGCGGGGAACATGGTTCCAAGCATATACTGCACTTACTTGTAAAGATGAAAACGATGAGTGTGACGATTGATCGCCAATCTTTGATCTGACTAGTATCTAGACCTGGCATTTTGGGCCACCTCTCTGTCACAGAGACATCACGACTGATCTAGCTTGGTCAATGCCTAAATCTTTCAAGAGATGATACACCTGCTGCTGTGGCCAATCTAGTAACTCCTAGGAAAAAATTTTGGGCCAGCTCTCCAAGTTGTAAATGGTGAGGACTCTAGTCCCTCAACCAAGCTCAGCAATATTCTGCCTCATCAGGCACTGTTCCGAATCACAACCTCTTCGGGTCATGGTTAAGAATTTTGGTCACCTAGTATGTGCTCTTGAAAGAAACATAACTAGCTTTTCCTCAATTTGCCAATTGCCCAACTCGTATCAGAAGTGTGCTTTGCCGACAGCCGGCATTATTGTGGGTCTGGTCAACCCCCATATGCAAGTTAGCTAGTTGACGAGCCCAAGACCGCCGGGTGATGTGGAAACGAAATTCGTGAAAAGTTGGGGGGGGGGGGGGGGGGTTATATAAGCAGGTAATCTGTTGAACTTACAACCGGGATCCAATACCCGATGCTTTACAAACCCCACTAAAATGGCCCTCGCTAATCTAGTACAATGCCAATACTTGATTATATCAGCGGATCAAACCGCCGCTACTTGCGCCTGCTTCAATTGCCCTTTTGGACCATAAACACCTCTTTGTCTCTTCAGTTACTGATTGTTGTTTGGCTAGAGGATTGTTGGCCGGAGGAAATTTTATGGAATACACCCTTTAGCTCATCTTCAGTACTGAAGTTGTTATAGCACAGTTGACCCTGCTATTCACAAACTCCATATCTAACTATTCCTCTGTGCAAGTGCCGTTGGCGCTTGTTGCACTGCTCAGTCTCTGCTTGATCTTCCCAGCAAAGCCCTTGTTGTACCTGGGAATAGAGTGTTCATGTAAAGCCTATCAGGCGTATCTCGCAAAATGGCAGCGCCCCTTGACAGTGGAAGCAGCGCTATCCCCCAGAAATCTTCTGAAAGCTTGGAGGAATCCCAGCCAAATGTTCCTAACACAGCACCCGATGACTGGGATTCTGAGAGAAGATTGGTCTTAGCTCTAGCGCAGCTACAGGAAATGGAAACCAAGGTTGGTATATACTCGCTGACGACCTTCAACCCCTTCTTATGTCACATCCTAAAACATGGGCCCCTTCTTTCTTTTTCTTTGCTACGTTCTCTGTATTGATGAGCATTAGATCCAAAAACTTCGAACCCTTGTTCCTACTCGGCTATGGTCTCCATTGGTCCCCGTGATTGCCGAAAAGAAGGGAGACATCCGCCTTCCGAGGCCAAAATCTCCGCAGGAACTGTTTGATCAATTGGGCCAGGCTGCACGCGAGGGAAATGAAGAGATAGAGGCGTTTAAAGCTGCGTGGCGGAGCCCGGAGATGCAGGCAACCTGGGATCACGTTAACGAAAAGATCAAGGAGAGCGGCGGAAACTATCCACGAGGTATAGGGATGTGGCAACGAGATTATAATGTAATTCTCAAGCAACTTGACGCAGAAGTGGAAAACAAGAAAGAGGAGGAAGAGAGAAAAGAGCGTGAAGAAGAAGAAATCAAACTCCTTGCGTCGATCGGCAATGGTTGGAGAGGTATTGTCGAGTCCTTCGCCACTAACGAAGCGTCCGGTCTGGCCATTAAAGTCATCCCATCCCCTGATAATACTGGCCAATTTTCCATACTGCTACGAAATGTGTCATTGTTTTTCTTCGTTCAGCAGGTTAACGATATTGACGGTCAGCGAGTCCAAGAGTGGCGTGTTACTATGGAACCCCGAGCACATGCAACAAAGCTAGGGCAGGACATATTCGATTGCATTCAATCTCGGGATAGGAAATGGGATTTGAAATATCTTCTGGTAAGTTTCGAATGCTCATTGTGATGATGACTTTTGTTAAATTGTACACTGCAGAATTTTATTTCATCCTATTCCAACATCAAGGCGGCCCCATGCATCGGTTGCAATAGTTTGATCGACAGCAAGGCTCAACTACCAGTTATTCGGAAGCCCAAATTGGTGAGATCCTCAGAATCTGGTAGTGTATTCGTATGGGAGCCCTTCCATCCTGCTTGCGTCTGAGCGTCCCACGCTTCTTCCAACTCGACTATCGTCGGCGATCCTGGTCAAATCCACCAATGTTCCAAAGTCGGATGCAAAGCCCTCACTCCATGTGCGTCCCAGAATGCCAAGGGTTCTCTGACATATGCGAGCGTTTGGTCATCTGGATAACATACGTAACTCCAAGTGGCGGCATCTGGAATTTTGTATTTTCTAGTTCTAAAATCATATCTTTGCAGACCCCGGTCACAGCATTTGAAAAGCGGTGGGAGTGTTGAATCGTCGCTGTCGACTCCATAAATATCCTGCCAGCGAGCCCAGCGTGGCGTTCTCGGACCCTTTTTAGGGCCATCGAGGTTTCCCACGAATATGTCCGGCCCTTTGTTCGTAAGAACGTCTTTAAAGCGTCTTCCACATGGCCATTTCAGTGGATTCCCTGGCAAAGGATCTTTGGGCCAGATCCAGCCTTTCTGTCTCTTCATTATTTTTGTGAGAACTCAGTATGCGAAAATATAGGGTTTAGCGTGTTATGGGTTTGATGGGTTTTGAAGATTTTATGGCTTTTCACGGCCAATGCATATCATGGATATGAAAGATTCAGAACTTCTCCATTATGAGAATTACAGAATCCCCAATGCATTCTCAAATGGCCTTTTGTATCCATTCACCTGATTTCATGGGATGCATTCTGTGGTTTGTGGTTCTATGTTTACATTTTATTTTCTTGTTTAAGCAATCGTCAAACTTCAAGAGGACAAACATATTTGAGCTTGTGAATTAATCCATCCAGGGACATGTTTACCACTCAAAATGTCTTGAGATGCTACTGTGATAATTTTGGGTGCACTAGACAAACAATGTCAGGGGGTTTGAACGAAGAAATGATCGTGGCCCAATTATCCAAATGCGCTAGATAACTATCAGGGCTACAACTATTGTATGGGTGTTGAATCCTCAAAGAAACGCTGAACAGAGACAAAAATTTTTGTTGTCACAGCTATGGTAGAGGTAGTCGGGGGCTTAATGGCCACTTTATTTACGAGTTCATCCGTCGGAGGCACCATTATGGAGGGGGATTCGCTTGGTATTGATGCGAGCAACAAGCTGCAGTCCTCCGTGGCACCTTGTTTGCTTTCAATGGATGTGGATATACCCTTTCGTGTGTAACGCTTCTCTAACTTCTTTCGGGATAAGTATCGACACCTTGCCTTTGCCCAGAAACTGCGGGTAAAACTTGCTCCAAAAGTATCGCTGATGTGAAGACCAATTGGTACTTTACCCAAGAACTGGATGGAAGACCAGGGCTAGACTCCGGGCTTAAGAACGACGTGCCTTGAGATAGATATGAGTTGACAATAGCTGATAGACGCTCGCAAATTCGGGGTCTGCTGCTTTCGGTTCGGAAGCAGGGGAATTGGTTTGCTTGACTTCCACCATAGTTATTTGGGGTAATATGTTCAGGTTGGGAAGAATGAAGTAAATGTAAATTTCTTGGTGAACAACTCCAAGTCGATTCAACGTATCTTGCTTGACCTTGCTGCACATCTTTCCAGATGGTGGGAGGTATGCTTGATGCAGAGCGAGGGAACCGATGATTGTTACGATGCCGGAACCTGTAGAGGTCGTAGTACCCGATTTTAGTTACCAGGTACACCTGGGACTCCCTTCGGGATCGCAGGCGGGGTCCAGGCAGCGATAGCAGGGCAAAGACCGATTATATCACACACCCATATAGAAGTGCAAGGTAGATTAACCAATGCAGACATTATATTTTTGCCCTTTGGTGACATAGCCGCTTAAAAGCAGGAAAGAAATGAGATCTTTGAGCCAACAGAATCCCCAAGTAACTCCGTAGAAACATGAATAAGTTCCCCAAACAAATATATGCTTTCCAAGAGTGCCCAGGTACAAACAAGAGATGAAGGGGGAAAAAAGGATTATGCTGTAAATGTGAACACACTGGACCCTCAAATTGCACAGGAAGTGCAAAGAACATTCATCACGGCGATTATTATATGGTAAGCAAACGAAAAGTGGAACGAAAGCAGTTCAAACATAAGATGGTAAAGTGTGCATGAGAAAAGCAAAATGTATCATTAACAAGAACATAATTGAAAAGAAAATTTTGAGGCCTATTTTTTAGTGAAAAGAAATGGATGGAGATTTCAAGCAAATAAACCGAAGCCACTAGCAAACCAGCTAAACGAGCAAATGGTAATGACGATCATTCCGAACATAAAAAAGAAAGCCTGTTGCTGGGTTTCAGATACGGCAGCATTATTGAGACAAGTTACACATTCAGATTCTGTTGTGACATGCTAATTAGTATTCCTTTTTGTCCAAGGAGAGGAGTGAATGATGTGGAGGCCTAACATACTGCTTAGAGGAGTATACTCCTGGGGTTTGTACACCCCAAACCTGAACGTAGGTTGAGCTCCTAGCTGACCAGGACCGGGGAGGTCCGATGGGCCAACCTCGACATCGTAGACGAGGAGAGTGTAGATTTCAGTCAAGAGAGGAACATCTGTTTTGTTGGTGTTCCAAGTCACCATACCGGTCTCCGCAAAACTTTGATTGGCCGCGATTGTGTAGGCGTGCTTGTTCCTGCTGCAATATGCCACGACATCGACGGCAGATGGAGTGATCTTAACGGATGTATAGTTCCACGCGAACGTAGCGTAGTCACCAATCTTGATGTAGGTGCTACCGTCGAGGGGTGCTGGGGTTATCAATTTGATGCCGCCAGGTGGAAGGCGCGGATCGACAGAGGTGACTTTGGGCTTGGTGGTCTTTGTTCCCGTAGATTTGGCGTCGGTTCCGGTCTCAGCATCAGTCTTGGTGCCAGTCTCTGATGGAGAGTCTGTGTTAGTTCCCGTGCGTTCAGGAGTGCGTGTGTTGGTCCCTGTGGGATCAGTTGACCCGGTCGGCTCGGGGGCTTCTGTGATTGTTTCTAATACTGGTCAGTAAGGGGTATGCGGACGCGCTAACACACGAGTCTTTATGTCAATGTCACTCAACTAACCTGAATCCTGCCGTTTCGCAAAGCCATTATTGGGATATCTTCTTTCCGGAGGATAAGAAGCTGCAACAGACGACACCAACACCAGGAGCGAGCATATTAATAATATAAAGCTGAAGGTTCTCATTTTGCTAGTGACCGATATCGCCCAAAACCGAGCACAAGGTTGTGGCTCGTAGCAACGGCTGGTAAACCACCTTTCAACCGTTCCTAACTATTACTTGTCTCGTCAACCCAGGTAACAATACTGTCGTGGGAGCTTGTCAACTGCTGGCCGTGGATGTGGTAGGTTTTGACAAAGACTCCTGATCAGCAACTCAAGGCTTCGGGGCCAAAATTCCACTAAAAATAAGGCTAATCCTAGCCAGAATCCGTTGCAATAGTTATAGCGGAAGAGAATCGACAATCTTTCCAACTTTTCCTCAAGTCGTTGCCGTGTAAGCGGAGAGGGGCGAACGTCCTTGGGCAAGTGGCTGACGTCGAAGATCCACAGCGGACACAGCGAGCGAATGTACAAAGGGAAGAGGACGGTAAGACAAATTTCTCTCTATCCCCCAGTGACAGATAAAACGAGCGATCTCAGCGGAAAAAGAGTGTACAGCTGAGGAGAGAAAGTGTGTTTCTGTTGATGGAAAAAGAGAGTCGTCACGGGTGAGACATCAGACATCCATTACGGGACAATACAACTAAACCAGCCACAGGCCCTGTAAATTACAAGATATTATGCCATCAAGGCCTGGCGCTCCGAGTTTTAGCGCTTCTGGTTTGTTTCACTCTTCGGCTGCACTTCACTTGAACAAACTGTCTTGCTGAGGATCTGATGATGATCCGGCATTGTTTCATACATTATCCTTGCTGTCATGTATTCCGTACCACAGCGTTCACATAAGCCGTGAGAGCACACCTCAACTTAGGAGACCCAAAAAATGTTGTCTGCCAGCAACCGGTCTCCCAGAACATCATCCCGATCAGACATTTTCCACCCTCAAATCTGTCATCCAACAGGAGCTGGGATATGACGTCTCGTTTCGAGCACTGGGTACCCAGAAGAGTTGGGGAAGACCGTGCCACCAATCGCATACTAATCAGCAGATCAACTGTGAGCGTTTACCGGCCTGGCAAGAAGGGGACTCCAAGTCGCTAGGGTGCATTCCTTTGGGGAAATTCTTACCTAGCCATCCACGAAACTCATCGTCGTCTCGCCATAACAGCCGGTCGCCATCAAGGAAGAACCCGTCGGTTGTGTCGCCGGCCCTAATCTGGACATTTGCCCATTCTATTTCAGATCATAAGCGACTTGAACTGACCTTTCAAATACGCCATATTTCGGGGAAATTCAATGCAGATAGCTTACGAGAATATTTCGGCGCGTTCAAAACCATTCCCCATGATATTTCCGACTCACTGCTAATCATTTGATTTGACCCGCTCAAGAATCCCTTGCTTGCACGCTCCACGTCCGGAACAAGAACCGCATCCGAGGCACCAGCTTGGATGTGATATGAAGACAGATATTGGCCGTTGGAGTCGCGGATATAATACTCCCTTGCCCCTTCCGGTGCTGGCAAAGCGGCGGATAGCATGGACAAGATGAGAAGTAGAAAGATCTGTGCGAACATGGCGACGAATAGTGAATTTGCAGGGGATCTGGCAGAGATGCGTGGATAACTAAAGTGGATACGAGTGTGTGACTGCTCTAAGGCGTAGAGGAGAGAAGTTTCCTTTCAGCGAAGATGGTGACTGCAGCACCTTTATATAAAATCCAAGGCAAACATACAAACTAGTCTCGACGGCATGCCAGATTGGCGACAGATTGAGTGTGCGATGCGGAGCGACTTTTTTAGCTGCCACTGTTGGAGTACTCCATACTTCCAGCGGCATGGTTGATCATACGTAAAGGGTGTATATGTACGCAACCGCCACATGTATAACACCTACGGACTGTCCAAGGAAGCACAAGGGTCTCAGCTTGAATCATGGTGTAGCAGCTCATTTCAAGATTTCGCGTGAGGTCGACTCAAGATGCTCGAGTGAGATTATCGGATACCTGTGGTATCAGGGTATTCTCAATTTGACTGAACGCATGTCTACACATTTATATGCATGTACTCAGTACGTATGTATGTATATACACTTCACAATGTAATGGTTTCACCCATGCAGAACGCTCTATTTCCTTGCATACTCGGGCCTCAGCACCCATTTTCCTCTTCCTTGCCGACCAGTCTTTTCGAGAACCGCAATCGTCCTTAGGATTTCCTTGAACTCGGCCGTTGCCCTCGGCGAATCGCAGAATCTATTAAAATGATCGACCAGCATCTGTGTATACACCGCTCCTCCTTGGGCAGTGATGTAGTCCCGGATCATGACCATGAAATCTTTACCTCGAGGGGTGCTTGTACCCGATCGCGCTGGACTGTTTCGTCCGGAAGACGAATGTTGTCCGGTGGTACGATTGGTCAGGTTTGCGATGATGCTGGCGGATGACGGACCGTGCATTGTCCTGCGTGCTACACTGCCACCTCCGCCTGCGTAGACTGGCATTGTTCCCCGCGGCGCAGTAGGATCTACTGGTCGACCTGCAGTGCCGAATTGGCCGGTCCATGTAGGAGTTCCCACTGGCACGGTTCTGGCAACCTCTTGAGCTTTAAGGAGTTCTTTTGCTGCTTCTGCGGCAACACGTTTGGCTTCCGCTTCGATTATTTTGGGGTCGGCTTTGACACTGCGCTTTCTGCCATTGAAGATTTGTTCGTGTTCGAGAGCAGAGTGGACGCCTGAACGCGCGAAGATGGTCTCCATTAAGCGTGCATCCGAATGTGATGCAGCTGTCCGCTTAGTCTCCCCGTCGGTTTCAGTCGGTGTCCCGGTAGCCGACTGATATTGTTCTAAAGCTGCCACACCAGTAACCTTGCTAATTTTATCTTTCTCTTTGCGCTCTTCTTCTACCTTTGATTCTTTGGTGCCTTTTTCGTGCTTGCTATTCTCTTGGAATGTGACACCGGCTTCTTGGAACATCTTACTAGTCTCAGTAGGACCGTTGTCACCAAGAGTAAACAAGTCGTGAAGGTCGCTCATTTGGAATGTCTGACGCTGCTTGGGATCTTTTAAGATCTTATTCGTCAGGAACTGCTTGAATATCTGTCGGTGATATATCTTCTCCTCAATAGTCCCAGCAGTCATCAGCCTATATATTGTTACCTCGCGCTTCTGGCCCAATCTCCATGCTCTTTCGCGTGCTTGCAAATCAGTTGAAGGGTTCCAATCAGGATCGTAAATGATGACCCTGTCTGCGCCTGTTAGATTGACACCAAGCCCTCCAACTTTTGTAGTCAACAAAAACACATGGATATCAGGGTCATTGTTAAATTCATCCACCATTCCTTGACGAACTTTTATGGGAGTATTGCCATCCATACGTCGGTAATTAAATCCAGTCAATGATTTGATAAACTTCTCTAGGATATCCAGCATAATACGATGCTGAGCAAAGAGAAGGGTCTTGTGACCGGTATCTCTCCATAGCTCAAGCAGAGCTTTCACAACCTGCATTTTGCCAGATTTGGCACTATTTCCATAATTGTAGTTGGCTTTCTGGGATAAGGTTTTGTGCTCAGGGAGATCAGGGTGATTGCAAATTTTGCGGAGGATGTCAACACCGAACAGAACATCTCTCCGTCCTCTCATAATAGCCGACATCTCGTTGGAACTGAGAAAGGCTTCGTAAGCGGCTCTTTGCAGCTTCGTAAGTTTGCAAAAGAGTACTTGCTCTGTTTTCTTTGGCAGATCTGCTGCAACATCGATTTTAAAGCGCTGAAGGAGATAGGGACTGATTGCATCTTTGAGGGTCTCTGCACATTTAGCTGCCGTCTGCACCTGCAAATTTGATGCATTGGCATACCCTCCCGCCCGGATAGGAAACTCGAACTGGTTACGGAAATTCACCAACGTCCCTAACCTCATCGGGAAAACAAAGTCAAATAGCGACCAGAGTTCGGTCAAGTTGTTTTGCATCGGGGTTCCAGAGAGTATAAGTCGGTGAGGTGTGCGTAGTTCTTTACAATGTATTGTAATTGCTGTGTCCGGATTGCGAATTTTATGACCTTCGTCAAGGATCGCGCAGCCCCAATCAACGGGGATCAATAGAGATGTGTAGGTTTGCAGACCCGCATAGGTGGTTACAAGGACATGGCCGTCCTCAAGAACGCGCTTCAATATTCTTTTCGCTGCCTTTTGACCGCCCGACATCCGCGTTGGGCGATAAGGGTCCCAGATTTCAGAAGTTAACGTATCCTCTGCACGGCTTTCCTTTTTGATGTTGATCATACCACTTCCAGAAGTATGCAAAATTGAGACGCGTAGTGGAGGCCACCAACGGTGGAACTCATTTACCCATTGCTTCATCACCGTTGGTGGGCAGACAACGATTATAGGGGCGTCGAGTTTCTTGCTGTAGTGCAGTCCGGCAAGAAAAGCGATGACCTGGATAGTCTTTCCAAGGCCCATTTCGTCGCCGATGATTCCACCGACACGCTGTTGGTACAGTTCCCAGAGCCACTGGACACCTGTTTTCTGGTAGTCGAAAAGATACGGATAAATGTCACCCGGTATTCGATATCCACCATCCAGCACTGAATCAGGGACCTTTGGATGCGGTAAGAACCACTCGTCGGCGGAGTCCTCTTGATCAGGATCCCTGACATCCTCTTCATGACCAGATCGCGCCCGATTTCGAGCTTCAGACCTTCGTGAGACCCAGTCATGGAGGCGAGTCTGGTAGACTTTCTCGTTCCCATCATCCACTCCGTGAAGGTCTTCCACGACACTTTTCGTACTTTTAGCCGGTTTTGTCTTTATGGGCCTCGTTGTTGACATGTCCGACGATTCTCCCCATTCTTCCTCGGTGGATTCCGCCAATGGCCCGGAATCGATGTATTCGTCGTCGGATTCCAAGGCAGGCAATCTCGACGTCCTAGATCTTGACCTCGTAAGGTTGGCATCACTGCCATCCGCAGGGATATCATTGATCAATCGTCGACGTTTTTGCGGGCGGGGTCCCACGATTTCATGGGTTTCACTATCAGTCAGTTCGTCATAGTCAAAACCGGGGCGAAGAAGGTGCCGGTGAGACGCGGCCTGCTGACCACCCAAATCCTCAAGCGCCAGCTCTTCCTCTTTCTCTTCTTCTGCGTCGATAAGAGCATCTTGCAAAGATGTTAAGGTCTCTCGATGGCCGCCTCCAAGCTTAGAGAATGGAGTGATTTTCCCAGTGCGGATAAGGTAGTCTCTCCTAGTCTCATTTGGTGACCTTCCTGCTCCGAATGCCTGGGCTGTGTCTTCGATCCCTTGCTGCCTTTCGTAGATTCGTTGTTGTATCTGTTCGATGTCTAGCTCAAGAGCAGATATTTTAGACTCAAGATTTTGGAGCTCAGCGTTTATACGAACTCGAGCGGCTGTGCCGATTGGATGGGAGAGGCGCTGGTGCAGCCTGAGAATGTGGTCTTCAACCTTTCTAGATCGCATTATCAGCATTAAACCCAGTCATCCCATGGCGATAACGTCAAGACATACAGTTTTTCATTTTTTGTATGATCCAGGCGCTTCTGGTCCCTCTCGTTTGCCTGTTCAGTGAGAAGTCGATCCGCCTGGTAGTTTGGTGATGCGTTAGTTCTAGCCTCAAGCCCTGGGTAAAGGATGATGGCACACCTGACGCCCGATGTCTCTTTCCAGGTCGTTTTGATCTCTGACAGCGGCGTCCAGCGCTCTTAGTCGGCTCGATTCGTCTCCGGTCAAAATAAGTTCTTGGTAATCTTCTTTCGGACCGTCAGGTGTCTCATCTCTTTCTGGGGCATTTGACCCCTTAGTCTCTTTGGATTCAGTCTCCGCCATAATGTCTTGCGATTCGATGCTCGAGCAAGTCCGAAAGCACAACATAACGCAAGCAGGACCTTACTGTAGCATGGGAAATGCGAAAACAGAATACAAGTTAATTATTTTGGGCTCTATCAACTCAGAATACCATGGCTTTAGCAAAGCAAGGTCGCTGAGACAAATCTTTGCAATTTTACCTCCAGTGAATGCACCCAACGCAGGTCTCTCAAGATGCTGGTGTGGCAAGCATGAGGCTTTCTCAAGGTATGAAGACAAGAGTTCAATCAACATTGTTAGCTTTACATAACTGGGTCTCGCAGAAGTTCCAGAAACGTCACCAGCACTTCTGGAATGCTGAGGATGCTGTGGTCTGAACTTGATCTGTTGCAGTTAACTGACGGATGCACCACGCCGGCAACCTTCCTGGAAGGGCGCGATCCAAGATGGAAGCCTAGGCATGTGGCGCCCCGTGCACTAGCCCGTTATCGGCTAACTACATAAAGAGTGAGTGGCTGTGCTGCTGAATAATCAACGTCTTTCCTGTGCTTCGGCGTGGCTCGCCTGAGCTTCCCCCTGCAGTCCTCTTGTCTGGAATGCGGGAATTTGATATCTGTGACCCTTGATCAGATGCTGGCAGTCCTTTTCTGACCTGCATACAGAGTGCTGCGCCTCAGCTTTGTAAACAATCTCCTTCCTCGTATGTTGGAATATGCATAGTTTAGGTAATTACCAAACAATGCACATGATCGATAAGAGCAGCATCTATATGCAGCCATGCTTAGTTCATTCAATGCCCATCTGCGGTTGAGAGCCAGAGAGTGCGTGCAATAAGGATATGCTTGCTACTATGGTTGATCAAATCTGACCTTTTACTCTGCTCTGGACAAGCAAGCAGTGATTCCTAATACCCATTGTAATATTTTGCTGGGTTGTGTTGGTCGAGTCATCGTCGTGGGTTGTAGATAGCGGCTTCAGCCCCTCACAGTCTCGAGGCATCACGCAACACATGTAACTACATCTTCAACAGCCTTGGTAAAAAAAAATCAATATCTCTAGGAAGTAGTCAAACAACCTAGACCTACTTACTATCTGATCCCAGGAGAATTTCTGCGCCGACTCCAGATATCTGGTTAGTAGATGTGTGTGGTAAGTCCACAGGCGAGCATGGCCTGTTGGGCTGATTGGTGTGACGACGCCGCCATGGGACTTGACTGTATCCAGCAAAACCTTGGCTTTAACTCTCCCCCAGGAGATGACCTAAACCACCCCGACAGCAGGCAAGTTAGTTTCACCTCTGCTCTTAACTTAATCCTCCAGCCCGCACATCAACATCCTGGGGCTTCACCCTCTGGACTTTGTTCCCTTCCGCCCGGGTTTCGTCGTCTGGTTCCACGTCCCTCACCCACCCTGTTGTTGACACATCTGATCTCAGCTCCCATCATACATAAGGGTCAGTGTCACAGCCGCTAAGAAAGAGTGCTTCTTTGTGCGGCACTTTTCAAGCAGGCAGGCTCTGTGGAGGGTTATCGGTACTGAGAGAATCCAATTGCGGTCTTGTTCTATCGCGGCCACCTTCTCCTACCCCTCCTGATAATGAGCATTTGCAAGGCTCAGTCCGCTTAAGACCCGATCCGAACCTGGGCATGTACACCAGCACCGCATCTCTCCCTTCCACGACCCGTTGCCTCCTGCGGCCCTCTCGCTTCCTTTTGTAACCTGATTTGCATGATAGCTCTCGAAGCGGTCGGACTTTCTCATCGGTTGACCCCAAGGACGACTTGATTCGCGCTACCATCACACCCAAGGTCAATATCAGACATTATCGGCAGCAGGAAACACTTCGGATACATCATGGATCCGCAGTGGCCTGCTTACTCCGATTCGGCGGGAAGCAGGGCTAATCAATTCGGAAATGGCCATCCGTCGCAAATGTCCCAGAAGTATACAGTTCCTGGGCCTGGAGCCCAAAGTCAGATGCAACAACCGCAGGCTCCGTTGGGTTACACCTATGAAACGTACCAAAGCCCGACCGCTACGAATCCTCCCCCTCTGCCTTCGAATGCCAAATCGGTTTCCATGACCTCGTCGCCCACTGCGACCCCGCTTACGCGGGAGTATATCGACCCGGATACGCCGATGGAAGATGCGGATCCGTATAATAGGTCAAAATATCCCACCAGGTCTAGCCAGCAGAACCGACCCTCTTCTCAATATCTTTCGAGTGAGGAGTCCTCGGTTGCCAGGAAATACTCCCCAATGAACATCACTTCGCCGGCAGTCCCCTATAACGCCAGTCCAAACACTTCGCAAGGTTCATACTCCTTCCAAGCAGGTAATTCGAGCTCGCGACCATCCCCCACAAGGACGAACGCTTTCTCTGCGTCGTCTCAAAATTTCCAGTCTCCATCATGTTCGTCTTGACTCCCCTTGCCCGTCTTATAAGAGGATGGATAGTGTACTGATGACCTGGCATTTATTAGCTGGTGCTCCATCGAGACCTCAAGCTCCACGATTACCCCCGATGCAAACCACGGATATCAGTCCGGAACAGTACTACCCGCAATCGGCCACCCTCCAACTCCACACGGCATTCGGACAGAACTCAAAAACGCAACCCGCCCGACCGTCGCACTTGAACCAATCGAGCTCCGCCTTGGAAACGTCGGCTAGAAGGGGCCCTGTGCCTAGATTTCAAAAGATCAAGTCCACGCAAGAGCTGAAGCCGAAAGTAAATGCGCAGCCTGCCTTTCGTCGTGCAAATCCCGAGGGGGGGTTCATCAGCGTACGTACCCTTACGTTTATTCATTTACTTTGCGTTCTAATATTTTGGTAGCCTCTCCAAGCTCTCACAACGCATTTACCCGCCACGTACCGAATATGTAACCCAACGTTTAAATACGAATCGTCCAGGAATCCCCGACGAGTGCTAACAAAGCCCAGCAAGGGAACCAAGAATGATGGCTATGACAATGATGACAGTGACTATATCCTCTATGTCAATGACATTCTTGGCAGTGAGGAGGCAAATCATAAGTGAGTGTTCTCTGGGCAATACAATATGTAGCTGTCGTTAATATAGTATTTCTAGGAACCGGTACCTTATTCTTGATGTGCTTGGACAAGGCACGTTTGGTCAGGTGGTGAAGTGCCAGAACTTGAAGACCCAAGAAGTTGTTGCTGTCAAGGTTGTGAAAAATCGGACAGCATATTTTAATCAGAGCATGATGGAAGTCTCAGTTCTTGACCTGGTAAGATTTTTTAATCAGATGCTTTTTAAACAAATGCTCATGTGGAACAGATCAATAGTAAGCTGGACAAGAACGATGATCACCATCTTTTGCGCCTAAAAGATACCTTCATACATCGACAACATCTATGCCTGGTTTTTGAGCTTCTAAGTGTGAATCTCTATGAACTCATCAAACAAAATCAATTCCGTGGACTTAGCACAACATTAGTTAGGGTTTTTGCGCAGCAACTTCTAAATGGGTTAGCATTACTCAACAAAGCTCGGCTCATTCACTGTGACCTCAAACCGGAAAATATTCTTTTGAAAAAGTGAGTTTAATTTTTATCTGAAGGTGACATTGACCTATTAATGTGCTAACACCATTTCCCAAATGCAGCCTCGAAAGTCCAATCATCAAGATCATAGATTTTGGTTCTGCTTGTGATGAAAGGCAGACAGTCTATACTTATATTCAATCCCGATTTTATCGTTCACCTGAAGTTCTTTTAGGCCTTCCGTAAGTGATTGCCTTAGGATGCCTCAGAGAAACTACGCTAATATATCCATAGATATTCATCTGCTATTGACATGTGGTCATTAGGTTGTATTGTTGTTGAGCTTTTCCTTGGTTTGCCATTATTTCCGGGATCCTCCGAGTACAACCAGGTTTCTAGAATAGTAGAAATGCTGGGCATGCCGCCAACATGGATGATCGAGATGGGAAAGCAAGCCGGCGAATTCTTTGAAAAAACCCAAGATGAATTTGGGAGACGAAGTTATAGGCTTAAAAGCCTTGAACAGTACTCGCGTGAGCACAACACCAAGGAGCAGCCGAGCAAGAGATATTTCCAGTCGAACAACTTGAGTGAAATCATTCGTAACTATGCCATGCCAAGGAAGAATATGAAGCAAGCAGAAATTGATAGAGGTAATATTCTTTGGATAATTGTAGGCATCTGGATCTCTGGCTTACTTTCTATCGTCTAGAGTTGAACAATCGCGTTGCATTTACTGATTTTGTTCGTGGACTATTGACAATCAATCCCCTAGAAAGGTGGTCGCCGCAGCAAGCAAAGTTGCACCCTTTCATTACTCAGCAAAAATTTACACAGCCATTTGTGCCGCCTATGAACTTGAAATCCTCTGTTATCAACAAATCTGTTGCGCCCGGTGTTCAGCAGCAGCAACAAGCTGAGGCCGCTAGCAAACAACGTGCGGCACAAGAGGCACAAGTACACGCACAGGCCCAATCTGCAGCTCAGTCTGCATATGCAATGCAAATGAATCCATATAACCCGGCTTCTCACAGCCAACCTCCGACAGTGTATAATAACATGTACGCTGGTCATCAACAAGGTGCTCCACCCCCTTATCCGGCGCAGCAATCAGGATATGGACACCAGATGGGAATGATGCAAAGTCCTTCTCATATTCCGCAACAACCATATGGAGCCTCCCAGAGCCTTTATGCCCAAGCAACAACGAGAGCTGGACGACAAAGAGCTTCCACTATGGATCAGCAACAGAGTGGTATCCCTCCTGCGATTCAGAGGGTTGCCAGTCATTTAGATCCAAATGCTCCGATTCGCTTGCAACCCAGCCCAGCTTATTATCCTCCACCGGCGGATGGATATTCTGAAGGAAATGCATCTGGGACGCGTCGGAGAGGCAGCCGTGTCGGTGGAAACCATGGTCGGGGTCGAGATTTTATTCGCACCCTCGAAGACGGTGCACTTGGTGATGGATTTATGGCCCAAAATCAATGGCGATGATATGGATATAACCCCCCATTGTCCAACTTACACATGCGGTGTTGGGGGTAAACGCATATTTTCACGACTGGCTAGACTCCCGAGGGAGTCGATAGGGGTGGGCATCTGTATTTCTGCCCTACTTTTTTGTTCTATATATATGCGTACTCAGTCCATCCAGGTGTCCCCGTGGGATCGAGTTCCAAAAATGACGGCTCGGTCAGTATAGTGATGAATTGCTATATCGAACGTGGCCGAACGACGAACAAGTTGAAATGATTCCTGGTGGTCGCGTCAAAAAAGAGGAATTTTTGGATAACCCATGAAAACAGAATGATGGGATTTGGATTCGGATTTTGATGTGATGACTCCTTGGATTCCTGTTACTAAAGAATGAATGATGACCTTGATTCTTCAAAGAGATGCAAATATTTTAATCATTTTATGGATATCTTCCCCCTATCCCCCTTCGTTTCTGTTTCTCTGTTTTATCCTCTCAAGCATAGCGTTGGCGTGGTTTTTGTGCTTAGGAAGGACATATATGAGCTTTCACATACATTGCTTCTTGACCGTCTATTTTTTAATACTATCATTTCAGATCTCTTCTGCACTGGGCTTATGACGGTTCTCCACTGGTGAATTCGACAACCTATGTGAACTTAGCCCGTGACTTGCCTGTATATGTATGGTGCGAGGGGCTATGTCCCTGGAATATCATCAAGTGATTCAAAAAAAAAAAAAAAAAAAAAAAAAAAAAAAAAGAAAAATCAACATACGTTCGCTTTGCAAGCAGTCCTCGATATGAGCTGGACAAAGATGCGTCTCGCAGCATGATGTGGTCTGGGAGATAAGCTTTTATACCTTTCCTATTTAGGTTAGAGACACTCGCTTAGATTTTCTCAGGGTGAACCATGATTCAACTTTCGCCTTCCAGCCGGATCATCGTGAATTTCTGAGGCGAGATTTTTCAAAGAGCCTCATCTACCCCTTGTTGGCCGTTCCATTTTTTTCGTCACGAAAGCCACGAGCACAGGATCCCGAGAAATCTTTATCCACCATGTCTTCTCGATTCTTCCACGGTGGAAGCGACAGCGAGAGTAGCTCCTCTGACGAGGAGGAGCTCTACTCCGATCGCGATGAGGAGGAAGTCTCTGACGAGGAGGAGGAGACTACTAGCGAAGAAGAGTCTTCTGAGGAAGAGTCCGATGATGAGGCCGGATTAACCGGAGCGAAGCAATACCTCAGAGGTGCGGCCGATCTTGATGAGAGTGATGAGGAAGAAGACCGGGTCACGATCGTCAAGAGCGCGAAGGATAAGCGGTTAGAGGAGTTGGAGGGAACGATGAAGTTGATTGAGAATGCGGAGAAGATCAATGATTGGGCTGTGATCTCAACAGGTGCGGTGCTCGATTGTCTGCAGGGTGATTCGATGTGGACGATGTTTCGATGCTAACTGCATTTTTTGTTGTAGAATTCGATAAGTTGAACCGACAAGTTGCAAAGATCATCCAAGCAGGCCCGACGCCTAAGATATACATCAAGGCCATCGCTGACTTGGAGGACTTTGTGAATGAGACCGTTGTTAAGCAGAAGACAACTACGAAAAAGATGAACGCAAGCAATGCCAAAGGATTCAATACCGTTAAGCAACGTATCAAGAAGAACAATAAAGACTACACCGCAGAGATTGAAAAGTACCGCGAGAACAAGGATGAATACCTTGAGGAGGAGGAAGAGCAAGAGACCGTGATTGTAGAGAAGAAGGCTCGGACCATTCGAATTGAGGATACACTAGCTCAGAGTGATGAAGGCTTCTCAACTGTCGGTCGTGGAGGTCGCACACTTCAATATACTCCAGAGAGTATTTTGAAACATCTGAGGGTGATCGTGGAGTCTCGAGGAAAGAAAAATACGGATCGAATTGAACAAATCAAGGTAATGGAGAAGCTGCTCGAGGTCGCCTCATCACCATACCACACCATCAGAATTCTCTTAACCTTAATTTCGACCCGCTTCGATCTAGCAACGTCCTCGCTCTCCAATTACATGTCCACCGAACAGTGGAAGCTCGCCGAGAATGAAATCTCGACGTTGATTTCCACGCTAGAGGAGCATCCTCAGTTCGTCGTCACCGAAGGTGCGGAAGAGTGGGAGGACGATGAGAAGCTTCCCCAGGTCGCTCCTGGTGAAGTGCTTAAGGTACCTGGGAGCGTCGTTTCGTTCGTCGAAAGATTAGACGATGAGCTTATTCGATCCTTGCAACACATCGACCCCCATACAGCGGAATACATCGAGAGACTCGGCGATGAGCAACTCCTATACAACAACATTGTCCGAGTTCTCCTTTACGTCGAGGGTCTTAACCAGGTTGAAAAGTCCGAGCCTCGTCAGGACAGTGTGAACAGAGTCCTGATGAGACGGCTGGAGCATCTGTACTTCAAGCCGTCACAAGTCGTGACAATCTTGGAGGACAACACATGGAAAGACCTTCCAGAGAAACTCAGCTCATCCATAACTCCCCGTGACATGAAATCTGATGTTTCACTCTTGGTGCAAACAATTTGCAACTACCTGTTCCAGTATAGCGACGGTATTATCAGAGCTCGTGCCATGCTTTGCCAAATTTACTTCCTTGCCCTCCACGACAAATATCACCGTGCTCGTGATCTGATGTTGATGTCTCATCTTACTGAAAATATCTCCAACTTTGATGTCAGCACTCAAATTTTGTTCAACCGAACGCTTGTTCAAATTGGGCTGTGCGCATTCCGCGCGGGACTAATTTACGAGGCTCAAAACACACTTTCCGAAGTTTGCGGAAGTGGCAGACAAAAGGAGTTGTTGGCACAGGGTATCATCTTGCAGCGGTATTCTTCAGTCTCGCCTGAACAAGAGAAGCTCGAGCGTCAACGCCAGCTTCCCTTCCACATGCACATCAACTTAGAACTTCTTGAGTGCATCTACTTGACCAGTAGCATGTTCTTGGAAGTTCCATTAATGGCCCAAACTTCATCATCCCCTGAAATGAAGCGACGTATTATCTCCAAGACTTTCCGAAGGATGTTGGATTACAACGAGCGCCAAGTTTTCACTGGTCCGCCAGAGAATACTCGCGACGGTGTCATTATGAGTGCCAAGTTCCTCGCAGCAGGTGACTGGAAGAAGGCATCCGAGACCCTCAACTCTATCAAGATCTGGGACTTGATGGCACAGCCAGACAAGATCAAGGCCATGCTTGCTCAACAGATTCAGGAAGAAGGCCTCCGAACGTACCTCTTTACCTACGCACCTTTCTACGACACGCTCTCCATCACCACCCTTTCCAACATGTTTGATCTCACCGAAAAGAAGATCTCCGCTATTATCAGCCGGATGATCTCACATGAAGAACTTGCGGCAGCTCTAGACCAGGTCAATAACGCTATTGTTTTCCGCAAGGGTGTCGAACTCTCGAGATTGCAGAGCCAGATCGTTACTCTAGCAGATAAGTCGATGTCACTGCTTGAAGCTAATGAGAAGACCCTTGAGCAGAGAACGCAAGGCATGGCAAATGCCTTCCAGCGTGATCAGGGACCAGGTGGTCGGTTAGGCAGAGGTCAGGGCCGTGGTGGACAGAGAACTGCTGGCGGCAGACCGCCCATTGGCGGACAACAGCGCAGACCAGGTGGGCAACAATTCAGTGGTGGGGCTTTGGGAGGAGCTATCAAGGCATAAAATGTTTTGGTTCTAATACAAATATGAAGTTATGCTGGTCTGTGATGATTCAATTTACCAAGCTGTTTCCTCTTTTCTCTCTTTTTGATGTAGGGTCACTATTACCTTTTAACTGGGGTTAAAGTCCTGTTTTTTTTCTGTCTTTTTCTTGGCATGTGCTACAAATAAACGGGTCATGTTCTTTTCTTTTCTATCAGGTCATGTGGATGGACGATAAATTGCTTCATAAGACTTGCTTTTGCAATCATGGTTGCTTTCCTAAAAAGCTCTGTGTCAACCGGTATTAAAAGGGAATGTGATGACCTTCATGCCAATAATGGTTGATTTAAAATTATGATTTAACAACAAATCAGGGCTGGTCCGGAAAGATATCCTCATGTTCAACTGATCTCAATCATTATCCTCTGTGGTACTATTCTATGTCACCATTGCCAGTCCAACCGGCCGCATAAAACTATGCTTGGACTACAAGCATAACCACTAGAACGACCAACGTGGAATGTGTACTCCGAGTGATCTTGGAGCCTATTGACTCCGTTGAAAGGCACAGCGGCCATGTCCATATATGGCAGCCACTCATGGAGCAATCTCGGCTCATGGTTCGCCTCGTCACCCGAATCAAGCCATCCTCTTCTTCTTGTACAATATGCCTCTCAAATTCGACCGCATTCCTTTTTAAAAGCAATTTGCTTTTAAGCCCGCGCTTTCATTGCCCAAACGGCCATTGAGTTCACACAAAATCTATCCCGGTGTCGGGAACCGTGGGCTATGTGTTTCATCTTGCTTGAAGCTCACGAAGTACGCGATGGTTCAGGTTGTCATCGTCTGAGTGCGATGGCCTTCCGAGGCCCATAACCTTTCATGGATTATCATCGAGCAAATTTTGTGGTGACCAATATTCATTTTCCTCGCATTGAGCATCGACCCATACCAGACCTTCAGCGAGCAGATCGTCAATGACAGTCTGCGCGCGTGCTTTCTCCCAGTTGAGATTGAGTTCTAGCATAGAAACTGTTACGAAGCCGAGAAGTTGAATAACTTCGAGCACGGTGGCTTGATCCGTATTAAGCTCCTTAGGAACAGAGCGGATGAACTGCTTGCTTCCCACTTTGATAATTGAGAAGCCGGAACCAAGAGGTTCGAGGGATTTCACCGCACGTAGGATATCATCTCTGACGCAGTAGAGCCTTAGAGTCCAATCTAGATCCACTAGAATCAATGGAAGCTAGGAACTTACTCCGAAACCTCTAGGCCACCACCGATAGCTTTCCCTCGAGCAACTCGAGTTCGACATTCTTCAACACTAATCAATCCACCGTTCTCCGCTCTGGTCTCCCTACATAATTCCACTACTCTGCCAGCAACTTCAAAGTAGAAATCGTTCACATCTCCTCCCAAGATCTGGGTCCAGAAACTGCCCCCGCCTTCAGTCAAGCCAGAGACAAGCCCCCTTTTGCCCTTACCCTTCACGTTGCTTGCAGCAAGCGGGTCAACTCCGATGGCATGGCACATGCGCGCAAATTCAGCGCGGAAAGTTGGGTTTGATTTGATAGTCTCGCCATGCTCGAGCGCAAAGGTGTGGAGTAGGGACTGGAAGACGGAGAGTTGGGTTTGGAGGGAGGTCAGGTGGGTGGAGCGGAGGTTGGCGCCATGGTTGGCGTAGGACTGAGAGGTCTGGGAGCGATTTACGAATGCTCCGAGACCGACGCCTCGGCGAGTAGCCATTTTCTATGGAGTGAAACTGCGATAGTGAAGCGTCCAAAATAACCACCGCACCCTGCAAGCGTTGCGGAGCCAACCCGCAAGGTGGCCCAGACTTCGGTGACATAATAGCCCTAAGTTCCAGAAGCGGAAAGGCTGTAACGTGACCTGAGTCTTGGCGCTTGTCGTCGATTTGCGCCCACACAAACCCTTTTTCAGCAGCTCGAACTTTGAGCGCTCCGTCAAATTCTCAAGCTCCGACCCGTCAACCAGCCAACAAGTCGACAATACCGCCAGTTCTTCGACATGGCAGCCTCAACGTATGGGTTCCCTTGTTCTTCACCGTCTTGCTGATCTCTCCGGCTGTGTAGTCTCAGTTATAGTCCGTCCTTCTCGCTGGAGATGCTGCTCGACCTTCTGGCAAAGGTTGAAGCAATGCACCAGCTCGATTGATCCAGACGCATGTTCTTCCTTCGACTCCAAGCCTACGGTCATAATTGAACGCTAGTGGAGAATAAAGGGGAATTGGTGTTTGGGCTTTGAGGCTGAAGGCGCAAGCCTTCTCCTTGAAAATCATTGTTGCTTCTAATTGCCTTGCTGATTTTCCTGGCAACTTAGCTAGGAGAAGTATCACAAGGCGAAGATAGGCCAACATAGTCTTCCCGAGCGATCCTAGTTTGGGGCATTGTCAGCTGAGGCACTTGATTCATGAGTTCTCTCCGCGAAGCCCAACCGTTGTTGTTTATGGCTTCAGCGTGAAGAGTTCGACTCTTGTAATCAGCTTCACTGATGAAATTCATTCCGTCGAGTTCCTACAAAGCCTTCAGTTTGAGAATGTGGCACTATTAGCTGCAGTTCTTACACTCGGCGAGAATTTCTTTTCTTGATCAGTTCGTCATGGACAGACTATACTGACTCCGAAGCAGTTCCGTCCCAACTAAGGACCAGGTCCTCGTTCCTGAGACTCTTCTCAAGAAGCGCAAGAGCCAGGAACAGGCCAGAGCCACTCGCCTTGCTGAGCTCGAGAAGAGAAAGAAGGTGAGTTTCGCACTTTTTCTTTTCGCGATTGGATCTGCTCCTGCGTATACATTGTGTGTTCGTGGTACATTCGATGATGACACCTACCAACCTTGCGACTAGACCTCTGGTCAATGCTGTCGCTTCGTTAACCATCTTTCGGGGCTGACATTGTGATACTAAACATCCTGAGCTTTTATGTCGTCAAATGCCAAAGATTTATGCTGATTGAAGCGATAATATAGGCCAACAAGGAGAAGCGCCGTGTCATCTTTAAGCGCGCTGAGTCCTACGTCAAGGAGTACCGCGATGCTGAGCGGGAAAAGGTCCGCCTTGCTCGTCTGAGCAAGCAGCAGGGATCTTTCTATGTTCCTGAGGAGCCCAAGCTTGTCTTTGTTGTCCGTATTAAGGGGTAAGTTTCCAATTATGGACCTTAAGCATGAGTAGTGCGTACTAACGTCTCATCAGTATCAACAAGATTGCTCCCAAGCCACGAAAGATCCTCCAGCTCCTCCGTCTCCTCCAGATCAATAATGGTGTTTTCGTCCGCCTCACAAAGGCTACCGCTGAGATGCTTACCATTGTCAACCCCTACATCGCTTACGGTTATCCTAACCTCAAGGCTGTCCGCGAGCTCATCTACAAGCGTGGATATGGCAAGGTCAACAAGCAGCGTGTTGCCCTTACCGACAACCAGATCATCGAGGACAACCTCGGCAAGTATGGCATTGTCTGTATGGAAGATTTGATCCACGAGATCTACACCGTCGGACCCAATTTCAAGCAAGCCAGCAACTTCTTGTGGCCATTCAAGCTCTCCAACCCAACTGGTGGCTTCCGCACTCGCAAGTTCAAGCACTTCATCGAAGGCGGTGATACTGGTAACCGAGAGGATAACATTAACGCCCTCATTAAGCAAATGAACTAAAATGTATTAATGTTGATGGGTTGTTCGGTCATGAATATTCATTTGCTTGTCGGCTAGCCAGGTTACCTATAAAATAAAAGATATCTATGCCAACCTTGTCCATCCTATCCGAATCTGCGTAGCTTCTAGGAAACCTCGGACTACAGGCTTAGGCCTGACTTATCGAGGACTAAGATATAGAGTCTCTCGTATTCACACTATTAAATGCCCAAGAATCGCATTGCCTCGCTCCGTCAATGGGAGGGAATGGGCTTCAGCTTTCGATCCGCCTCCGGAGGTAACGTTCTATCGACCGAGCTTTGTGTTCGCTTCGAAGCGGCCCGTCTCTGGTGCTAATAAGGTTGGGTTCGGGAAACGCGTTCGTCGCTCTTAGCGCGTGTGAACTGGAACGCGTATCGCGTCCGCATAATTTCCGACGCGACAACACACCAAATTCCCGCAGCTTGCCCTTATCAATCATACCGAATATAACTACTCCGTAGTTACACCTCCTTTTACGTGTTTATAATGTCATTTTCCAAGTACCAGTGATAGCATAATTTGATTCATTATTTGCAATGGCATCCGCTCGTGCTAAGCTGGCTGAACTCCGCGCTCTCCGCGCGTCGGGAAAGAAACGTCTCGCAACCTACGAAGTAGAAGAAGAAGGCGATATCTACGAAGAAGTTGACGAAGAAGGATACAAAAATGTTGTCAGACAACGTCTCGACCGCGATGACTTTGTCGTTGATGACAATGGCGAGGGATACGCAGACGATGGACGTGAAGAATGGGACGATAGGCGACGGGTAGACAGCGGGACTGATAGCGATGGACCTCCCCTAAGAGGCAAGGCGGCTAAACGAAAGCGAGAGGAAGATAAGCAACGCAGGGAAAAAATCAACAATGGAATCAATAAGTATTTTAGCGGTGCATATGGGACTTCAAATGCTTCCAAACCAAAGGTTGGTCGATGTCGTCTGTCTTAGAGAGAATGAATTGGCTGATAGAAATGCAGCGAAATGCCACTGCAGAAGACGAAGCGTTTATGGCAGATTTACTCGGAGAAGTCGACGTGAATGTGGTCCCATCTCGCGTGCCGGTCAAGAAACCTGTGAAATCCGAAACTCGACGTAAAGTCCGAATTATATCCCCTCCTTTATCTCAGGAGCGAACACCCAAGAAGGTCCAAGCAAAAAAAGAACCTACTCCTCACAATGCCGATGTTGAGATGAAGTCCGATATTGATTTTGACGATGACGTCGGGCTGCTTCCGGTCGGCGATGATGAGGATGTTCCAATGAGCGATCCGCCGCCATCATCCCCAGTCGCAAAAGCAGTAGAACGTAAAAATGCATCCTTGGTGAAAAAGGAAGAAGAAAGCGCCGACGACATAGATGACGAAGACCTAGTAACCATTGAAGCGACCGGTCACCACGAAAACAATGCTACTAGGGTGAATATGGCCAGCAAAAGACCTGCACCCAAGCTGAAAGTGAAAGAATCTTTTTATCCTTCCCCTGCTACGTCTCCTCCAGCAAGGGCCAATTCCGATGCAATAGACGCTTCGTCATGGACAGATATCACCAGAAAGCTCAATGTTCTTAGCAGCCCAGCCTCGGATATGCATGCATTTGGAAAGCTTCGAGCCCAAGATGCTGTAGAGACAGATGGTAGCTTGCGTTTCTTCTGGCTTGATTACACCGAAGTCAACGGTTCTCTCTGTCTCTTTGGAAAGGTCAAGGACAAGAGAAGCAGCCGTTTCGTCAGTGCTTTCGTGAAAATTGACAATATCCTCCGCAAGCTCTACTTCTTACCCCGGGAATACCGCCTACATCATGGCCAAAACACAGATGACGAAATCGACATGGAGGACGTCTCTAATGAGGTTGACGAGCTTATGACCAAGTTAAGAGTCAACGTGCACAAGATCAAGCCGTGTACGCGGAAGTATGCGTTTGAACTCCCGAATATTCCCAAAAAAGCACAATATCTCAAGTTGATGTATCCATATGATAAGCCAGTGTTACCGACAGACGTTAAAGGCGAGACCTTCTCCCATGTTTTTGGTACAAACACTGCTCTTTTTGAGCAATTTGTGCTCTGGAAGAACATCATGGGCCCATGTTGGCTTAAGATCGAGGATGCAGACTTTACGGCTGTAAGCGGTGCATCTTGGTGTAAATTGGAATGCCAGGTTTCGCAACCAGCTCTCATCTCCTCAGTTTCAGACGCTGAGAATTTGGATACCCCTACCTTGACGCTGATGAGTTTAGCGTTACGCACTCAGCTCAACGTCAAGGAGAACAAGCAAGAAATCCTGGCTGTGAGCGCGCGAGTGTATGAAAATGTCTCATTGACAGACCCTACCCCTCCTGCAAAGCTTCCTTGCAAAACATTTACAGTTATGAGGCCACTGGGTCCTACATATCCAATCGGTTTTGAATCAGAAACTAGGAAACACCGCGGTACCTTTATGCTGGAGAAGAGCGAACAGTTCCTTCTCAGCAAATTCTTAGCCTTATTTGAGAAGATGGACCCTGATGTGGTGATGGGGCACCAGCTTCAGGAAGTAGATTTAACTGTTCTTATAAACAGACTGAAAGAAAAGAGGACGCCGGGTTGGCACCGTATTGGTCGCATGAAACGAAGCGAATGGCCGAAAAACTTCAAAGGCACCGGGTTCTTTGCAGAGAGGCATTTGGTAGCTGGTCGGCTGATTTGCGATATCGGAAATGACATGGGAAAGGTGAATTCTCTTATTATTTTTTTACGAGTCAATCACTGATAATCTATCTTAGTCTCTCATGATGAAATGTCAATCGTGGAGTCTTACGGAAATGTGCCAACTTTATCTAGGAGATGGCAACACAAGACGGGATATTGACAATGAGGCAGCCCTCAAAACCTGGGCCACCTCCAAAGAAGGCTTGATGAATTATATCAGCCACGCCGAAGCTGATACATATTTCATTGCTGCGCTTGTCCTAAAACTCCAGATGCTTTCCCTGACTAAAGTTCTTACCAATCTTGCCGGCAATTCATGGGCTAGAACGCTTATGGGTACAAGAGCTGAACGAAACGAATATATTTTACTGCATGAATTCTATCGAAACAAATACATTTGCCCCGACAAATACTTTGGAAGATCGCAGCCCAAGATGGAAGAGTATGAAGGTGAAGATGATGGAGGCGACAAGAAAAAGAAAGATAAATATAAAGGTGGTCTTGTCTTTGAACCAGAGAAGGGATTGTATGACAAGTACGTTCTTGTTATGGACTTTAACAGTCTGTACCCGAGCATTATCCAGGAATACAATATTTGCTTTACCACCGTGAATCGCGAGCTAGTGGTAAGTAAATCATTTTGCTGCTTAATCGCACCGTACTGACAGATTTTAGTCTGAGAATGAGAACGAAGAAAAAGTTCCTGAGGTCCCAGCTGATCAAGAGCAGGGTATCCTGCCACGGCTGATTTCCACACTTGTCAGCCGCAGAAGAGAAGTGAAGAAACTAATGAAAAACAAGCGCGCGACTCCCGAAGAGCTGGCTCTATGGGATACGAAGCAGTTGGCCCTGAAGCTCACAGCTAACTCAATGTACGGTTGCTTGGGGTACACGCAGTCAAGATTCTACGCTCGACCCCTCGCCATGCTGACGACGTTCAAGGGTCGTGAAATTCTGCAGAATACGAAAGAATTGGCCGAGAAGAATCAACTTCGTGTTATCTACGGTGATACTGATTCGGTTATGATCAACACCAACGTTGACAACATGGAGGAGGCGCTCAAAGTGGGCAACGAGTTTAAGCGATTAGTGAATGATAGCTACAAGTTGCTCGAAATTGATGTTGACAATGTCTTCCGCCGACTACTGTTGCATGCAAAGAAGAAGTATGCTGCGATTAACATGACGGAGGTGGATGGTAAATATGTTGATCACCTTGAAGTGAAGGGTCTAGATATGAAGAGAAGAGAGTACTGCACTCTGTCCAAAGAAGTCTCTTCGAAACTTCTAACTGAGATCCTTTCGGGAGATGATACCGAAGTGGTTTTGGGTAAAGTCTATGACTACCTACGAGAACTCACCCAGAAGATGAAGGAGTTCACAATCCCTGTGCAGAAATACGTGATTTTCACGGTAGGCTCCCTCGAAGTGCACCCGGCATATCTGATGTCACTGATTTATTCTTTAGAAACTGTCAAAGCGACCGGATGAATATCCGAACAAAGAGACTATGCCTCCTGTCCAAGTTGCCCTAAGAGAGCTGGCGAGAGGGAAAACCGTCCGTCCAAACGATGTCATCTCCTATATTGTAACCTCAGGCGACTCCGAAACCTCTTCGCTCCAACCAGCCAAGCGGTCATACACACCACAAGATGTGATGAAACCGGATTCTGGCTTAAAACCAGATATCGAATACTATCTCCTCAAGCAAATCTTCCCGCCAATTGAACGACTTTGCGCTCCTATTCCTGGTACAGATGCTGTTCAGCTAGCGGAATGCCTAGGCTTGGACGTCAGAAAATACCAAATTAATACCTCAAGCTCTCATGGTCAACGGAGTCTCGAACTATGTCCTCTTGAATCACAAATCCCCGATTCGCTCCGCTTCGAGAAAGCCGCTCGATTCACCCTCCGCTGTCGCGCTTGTCATGAGCGGACGGTCTTTGAAGGTCTTAATATTTCAACCGACATATGTACTCCAAAAGGCCTTGTATGTCCTAATTCAAACTGCAGAAAGCCATTTTCAGTTATCTCTATTGTGGCACAGCTTGAGAGCCAGATTCGGGCACAAACGACAAGGTACTATGAAGGCTGGATTGTGTGTGATGATTCTGCATGTGGGAACAGGACAAGACAAATGAGCGTATATGGTCATCGATGTCTAGGCCCCCGAGGACGAGCGGAAGGGTGTTTAGGTCGCATGTCCTATGAATACACCGACAAGCAGCTGTATAACCAGCTATTATATTTTGCCACACTATGGGATGTTGATAAAGCCAAAGCCACTGCTGAGAAAGAAGCCTCTGGCGAAAAGAAGGAGAAGGTACTAGCACTTGTGGAGTGGAATCGTACCCGATTCGGGACAATGAAAGGCGTTGTTGATGAGTATTTGAAGAAATGCGGACGACAATGGGTTGAGATGGATGTTCTCTTTGGGTTTGCCCTGAAATGATTTAGTGTATTAGGGAATTCTATGCATATACTCTGTATCCTCAACCGTAATGGCTTCTAATAAGTTATCCCATTATATTGAATACATATCAGCTTGACATTGCGTGATTATGTGAGTCCTCTGCCTCCCTTTGATTCATTGGCATAGTTAACCTATGGAACTGAGCCAGGGAAACAGTTACAAGGCTTATTATCTGCATAAATAGACAAACACAATTCATCCTATCTGTCGGAACACTTCCAGTGATTAAACAGGCATTCCAACAAACTTCTTTAACACATCAATGGTTGTCCAGAAGGCTCTGTGGTAAGGTATTCCCTACACAAATAACCTCCATGTCAATTAATCGACAGACACCGACAGAATATTGCTTCACTCGGTTGAAGATGGATGGAACTCAAGGTCAGTCACCCATACTTATAAAACAAGCCTTTTGGGTCTCCCAAACGAGCTGCTCCTCGATATAGGTAAACTGTTGGACCGAGCCAAAGATATTGCAGCACTAATACGACGCTGTCGGCGCTTTCATACCTTGTTAAATTTCTTCCTATATCATCATAACATACAACATGAGATATTCTCTGCCTTACAGTAGGCAGTGGAAAACTGAGCCTGCATTCTCCATTGACGAAGAAGACGGCTTAGAGTTATCGAATTGCGACGTTGCTCCATACCGCAATTGAACTAAGGAGTCACCACCCAGGCCTTGAACTCCAGGTGTTATAGAAGAGCACAAGAGAGAATCGAAACAACGGTATAAACTCATCCAGCTTCTGATCGACTACGGTATCGGCCTGGAGGCTATTCGGGCTCATCAACGGACTTCATTGAAGGAAGATCTTTGGCGTGGCGACGAGCGTCCCATTTAGCTGTTGGCAAGGGTGGCGCTAAAGTCTCTACTAACGATCCGCGTATACTGCATCATGCAACTCGTCGCTGCAACGCAGAATCCGTTGAGTTGTTGGTCAATAAAGGAGCCATGGTCGATAGGGTCGGACTTCATGGACGGACGGCATTGTTCCTAGCAGGTACAAATGGAAATGGCAGTGTCCTCCGTACTCTCACTAGACATGGAGCCGATATCAATGTGATGGACAGGGAAGGATGGACGCCCCTTTATGCCGTCGTACACAATTCCGAGGAGGAAGGGAGATATCGTGTTGAAAAGAAACGGGGATATCACGTCCTTGCAATGAGCTGAGCGCTCATCAAGAGCAGCGCTAAAGTCAATGCCCAAACGCAACTTAGGGAAACTCCATTGCATTTCGCAATATTACAGCACTACGAGCGGGTGTTAAAGTGCTTGTTAGATGCGGGCGCTGATCCTCACTTTAGGAAATGCGATGGACGAACGTATTTGCGTACCTTCCAGCCGAAACCGAATGAAAAAAAAAAATTAGAAGACTGCTCGCGAAGAAGCACCCCAGGTTTTGGCTTAGGGATTCCGCGGAAAGAACAGCGCTACATATAGCAGCGCAGGTATGAAGCCGTACACGAGAGATAGGTTATGCATGTGGAAAAGTGTATTTCGATATTGACGCTGAAAACGCCGAAAATTGAATCAGCGCACCAAGATTTGACATATTGGCTGCTTGAGAAAGGTGCAGACGTCGATGTGCGGGACCAAAAATCGTACAGTTTTCAATCCATACTGCAATTACAAACGAGGATGACCGTATGACCGGAGTTCTGGTCCGAGCGACTCCAATTTCCAGAGCAACAGATATGAATGGAGACAACGCTTTGCATTTTGCCATTAAGCAAGAGTCGGATATTATGGTTGAAGAGCGTCTTCGGCTCGAGTTCAACCACGAATTCAGAAATCTCGATAGAGACACCGCATTGCATGTTGCAGCATCCCGAGGCTATGCCTGGGCTGTCCACCAGCCTCTTCGATGGGGCGAAAATTGCAACACAGAGGGCAAGGGGTTTAGGACACCGCTACATCTTGCAATGTTAGTCAGACCAGTTGGCGAAAGATAGTGAATATGCTTCTTGACTGCGGAGCGCGGATCGATGCCGAAGATGGGAAGAGAGAAACCGTAGAAGAGATTGCAATGGTAAGTGAAGACCAAAATTTAAAAGTTGTTCAGCACAGCGATGGGTGAGGACTCACTCAACAATAATGAGTCTCCTTAGAATGAATGGCAAATTGAAACTGACCAAAGGTGGCGATACATGGGATATTCGTGACGCTTCAGAGTGAGCAAAAAGAGCGGAAAGTGGCCATGTCCCATGTCTCTTGTCTGGGTATTTGGGAATGGTCCGTGCAATTCTCTGGCTTTATCAAAGCCTGCTGGTAGAATACATAAATAGCGAGTGCCATCTTATTCCTTAAATAGACGCTAAAATATGTCGCTATTCGATGAGGAATTGAGTTCACTATCATGTTGCAATAGAGAGCAATTGTCCTCGAACTAGAAAAATCGGCAAGTCCATATTTTAAGCTGTGGGGCAAGTCCGCGCTCTTTACTAGAGAACCCTACTTAACTCGAGCTGCATTCTGTAGATCCAGGATATCTAACCTGGTGTGCAGAACACATACCTAGCAAATCTGTCACAGGAGTGGGATTTAACCATGGCTAAAATGGGACGGGTTCTTGTAATTGCGGGTTCTGACAGTTCTGGCGGAGCGTGCGTTTCCCCCAAATTCCCCGCGCACAGTTTCGGTTTAAGACCTCCGGCAACACGGGCCTTCAATTAACAGTTTTCCGGCAGCGGTCTCGAGGCGGACCAAAGAGTGCTTGCTGCACATGGCTGCTATGCCCTAACGGCCACGACAGCCTTAACAGCTCAGAACACTCTGGGCGTTCAAGATATCCATGTTGTTCCCGCAGAATTCGTCCGCAAGCAGATCAACGCTGGGCTGGAAGATGTCGGAGCAGATGTTGTCAAGATCGGTGAGTGTGGGACTCTTCTCTAAGTAGCAGCTTAAGCCTCTTCAATGACCCCCAGTATTGCTAATGAGTATTAAAAGGAATGCTGGCGTCCGCTGAGACAATAGCAATAGTCTCCGAGACCTTGCGCGGGCACAAAGTGCCGTCAATCGTTTTGGACCCTGTAACTTGTGGCCCATATTACCCATTTACCAATGGATCTTTCTAACCTGCTTTTCTATAAAGGTTATGATATCTACTAGCGGCTCCCAGCTTCTTCCATCTGATGCGGTGGGAGCAATCCGCACAAGTCTGCTGCCAATCACGACAGTTTTAACCCCTAACATACCTGAAGGAGTACTTCTTCTTCGCGACTCGGGGGTCAATGTACAAGATCCTCAAAGTCTCGAGGATGCTGTCCAATTAGCCAAGCAACTGCATGGATTAGGACCAAGGTACATCCTACTCAAAGGCGGCCATTTGCCCCTGACTGCTGCACGACAGCGATCAAGTGGTGCGGAGGACGCATCCATAGTCGTCGATATCTTGTACGACGGGAGCTCCGTGACATTGGTTGAGGCCAAATTTTCCCGGTCTAAAAATACTCACGGCACCGGATGCTCCCTAGCTTCTGCAATTGCCGCCAATGTCGCGAACGGGATGGAGACCGTGCGCGCTGTCAAAGAAGCATGCCGGTTTGTGGAAGCAGGTATCAAAACGAGCGTTGACTTGGGCAAAGGCCATGGGCCTATCAACCACTTCCACTCTGTTTATACACTACCCTTTGCACCGTACGTATAGATACTACGGAGCCTGTCTAAATGCCTTATCTGAGCTAACCCTTATCAGCGGTCATTTCCTGGATTATATTTTAGAGCGACCCGATGTCCAGCCGGTATGGCAAGCCTTTACAAAACATGAGTTCGTGGCCCGGCTGGCGGATGCAACGCTGCCGGTTGAAAAATTTAAGCATTACTTGATACAAGATTATCTTTACCTCGTGAGTGACTTGTGTGACACTCTCTTTAGAAGTATAGTGAGTTAATTATGGAATGAAGGTCCATTTTGCCCGAAGCAATGCATTAGCTGCCTACAAGAACAGGACGATTGACGGAATTTCGGCAGTAAGTATTTTGTCATTGACTTCTATATCAGTTCGGATAAATAACCACGCTATTGGTATAGTCTGCCAAGATCGTACTTCATATCGAACGCGAAATGGCCTTGCATCTCGACTACTGTGCATCATTCGGGTTGTCTAAGGAAGACATTGAATGTCGTAAAGAAAGTCAAGGTAATTTTGTCAAGATGTACAAAAGCTCAAAGATTCCGAAGCTAAATTCTTTCTCTGCAAAAGCGTGCACCGCATATAGCAGGTACATTCTTGACGTAGGTCAATCCGAAGATTGGCTTGGGCTGCAAGTCGCCCTTTCGCCGTGCCTAATTGGATATGGCGCCATAGCAAAACGCTTGCACCGCGACGAGAAGAGCGTTCGCACCGAAAATAAGTATTGGAAATGGATCGAGAATTATGTTGCAGAAGACTACTCCGAGGCTGTAAAGCTAGGTTCAGGTGAGTGGTACCTTGTAGCTGCCTTAAACCTCGGCGAACCTCTAACCGCCTGCTAGAACTTCTCGAGACCCACATGAGAAGTGTTTCTCGAGTACGAATGGAAGAGTTAGTGCAAATATTCATTAGGGCCACAGAGCTGGAGATAGGCTTCTGGGAGATGGGACTGCAGGGGGAGTGAACGAGCGTCCTATATATATATACACTTTTCCGCTCTTGGCACGGCGCAGCGGAATCAGAATCAAAGATAGATACTATTAATCATCTTAACTGAGCTAATGTTTTGGTGATTCCTGTAGTGTAGTGGGAATTCCGGTATCATCTTAGGATAAATTATGGTTTGCTCTTGCAGAACATGCCACACAGCTTAATCATCTTCGGTTGGGGTTGTTTAACTATATCAACTCCTGTCCTTATCCTTCAACATATCCACATGGTTAGCATCAGTATACTGGAAGTTGGGCACAGACTCCGCATACATATACCACTGTATATGCGTTCTCAACAGCATCTATAATCTGATTTTCAAGATATTTTGTCACAATGAACTCAAGGGTTGAGTTGTCCAAAAGATTCCTAAGAATGAGAGAGAGAAAAGGCCCTCAGCCTCAGTATACCAGAGCAGACATTATTCAACCAACCCTCACTCACTATCTCCTGCAGAACCAACGTGCAGTACCAAGTGTACTGGTAGAGGAGTTCAAAAAAATAGGCTTTAACTACGGGGCGAATCTTAACTTGCTGGTGATAGTACCAGGGTTCACATCTCAGAGAGAAAGACAGAGTAGTCCTTAGAAAAGTGTAACATCACATCAAGTTCCGGGTCTGCTGCAACTGCCTTTTGCAATTCAATTAATGTATGGATATTGGATCATATTGCTTTGGGCTTTTTTGACCTTGAACTGGGCAGCTTCTTGTGCCCTTTTCTCATCATCATCATCATCATTCTTGGGGGAAACATTGAAGGTCTCACGCTTCACTTGTTGATGAGCCGCTCGTTCAATCCTATAAATGGGGAAGAAAACATTGCTTTGAAGGCAGGCAAACAGTGGGCGAGTAGATCTCGCGGGATAGTGAAGCTCTTTTCATCAGGGCTGACAAGAACAGTACATCACTCACTTTGCAATGCTCTGGATTTCTATCAGCTCAATTCATGTTTCATAATCCCTGGTTGCCTACTTGATGTATAGAATAGCACAAATATCCAACTGTGATAAGTACTCTCTGTCATCCATTCCCAGTATTGGAAGTGAATAAACCGCTCGCTCGCAGTACCTTCACTCATTGAGGTGGCTGACTCCGTGTGTTTCCCATTTTTTTCCCTTTTGTCGATTGCATGTCCTGAGCTGCTGGGGGCCTTGATTCATTCAAAGATTATTTGGACGGACATTAATCCAAAAAGAGGGCACGTTCTCCTAGCAGTCTGGTATGCCGGTGTAAAAACCACGTGATTTACAGAGTTGCGGGCGTGCCAATGTTAGAACGTGCTACGCGCCCTCGATCGATGTTCCATCAACATGAACACCAAACGCCGATAATCCTCCTGCGCCCATTACAACTGGGTGCACCTTTACTAGTCCCGATACCGAGTCTCTCAAAACCCCAGTGTGGTAGCCAGGCTGACAACATGACTGCACTGGAGGAGAAGTGGGAAGAGTGGGGATCCGAAGGCATGTTTCGCGGAATGCATGAAGAAGTTGTTCTCTTGAGCCATCAAGGCGATGTCAAGGTCCTAAACTGCGACAACGAGGTCATCCTCAAGGTTGGAAGCAGAGTTCGTCCTTCTGAGGAAATTGCTATGCGCCTTGTGAAAGAGCAAACTGATATCCCTGTTCCGGAGATCTTCCTTGCCGCCTACGTTGGTGAAGAAGGTCGACTGGCGATGAGCGTCATTCCTGGCGCTCCACTGACGGAAGCTTGGGATAGTCTGGATGATACAACAAAGAACCGCATATGTGTGGAAACTTGGTCAATGATTGAAAAACTTCGTCAGATCAGAAAGCCTGCCACACTGCAACACCACTTCCTCTGTCTTGCTGATGGTTCACCCTGTATCAATGACCCCATGGTGGCTGGAATTTGCTGCGCAGACCCTCCACATCCTCCACTCCTTAATGATGATGCTGTTCGCGCCCGCATCTATAAATGTTACTACGCAGCAAATGGTCGAAAGTATGAAAAGGAGCTACCAAGCATGCTTCCTCGCTCTGATACCTCTGTTTTCTCACATGTAGACATTGGACCGCACAACATCATGTTTGATCCAGAGTCGCTCCAGATAACTGGGATCATTGACTGGGAGATGGCAGGGTGGTACCCAGATTATTGGGAGTATTCCAGCATCATGAGGCCTGCTAGATGGAAAGATTGGCAGAAATGGATGGACCTGACAGCCCCGAAGAAATACGACCTGAGTGGTATTATGGCAGCAAGGCGTGTTTTGTTTTAGCGTACTCTATTAGGTTGGAATTGAAAGCCCTACTTCTTCTTGAAAACCGACCTTTGAGTCCACGACGACATTACGCGTTCCTCTTTGGAGAGCGAGCAATAGGTAGCGTGGCGTCAAAGAGAACGGCTGCAGGTGAGAGGGGACGACTCCAGGAGCGGAAAACCCGAGAACGCAGGCGCCGAGGACAACAACAGCTTGAAAGGGAACCAGAGCCAATGCACCTGGACAGCCCAAGCGTGGAGTTGATGGACGAGGCTGTGCAGCAGGCAATGATGGAGGATGACCAGAACAGGACAGCCTTGCATATGAGCCAGCACCAGGCAACCGGGGAAAAATTCCTACCCTAGGTTCAAGGCTCCAAAACGAGCAGCTGACTGACCCACGGGAAAGTCTTCCACCTAGCATGCTTGATGAGGGGCCTAGAAACAGGCGTTCCATGCACGAACCGCTGGAAGCAGAAGCTAGTGTGCTGGACCTGCTGGAGCAGATTATTTATGAGTTAGAGACAACAGCACCTATGGAAGCTGGAGCAAGACCATTGGAAGGCGATCAGAAAAGTTTCTTCCAGGAAGAACTCGAACAAGGGCAGTCACACTTTGACCGGTTTGACTGGGTTCATCAAGAACAGAATGCTCAACTTGAGTCAGAACGAGAGCAACCTGAACAGGAGGCTCAACCCCGAACCAGGACCATCACTATTACAGGTTTGTCCGGCGTCTCCCAGCCCCACGATGATGCCGGGAGAGGATATAGGTAATCCTCGGCAAGAAGAACTCCGCCAAAAGGCCCGAGGCCTACCAGGACAGGGATATACTCCTAGTGACCTACTTGAAAACCGGCCGTTGGAAATCAGCACACTCGACAATGTCCCGCGACCGGATCAACTAGAGCAGGCATTCCGTGAGCAACTGCACAGGGCCCGTGAAGAACAGGAGGCCCTAGAGCTAGAACTAGAGCAAGAGCGGCTTGAACAGGAGCTCAATGTCTCACAGTGTGAGATTTTGTCTCAGCTAGAATCATCACCGCAGCAGCATCACGTGGAGTCTTCCTCCGAGCCCAAGACAGGCCTAAAGCATGGAAGTTCCGTGCAAGAAGAAGCGGACCAACTGACCCCTGACCCACAAGGACAAGAAGAATCCATGAGCGGCCGGACTGGAAAGCCGTCATTGGAAATCAATACACACGTCCAACCAGAGCAAGAGATCAAGCAAGTGAGAGATATTCATTCACATGCAAAACGTCCAGTGACTCAGTTCGACTTCCAAAACTTAGAAGCTGGATCTGAGGGAGATTTCGGTAATCGGGATGGCAACAGCTCCAACATACTGCCTGCTGGTCAGCGCACTGGACAGTTCACTACTAAAAGAATTGAATTTTCCTTCTGGTGCTTCGAGCGCGAGCAGTGGAAAAAGACAGACAGCCTAACAGTAGATCCTCTGCGGCCCTCACTGGTTGAGCGAATAGCTAGAAAGTACATGTGGAAGAACTTCTCTTTATATGATCAACATATGAATAGTCTTAGTCCTGCCCAGTGCTTCCGAGCTGCAACAGAGGATGGAAACAACGCAGTTTTCGTGATCTCAGCAGAAAAAGAAAGGAAACCGGCAGCAGAAGGGAGATTTAGTAGGAAAAATCTCCTGGATTCAGTGCCTATAAGATTGGACATAAAGTCCGAGTCTGAACATGAACAGACTGCTAAGCAGCTGTAAGAAGAAGGGAGAGCAGAAGCTGGCTCTAGCTCACAAGCTAGCAGCTTCTCTACAGCTAACAAACCCTTCAACAGTATCACTGATCTTCAACGCCCGGCTACCACATAGCATAGAATGTATGCTAGAGAACAAGCATCCGCCTAGTGTTACAAACTAGCTACGAAATAACCGCTGGATCGCCAGAAGCTTCACAGAACACAGCAGAAGGTGACAGGGTACATGTGAGATCTATATAATGCAGGTCAATTGCTTGGATCCTGAAGAGAGGCAAGCAACCAGTCTTCTATTCTTTGAATACACTGAATATGGTTCTGTCAGGGAAATGTTTTCTCTGGTTGGAACAGCTCAACCGTGGATCCACTGTTGCCCTAACCCCATTTCGGTATGGTGGAAGGCGGAATACAGGTCACATGATAATTATCTTAGTAAGCAAGTGGCGACCGTACCTTACTATATTAGGCTAGAATGAAAGAAATTTCGCGCTAAACCCTTTCCTGAATTTTTTTTTTTTTTTTTTTTTTTTTCCGGCTTCTTCTGGCGAGGACTTTCTTGCCTTAACATCTTTATCGCGCCATCTTCCATTCATCATCCTTTCTTCCTTTCTTCTACTCTCCATACCAGTATTTCAACACGTTCACTTCGTGCTGATTTCATTTTCCCTTTTATTTGTAATCATTTTCGAGTCCATCTTTTTTGCTTTCTCTTTTTCTTGACTGTCTCAGAGAAAAAATTTCCGCTCCACTCAGTTCGTTAGGTCTCAAATCACCAAAAGACCAAAAGTTCAAAATGTCTTACGGAGGAGGTTATTCCTCATCTCGCGACCATTACGGTGGCGGCCATCATTCTGGTGGAAGGTGAGTTCTTTTTCCGCTCACATCTCGGCGAGCGTTGCTTTGGATTACGTTCCGAGCACAGTCCTGCGTCGAGCTCGTCTCATCTCCTTCTTGACTTGTGCTGATTAGCATTAAAGTGGTTACAGAAGCGGTGGCTACGGTGGAAGCAATGGATATTCTCATGGTAATTCGAATGGCTATGGATCCTATGGTGGCAACTCCCACGGTAGTGGTGTCGGCTCACATGGAGGCGGCCATCACGGTGACCGGATGTCCAATCTCGGTTCTGGTTTGAAGCAACAAGAATGGGGTATGTTAAATTCCACTAATTCCCTCGTGTCTCTTTTGCTAATATTTTGTCTAGATTTGAACGCCCTGCCTAAGTTCGAGAAGCACTTCTACAAGGAACACCCCAACGTGACTAATCGCTCCGCACAAGACGTGGAAGCTTTCCGAAAAGAACATGAAATGACTGTCTATGGAAAGAATGTTCCTCGCCCCGTTGAAACATTTGACGAAGCCGGCTTCCCCCAATATGTGATCTCTGAAGTTAAGGCTCAGGGATTCGCTAAACCCACACCCATCCAATCTCAAGGTTGGCCTATGGCCTTGTCTGGGCGCGACGTTGTTGGTATTGCAGAAACCGGGTCGGGAAAAACTTTGACATATTGCTTGCCTGCCATCGTCCACATCAATGCTCAGCCTCTGCTCGGCCCTGGCGATGGACCAATTGTACTTGTTCTGGCGCCAACTCGCGAGTTGGCCGTTCAAATCCAAGCCGAAATTACAAAGTTCGGAAAGTCTTCACGCATTCGAAACACCTGCGTCTACGGAGGTGTCCCAAGAGGACCTCAAATTCGCGATCTTTCCCGCGGTGTCGAAGTCTGTATCGCCACTCCTGGTCGTTTGATTGATATGCTTGAAGCGGGAAAGACAAACCTTCGTCGGGTTACTTACCTCGTTCTCGATGAAGCAGATCGCATGCTTGATATGGGTTTCGAGCCCCAAATTCGGAAGATTATCGGGCAAATTCGTCCTGATAGACAAACTTGCATGTGGTCGGCTACCTGGCCAAAGGAAGTCCGACAGCTTGCTCATGACTTTCTCCACGATTATATCCAAGTATATATTGGATCCCAAGACCTCTCGGCTAACCATAGGATCACCCAAATCGTTGAGATTGTGTCGGATTTCGAAAAGCGTGATCGCATGATCAACCATCTCGAACGTATCATGGATGACAAGAAGTCCAAGATCCTCATCTTCACTGGCACAAAACGTGTGGCAGATGATATTACCCGATTCCTCCGTCAAGATGGATGGCCAGCTTTGTGTAAGTTGGAAACACCAGCCTTCCCCTGTAATTTAAAGCATGACACTAACTGATTTAAATATATAGCTATCCATGGTGATAAGCAACAGAATGAGCGTGATTGGGTTCTAAATGAATTCAAAACTGGCAAAAGCCCGATCATGGTAGCCACTGACGTGGCTTCGCGTGGTATTGGTATGATCAATTTGAACTATCCCCTTTCCCCCATCCCTTCATCATTATCCCTCACCCGTATTGATGTCGTGTGACCTTGACCCAATGCTGTGCTCTCTTCAGATAACATGTTGGTAAAACATGTTCTCTCTCCATGCCTCAGGGTCTTTACTTGGTTCTCGCTTTAAAGGGAACCTTGGACTTACAGTGCAGTGTAGCATGCCGTGCTTCTAATTGTGCCTCTCTACTACATACTTTCCTCGCGACCGTAGAGGGGCCAGAGTTCTATATTTGAGCTTTTTAGACTGCATTTCCAAGGTTTTGCCAGGACCAGGATCAAGTGCCATCCTATGGACTCTGATACAGTGAATGACGCTGAAACTGGTCCGAGAGAGTAACGCACAAGTCCACACGCCTGAGAAAGGGCTCCAGTCTTTCGTCTATAAAATCTAGCTCCATGTTTGCTAACCACCAAGCTGTATGAAGATGTGCGCGACATTACTCATGTGTTGAACTATGACTATCCGAACAATTCGGAAGATTATGTTCATCGGATTGGTCGTACTGGCCGTGCCGGTGCTAAGGGAACGGCTATTACGCTGTTCACCACTGACAGTAAGCCCATGCCTACTATTGAGTACAAAGTCAACAGCAGTGCTAACAGTTATGATAGATGCTAAACAGGCTCGTGATTTGGTCAATATTCTCACCGAGTCCAAGCAGCAGATTGATCCACGCCTTGCAGAGATGGCCCGCTTTGGCGGCGGCGGTGGAGGCGGCGGCCGCTGGGGTGGTCGCGGCCGTGGCCGTGGAGGTTTTACCGCCTCAAATGCTGCCCCTCTCGGCCATAATCGCCGCTGGTAGAATACGTAACCCTTCATCGAATTTCGATATTTCCTTATCGCGATTGTCAAATTGCCCACGACCGAGTTCCTTTCATATTGACCCTTATAGACTGTTACGGTTCAACACGGGCGGCGTTTCGATCTAGATTATGTTTCATATTGCATTTTACGCATCTGAATGGTTTGCCGTCGACGTTGAGGAACTAACAAACATTATTTCCATCAGTAATACCCCCGGCTGGCTCATAACTGCCAATTCATATGCCATACTGAATTTTGTTTACGTCACCTTTGCAGGTTACCTCTGTCGTTCAAAAAAAAAAAAAAGATCGTATGACCCTTTATAGTTGCTGGGGGTTTACCGTGCGCTTTACCAGTGCTTTCTAGCTCTGGCTGGTGTTGATGATACCTGTACTTAATCAGTTTAGAAAATTAATAGTTCTTAGTGTTGGATACCATGAAAGTGTACTCCGTATAGTTACCTGGTTGCCTGAGCTCTTAGGCCTCTTGGTTTACACGTGAGAAGGCGGCCAATTCTCAAGGTCCAAAGGAGCCACCCCACTCTCACCAACTCCAAAACATCCACCAAGCCATATTCTAGGACACATAGGTGCCAAGCTTAACAATACTCAGTACGGAGTACTCGACCGAGTCTATTCATAGAATAGAAGTCCTTCGTACTTGACCGGCGTAAGAGCCATGCCGGATGCCACGCCTGAGTTCTACACCGTTTGGAAAATTCAAGAGCGTCTGACTATACCCGATCCAGAGGAAACGAAGACGAGATACCATACATACCTATTTATCCAGAAAAATGACACCTCCAACAATGGCTCCAATGATACTCCTACTCCTCCTGGAGATGTAAGCGGCTGGACCCACGAAGTTACCGGCGACATAGCCACCTCCACAGGGATGATATATATTCACAAATCCGTTACCGCTTCACCCGAGTATTCCGGGGCATTCTACGCCAAGCACCTGCTGGGTCGGGTTCGAGCGGATGCGTATCCGGGCAATGTGGATGGTGTATGTCGCTCGATCAAACCGCCGGGGTGTCAGAAGAAATTCAATATGGTGACGATGAGGTATGAAGGGGTTGTTTCTGATGATGATGGCGAGGGAGGGAGGAAGTGGAGGTTTTACGAACCTGGAGAAGAGCGGAAGGGATATTTTAAGTGTACAGAGTGGGTGGAGCGGAACGTTGTACCGAAGTTGCAGCGGGATGGGATCCTTGTTGATTGATCGCCCGATGGACAGGGCGGAGCGGGGCGGAGCCGGCATGGTTTACCCTTGGCACTTAGCTCGAAGAGCCTGGGTGGATTCTATTATATAGTTGTCGCTAGAACACTTCTGATATATGTTGCTCTCCCTCAGATATGAGTTGCGCTCGTTAATATAGAGCTCAAGCGGAGCCATCAAACCCAGAATCTTCCCATATACAATACGTCGGATCTATATGTATATATATATCTGAGGAGAGCAGAGTACCAAAATAGGCCTGGACAGCTGCAAATAACTGTTGATTTGGTTTTCTAATCCAAAATTGAGACGGCCGACGCTACCCATGTTCCGCCATTAAACCCTCCCGCAACTGTAATATGCACTATGCATAAAAATAGCGACAACAAGATGGTTCGGCTTAAAAGATATTCCCCGCAAGAAAACAATTCCAAATGCAGACACAGTGTACAAGGTATCGCTTGACAGATAAATTGTTTGCAAAAGCACCCCAGTAAGCCAAGCGAAGAGATCCCAGAAAAATATTCGAACTGGGAAGAAGAAAATTGTATTTATACAGGATTTCGAAATTTGAAGATTTGAAGGCAGCTTAGATAGAAGATGCTTTTTCTGAAAATGGAGCAACGTGCAGAAATGATGTCCATAAGAATAATAAAGACTAAGCTTTCGTTTTCCACAATCTTTCACAGGAAAGGAGAAAAACGAAGGATCGATTCATCACATCAAGGATTGGGATTCTCCGACGAAGGAGCGCGGTTGGACTGATTTTGATCTAAGGACGGCATGTGACTTATTGGGTTCAAAAGGCGGCGTAGCTTGAGTGACTGCGTTTTCAACTGGGCAAGCTCTGAATCACTTAACAGGGGGGCTATCGACGGATCAAGAAGGTCTTTCATCATGCCAGCGATACGCTTTAGTGTGCGATGGGATTCATCGGCTAGGGCCGCGGGAGAAGAAGCACCGTGCTCTCTAACCTCTTCCTCCTCGTCGTCGTACATCCGTCCACCTATTGTGCTGTTCCGCTGCTGGCTGATGATAAATTGTTGTAGCTTTTTGATGTGAGGGACCAAGTGTCTAACGGCGTCTAGAAGTCTATCTTTGTACAGCTGATTCTGACTCTTTCCTGGAAAGGAGCCCTCCTTCCTCGTATCCGCGTAAAGTCGTGCAGGGGAAACAGTCTCTCGAACAAGGTCAACATAAGCAGAGATAGGCTTAGGGTGTGAGCCGGCCCATGTGGTAGGCATAATATCTATCAAAGCCCCGGCTATATCGAGAATGTTCGGATTAAGCTTGTCACGAAAACATGTGCTGAGCGAAATCACAAATGTATTTGTAAAGGCTACTCCTTTAGGTATCATCTTGTTCTGGATGATTTCAAGGGACGCGGCGCTAGAGCGGGTGGCACGGAGTGTTCGTAGATACTCGTGGTATGACGTGCGGTCTGGGTCGATCCTAAATGGCCCATCCGGTGCGGTAAGAACGGTCCAATACTGCCGGCCGATAGCAGGTCCGCCAGCGAAATGCCGGCATGCTCGCAGAATTACCGTGAGTTCTCGGTTTGTTGGTAGAGGGTAGGCCGAAGAGGGGCTGCTAGGACCTGAAGCAGCTTTCGTGCGAACACCACCCGAATATATGGGCTTGAATAGATCGGAGGATGATATCTCCCCAGACTTCTGCACTTCACCCTGATCTTCCATCGTAGGATGACAAGAATTCTGTCCTTTCTTTCCTGGAGCATTGGACGATCCCGTACGTTCCTCGGCGGCACGGACAAGTTTCAACATGGCCTCAGGGCGCTTTATATTCATACTTTGCTCGAGCAATGCCAGCAGGTCAAAACAATCCCGTCTTCGACCTCCAAAGATAAGCAGATTTGCCATTTGGAATATGAGCCCCTCGTCAACAGCTAAAAGACCTTTGCGCCATTTGTCCGTCACTTCCATCCAAATTATACGCCCATCACGTATTGCAGGGATTTTCTTTTTCGCAATAATGTCAGCATCGTTAACTGGGTGCAACTTCTGGGTCGCTAGTTTGGTATTTTTGTGTATGGCATTTAGGATAATGGAGTATGTTATACTGTCAGGTGCATCTGGGCCACTCGAAGGGAGTTCACCAGCTACCTCCCATAGGGTGTCCATATCATTGTGGTTAGAACAAACTTGTAGCATCGCATTGGTGTGGACGATCGAGCGTGGTGTTGAAGAGTCAGGCTTCAGCGAATTGTACAAGGACATTGCAATCTTCACCGCCTTCCTGGATTGGTGTTTTGATAATTCCCGAAAAAGGATGGTATATGTCTGCGCAATCGGTTTCACTCCTCTCTTTTTGATCTAATATCACGTTCAGGAACAAATTAGCATATCTCCCCATCCAAAAGCAGAACGCAAAACCTACATCATTGAACAACTTAAACGCCATGTCTGGCCCATTCTTCTTCAACTCCTCGCTCAGCAGAGCATTCCACGATGCAATGGAATCTGCACCCTCTTTCTCCGCAGCCATGACCAGGGCCACCGCTTTCTCAAACTCGTCATCCGTAAGCATCTTCTCGATGCGATTCATGAGAGCCACCCGATCGTTTCCCACCCACTTCAACTCTCTCCGAAGAGCTTCTTTGGACGCAAACGGGTTTTCTTTCCGCATATAAACATGCTTGCATCGGACGCTACCAATTGTCGAGGCGGAAACCACACGGCGAAACAGGGCACTTGCCGGTGTCGTTCTGGACAACAACATAGCCTTGCTTGATATATTTGCGCACGCCATCCTCTCTCATGCGCGGTACTCGCGCGAAGAAGGCCGGAGGCCAGGGTCCAAAAGATCGGCGGAGGTTAGGGCAGCGACCAATAGCCAATTCCAGCAGAGAGGGACTAGAAGCTTATACCAGCACGCATTATTTTTTTTTCCTTTTCTAATCCAGATACTCCCTGAACTGTGAATATGGACAATAGATGGGAGTCCTGGGGTGTGTAGTCTACTGCGATTCTTCCGTCATTGCGAGCTTTTCAGATATATTGCCTATTCTTACCGCTTTCACAATATCGGATCAACTATTAATGCGGGTGCCGAGGCTACCAGGGCGCAGGTGGCCAAGCTCAACGGGAAGAACATACATAAGAGGTCGCATTTCGGCGCATCCACGACAATCTCGCCAATTCCGGGTTGACAGAAGGTCGTCTGACGAGACTCGTCTGGCCAAACTATGGATACTTGGTCCCATTCTCCGGAAAGAAAAAAAGTTACCACTTACACATGTTGTACAGGAAATACAATCTGAAGAAGATACCGCGAAAACCAAGAAGGATCAGTAAGAAGCCCATAGATGTGAACAGGGGGGAATAAGTCTGAGATTGCTGTCTGTATGGGGAGAGGCGACACACTATGAAGGGCTAACGCATAAGGAATGAAACAGACTTTCCAACCAGCTATCCTGATAAAAAAGACCAAGGTGGAGATTTGGCCGGGGAGGTTCAGGCCTCTGCAGGCAAAAGTAGATTAAAAATGCCAATGCATGGCAAGAAGAAGGCTTAGAGCATCTCAAAACGGCCGTAAACGAGAAGAGAGGAAATCAAAAAGGTGGAAAAGAAAACGCCATCAACTTGTCATCCAGTAAAGGAAAAGGGTAAAATGGAAGAGAGAAAAAAACCAGAATGTTTAATGCACATCCCACCACCCAAGTCGAAAACCATCATCCATTGTCACATTATTACAAGTTCTTTCCCCCGTTTTTTAAAGCACCTGGATTTTTATTTTATGTTTCGCCACGCATCCTCTCTCCCTTCTATCACAAGATGTTAAAAGGAGAATATTAGTCGTAGAACACCAGATGGTACATGGAAAATGATATGATGCTGTAGTAGAAAATGGAGAATGGTATCAGTAGTGCATGGGTAGACCCTCCCTTTCACGAGGAAAACATTGAAGATAGCAGGAAATATGTAGAAAGAAGGCTATTAAATAGTCGCACAAAAGTAGAAATGTGAAGCTGGGGGTATGTTTCGAAGAAGGGAGAAGAGGAGAACACCAAGAATTAATCTAGATGCTTTCGGTCATCAGTCGGGGCCATCCATGCTCGTGACCAGTCATTTTTATTGATAGTTGTTGAGCTGGCCATCTGGGCCTGTGAGTTCAGATGTCAGCAACAATATTTGATGTTGCAAGCCAGATGTGATTCGATTGACACCATGCCTAAACTAGACTGGAGTGGACATCGACACAGAATAGAGACGTGATCTTACTCACGGGCCGGTGGTGGGGGCTGTTGATAGACCTGATTTCCTTGGCCATACGGAGAGTGGGGATAATTGGTAGGATAGGTCGCAGGCATCTGTCCGTTCCCAGACGGATAAACAAGCCCACTGCCAGTCGAGTTGCTGTATTGACTTGGTACCTGGCCGTCCGCAGGTTGATATCCGATAGGAGGAAGCTGGGGACGGACGCCGGCCGGGTATGGCGCTGGCTGTGGCGGTTGCTGAGCCGTGGTCACGTTGTTTGGGTCCGGGGGGGCGTTATTCTCGGCTCCTTGGCTCTGAGCAGCGGCCCGCTCCCTCTCCTCTGCAGCTTTGCGCTGGTTTTCTTCTTCCTTCTTGCGTGCCTTCCATTCTTTTCGGATTTCTTTGAACTCTGCGGATATCGAAGCCTTGTTAGTCGCCAGATTACTCCAAACTGAAAAGCAGAGAAGCGCTAGTTCATCTTGGCATGACGTAGGGTTTAAAGTTCGGCGCCATCACACGCGCTACTGCAAATACGCCAGCACTGGCGCTGTGTAACACCAAAACTAGCTTGATGCGAACGCGTTTTGGTAGGCTAACGCGATTCAAAACAAAGGAAATCGTCAGAGGAAAATCGGAAAAATACATACCTTCGGGAGTACGTTTTGCTCCATGAGATTGCATTGTGACATGGGCATTCAAATGATTAAGAGTACCATACGCTTTTTCGCATCCGTTCCATCCACACTTATACATACGTTCAATTTCCTCATATCGTCGGCGCGGTCGCTTGTGTTGTTGGGAGCCGGGAATTGGCACGAATGAGTATACCTAGAATGCAAGAGCACGATCAGTCGCGTGTACGAGACGATGGAGCGCGCACAGTCGCAAAGACAGAATGTGGTCAAAACATACCTGTCCTGGGCGTGGTCCTGCTGTCGCTACTGGCGATGCAGTTCCGACAGTGGTTGCCGGAGAACTGTAGGGTCCAGGAAGGCCAGGCTGGTGCTGCCCGTATTGGTGAGGCCACTCTGGGCGCGCGTACATCTGTGGAGGCGGATGGCCTTGATACTGAGCCATATCATGGCCTTGAGGTTGGTAAGGGGAGTAGGGAGGAGGGTAGGTTGGGCTCGCCGCCGCGATCGAGGGATCTATAGGAACGTCCGTGTCAGACTTTATTTGCGTGGGATTGCGATGGTCATTTTGCTGCCCATCTTGCAGGTTCATGGACGGACTTGTTGCTTGAGCCATACCTGCCGCGCCGCCGGCTTGGGTATTAGGCGCGTGGTGGTATTGCGGCTGTCGAGCGAGATAGTCAGGATACGGCGCAGGTGGCCGTGCCGTAGCTGCCGGAGGAGGTGGAGGCGGAGCCTGAGCTGCCTGATTCAGGGTATATTCTGGTTGAGGCGTATTGGACGCAGAAATGTTGCCGGTGACTCGAGATTCGGCGGGTGCTGTGTACTGAGCAGGTGCTCGGTTTTCCGGCTGCGACGTGTTGTACTGAGGGGACGCGACAGCAGCGGCGGCGGCGGCAGCAGCAGCAGCAGTAGTCTGGTCTGCGGCTGACTGTTCAGATTCCTGTTCCGCCAAGTTTGGAGGATCGGAGGTCAAACCTGACTGCGCGTAGTCTTGGGCAGGTCTGTCCATATAATAGACTTGTCGTGTGGCCTAACTAAAAAAGGTCCCTTGTATATCCTCCGACAAGTACCTCGCGATCTTAGCGGCGGGTGGCTTCGCTCAGTCCAGTAGATTGAACCGAAACAGTTATATTATTATTGTATGGAGACGAAGAAAGAAGGGGTGTTCCGGTCACGAAAGAGCGCCGGTTCACAATATAGTAGACGGTGACCAAAGCAAGGTGTTCCTTTTTAGGTTCCAACCTGCGGGCGCGAAACAGGGTGCTCGACACCGCAGGCTAGTCCTTCAAAGGTTTGGCGAGGTAATTGGTGTTGTGGGCTGCACCCCAAACAAATCGCGTGGAAACTTGTGTTGGTCCAACTACCAAGCCTTCTTTTTAGACCCCTTTTTAGTTTCCTCTTAGCGAGAAAGACCTCCAGGGAGCAGAGCCACAGAAAATAAGTTATGCCTGAAGAACCAGACCAAACCAAGTATGGGCCGTCTCACGCGCGAAGTCGGGATGGCGATGCTTAAGAGCGCGATCTTCAGCGGCAAAGGCAACGAAACGCAGTAGTCCAGGAGGGGAAAGGTCTGGATTGGCGAGGTTCGATGTCGAGGGCAGAATACGATGGGGGGGGGATTTTTTGACGGAGTGTTTTTTGAGACGATGGTGCAGCGGTGGCAACTCTCAGTTTTTGAACTAAATTCGAGCCAGTTGGAGAAAGGTTGAAATATTTTAGACCGGCAAAGATTGGTCTTTTGCAGTGGGACCTGCAGCAGGAGCAGCCGATAAGCCAACGCGACCCAAAGGTCTCTTGCAGAGTTTGGTATGGTTGAAGGGGGATAGCCGACGGGGTGGTTGAACCAACGGTGGAACCGTTCCGCAGGGAAGAGGATAGGCAGAGACAGTTGTAGCGTCAAAAAGAAAAGAAAAATAATAGTTTGGCGGACGCTTGTGCTGAGTTAAATGTACCAAGATGTTATGCGTGAGGTGTGTATAAAACGGTACCGATGTTTGTACACTTCTGGACCGTACGAAAGTAACCCAAACGAGCCTGAGAGTCCCCTGGTTTGCTGGCGGATACGATGAAATCGATGTGAAGGGTGGAGATCGTAATTTTCCCTTCCTTTTTTTTTTTTTTCCTCTTGCTGTCCCTTTTCCTGCCTTACCCCTCTTGCTCCACACAAAAGTTAGTGAGGATGTGGGAGAGCTTTCAGATTCACGTATATAAAATTACACGTGCCCTATGGGGAGCCTCCCTTCCCTGGCTCTCTGTAATCTCCTTTTTTTCTTAAGAAAAAAAAAACCAACCGCGTTTGTTATGAATATCCCCTGTCTTCGACCTCGTCAGGATGTCGAACCCGGCGCTGCCAGATCGCGGCGGATGTGGAGAAGGAAAGCTCGTTGACTGCCAGGGAGAAGAGTCGAGCCAGGATCAAGCCTTGGTATTTGGGGGCCAAGTCGAGGTGGGAATCCTGGCTAACGAGTTTTGGCGGAATTTGATAATCCGATAAAGCAACAGGGCTCCACTCGACGAGATTGGGTCACCCTGCTCCGTCCTCAAGTCCCAAGCAGGGGTGTGGAGAAATTGCTTTGCTTCGAGAGCCGTCGCGGGCAATAATCGTTGGCTTGTGAGGCAACGCGATGCGAATGGATGTACTGTGTACGAAGGGCCAAAGCTAAAAACGTCGCGGAACGGCGATGATGCGGATTGTCGACCCTCCTTGGTGAGAATCCCGATTTTTGCTGCCGCTGGAGGCGAGAAACCTCTTACCTCTCCGTGGTCTTGCAAAAGGAGCAGCCGGTGTGGAATGAGCTTGGACCTCCCGCCTCGGATGGAGTTTGGTGAGATCTTTTTTTTTTTTTTTTTTTTTTCTTGTGACTTTTGGTGGCCCACCGATACGACCCACGCGCACTAAGGCTTTAGTACCAAAGTTATTTTGTTTTATTTTATTTTTTTTTCTGGCGGTAATTTCGAAAGATCAGGACGGAAGCGTGTTGGACTCGTGGTTCGTCGCACACCCAAGGATGGAGGGAAGGTTGAACTAGTCGAAAACGTCGTAGTGTCGACAGTAGCGTTGGAGGTGTGGTGCAATGGGATAGCTTGAGATGGGTTTAGTGTGGTGCCTGCTAGTGGGAAAAGAAAAAAAAAAAGAAGGGGAGCGCGAGAGAGGAGAGGAAGAAGGAAAAGCCGGGGATGGTTCAGACAGGCGAAAAGGCAAGAAAGCCAAAAGGCGTCGCTGGCTGTGGCGGGAAATCCCAGAAATTGGTGCCACGGGTTTGGACCAATCAGAATTCGCCAAAAGTCCTTACCCTTGTCGCGTATCGACATTTACGTGTATATTACGCTTTTAGTTGTGACGGATTCTGGAGATGTCCGGTACGGTACGGGTGTGCACGCTGTCCTGTAGGGAACCCGCGCTGGCTTGTTCCTCGCCGCCGCCAGCGCTTCTTGGTTGACGATCAGAACAGTCTGGGGGAGGACTTGGAGCCGCACGTCAACCCTGAGCAAGCTGGGCCGGAAAGGCTGTGAGCGAAGCATCTCTTTCTGGAGCCTGCCAGAACATGGAGAAAACTCTGGAATTTTGCCACGGCCTACAACCGAGGATACAGAGCAACTTTCACAAGATTTCTTGAAGAGGAGGTATGGAGCATGTACTTCATACTGTATCTTACACTTAACATTACATAGCACGCTGCAAATCATGCAATCGGCGTCCACAACCTCGCAATTCACGCAGTACCGAAATATGTACAATTCTTGTCGGTTTTCTGGAGTCATTTCGACAAGCCACGAAATTTTGGAATCGACAAAAATCTTACGGAGTAAGCAAGCGAACTCGCAAAGGCGTGTTTCAGGATACCCGTATGCTGGTGCTGCGGTGAACATCATCGCAACCAAAGGCACGGAAGGTGAGGGAGCTCAGGGCATTACGAAGTTTCATGCATGAACATTCATCCATCCGCATTGGAGGTCACAAGCCATCGAGCATCATTTTTGCGGGAGAATTGATATACATACGGAGCACACGTCCCGACAGAAGGACTTGCAGGAAGGGCCAAGAGGATTGAAAACTCGGATACTACCCTAGCATTTTCCCCGCCCTCCCCCCGGCCACCATCAGACCTCATTGCTTCAAGCTTTGCGGGAAATAAGCAGCTTTGGAAAGATATGTCTCCAGACAACTCTTGCCCCGTGAGCTCTCCGTGTGGAGTCGACTGACTCCGTACTCCCTACTCTTTCGCTAAAAGTTGATCATATTCGAACGGACCCGTCGCCATCCTTTCCCACCACCCGTGTTTGACATAACATCCATATGCAAGTCAGCAGTCTAAGGAGAGCAGCTGTCTTCAGCAACTTGAAGCATCGAACTTGATGCCATGCGCAACAAGCTTTCCTAGTGCCAGATTCCCACGTCAATCTGAAGCGAATCCATGGAAATCGCCCAACGTTGACTCCCGGGCGGCTTTGCTGCCTGTGGCTGGGCATCCGTCGCTGGGGACCGGCGCTGTTACAAGCGCAACTAGAGGCACAGCATGTAGAGCTGGTCACGGGGCCACTCGCTTCCCCCACCCAATACGAGCCAAGCCCAGCCTGCAGCTTCCAGGGCCACCCCAAACCGAAACCAACAAGTTTCTCCAGTTTATCGGGATTTCGGGAATTAGCGAATCCCCAGAAGGAAATTGGGCAAAAAAGAGACTCTCGGGCTTCAGCGCGATTTGCTCATTTGCCCGCCAGCTGGGGAGGCGGATGCGAGACCCAGCCCCATGAGTATGGCTGGCTATTCTTGCCTCTTGTCGCGGTACCCGCTGCACAGGGCATTCGATGACGAAGTATTCTTTCTATTCTTTCATGTCCCATGCAGAATCACACTGTTGTTCGTCCTCTCAGCAAAACTTTCCTCGGAGTTCTCGACACTGTCCTCCGTACTCCGTACAAATGGACAGAGTGCCTGGTGGATCGGCCCCCCTTGCCAAACGCTGATCCTGTCTTGGTGTGGAGCAAAGATCCCTGGAAGTATTCTGACAAGGTCCTCGAGCAGACCACAGCTTCAGTTTCAGTGCCGGCAAAAGTGCTGATCACAGGCAGATTTCTGTCTTCCTGCCGCTCCTATCAAAAGTACACTTTCTGTTCAATATGCCACGGGAATCTTGCTTGGGGACACGTACGCATGTTTGATCAAAATGAAGGCGCCTGTTTCGAAGCCAGATAAGACCACAATGCACATCGATTGCAAGTCGGTCAGGATCGATTTTCGAGAGCGTGTGTAAACTCATCCAGCCCTACAATCCAAGCTAGCTTGAGATCTTCTCCAAAAGTGAGGAAAAATAGTCGCTGTACCAAACTAACAAGGGCCGGGGGGAAGGGCAGAAGAAGGCGCGAGACCGCCCGGTCAGGACGATCGAAATTCTAGAAGCTCTCCTCCTCTCTTAGTCTCGTCTGACTTGGGATCGTCACTTGCAAATGTTGTGTCATTCTTCGAGGCTGGGTGTACGGAGTACTCTGCTTGTTCATTCGGCCAGGCTACTACAGCTGTATGGAGTATAAGATATACGTGCGAGGCCATACTGACACCCAAGAGTTTGTACTGTACAGAGATGTAGCTACTCCGTACTCGCCTACCAACCCTCTCATGTGTTACCCCGCGATTTTGTGCAAGAGTAGTTAATTTGGGGTGCGAAAAACTGGAGTACAGAGCCCCAATGCTAACTTCTCCAACTTCCAGGAGAGCCGCGGCTAACTAAATTAGCCGTGGAACCCTCAACGCACAATCTTCAAAAAGTTCTCCATACACAGTGACTCCATTCGTCCATGCATGAATGGAGAAAGAGATTTAGCCACAATCATCCTGCCTGGCCTGGCTACAAGCAGCAATGCTCGAGGTGTGTTGCTGTCAAGCTTTAGTCGCCCGAAGGGAACGTGGGGTTTGAGTTCCTCTGCATGTCCAAACCGTGAAATTTGTGGAGTTGCCCTCAGGTCCTCCAGACAACCTTTAAGTTTCCGCTTGTGATGCTTGAGGAGAAAGCTTTCCAAGCGTGATACCAAAATTACGAAACAACCTCGCTTGTGGCCACGCTACGGGTTTCTGTGCCTGGACTAAATAGACGCCAGAGCTAGTGGGAGGCCGGTACTTGTAGCTCCGTGTCAGGCACTGTTCGTCGACAGCTGGTTGCCAGAAAAAAAGAAGGATGGTGTCACCACCCTGGGGAGAGATATTTGATATGAATATCGCCCATCTGAAAAGCCACACAAGCTCTGCCGTGTTCATGGTTCATGTTGGCATTTCTTTACGCCTCTCTCCCCTCAGCCCTCAGGTACGCCTCGATTACCCCAAATGGGCAATTGAAGGAAGGCTTTTTCTGCGGGAAACCTGAAAAGTTTCAAAATGCTTGGCAGGGCTTTGCGGCGTTCCCCGGCAACAATTGGATCAACTTTCGACAGGGATACGTATCCGGCTGAGCCTTTCCATATTTGTCAGCCGAGAAACCCTGAGCCACTGCTGCAACTCACCCTCCATCCAAAACATTTTCAGACATCGAGAGACCGATGGAGACATCTGATCTTCTAGCTACCCGGAGGATGTACGAATAGTCCCCCGTTTATCTGCAGGTTTACATGCGCTTGCGCTTGCGCCCGCGCTCTCGGGCACAACACTATCGCGTAGCCCGGCCGTCGATCATTTCAACGCAACGCTGTTGTTGAAAGCAAAAAAGCCAGCCGTCGATCCAGTACGGAGTATCAAGAGTTGATTCAGAATTTGAGGAAAGGATAGTCCGCAAACCCAGCCATCGAAAGTTGCAAGGATTGGCCGTACCGGAAGGGCACGCGGGATTCCAAGTCTATCCATGCCTACAACCGCCAATAGCAAGGAGAATTGAATTGGCATGCTTTCGTTGAACCACATTCCTGGATTTTCGCGAGCCAACGAAGCAATTGCATATCCGGTCGGAAGAAGGAAGGCAAGACCAGAGTTTGCCATCAAGCACAGCACTTGCTTGATGCATGATCCTCGTAAGCAAGCCACATGAAGTCAGATTATTTTGATGCAGTCCGTTGAGGACGGATCGAGACCGTTTTCCCATTGCGATCTACTTGACTACAGAGTACTTGGGTCGAGATACATGGAATGTCTCCATTTGGACCTCCGGATTAACCCAATGCGTATGCATTCTGCATGAACCGCCCTGTTCGGCATTCAACCCGAACCTTAACCCACGAGAAAGAGGGTGGCAAGGAGTCAGGGATACGAAACAAGACAACCCGAGATCAATGCTGAGCGAAGGCCTGGCCGCTGAACCCTCTGTGTGAGTTCCTGCCGAACTCGAGCTTTGCCTTTTGTCAAGGAAGAGGGAGAAAAAAAAAAAATAAAAAAAATAAAAAAAATAAAATAAAAGAAAAGAAAAGAAAAGAAAAGAAAAGAAATAATAAAAAAAAACACGAGTGAATGAAGAAATGAATGTCATGCCATGGCCGTTGTCCCTCAAGCAAGCCGCTTTTTCGAGGCCACGACACCCAATGGCAGCGCCAGACTTGGTTGTTCCCCGCACGTTTGGATGGAGCCACCGAGTCAGGAACGTCCACTTACGAGGTAACAACTTTTGAAAAGTGGTTATTGGCCAATTAGCATACCGGCTTTGCGCCGAACCCGCATATCATTTGACTGCGGGAAATATGATTCGCCCGGATCAAGGAGACCAAAGCAAGTCAGCCCCTGACCTCAGCTTTTGGCTTGACTTTTTGACGAACAGAGTAAAAGGCCGATCACCCCCTCAAAGCAGCCAGCCAAGCCTGTCGAGATTGTTATCTTTCACTCAGGCTTTCAACTCCCGAACACGATGCGGAGTTATCTCCATTTCTTCAGATGAAGAGATTTGTGCATCTAGGCATCCAGCAGTTATGCTTTGCCGCTGAGATCATGGCACTTCTCAAAAAGCATGAATATTCCTCTCAGCCAGCTCAGGTTTAACCTCAAGCATGGCGCTACAATAAGGCAAAAAATGAGTCACTATTACTGCATCCATTTAGCCTCCAGAGATCGTTGCATTGCATTTCTCGTGGCTGTTCCCTTTGGCCACTTTGGGTTCAAGCTCGAGCACAACACCGACAATCTGTTCAGAAGTCAAAAATAAGTGGCTATTATCGCAACTCTGTTGCGATGGTGGCAACCATCCATAGAGATGAAGGACAGTCTAACAGATGACCTTGTGCGAATACTCTGGCAGATATCGCCCCCACCGCAAATCTCTCAAATTCCTCAAAGCGTTCTGACAGCCCACCTGTGCTGGCTTCAATCTTGCTTTAAGCCAACCACAATATTCAAGGTTGAGTGAGGTCCTCGTGCCTTTTATCCCACTGGAGGTGGAATGTCAGCATCCTATCATATACCATGACCAGGAGCTCTTTGTCCTCAGCATGTATGGAACACCTTTACACACGAGCACGGCATATTTCTCACCTAGACATACCAAATACATTGAGACAGCCTAGTATGCGTAGAGATATACTAGCAGAGCTTAAGCTGGATCACTCAATCAATTCACTTTGATCTCAAAGATAAGGAACGGAAGGTGCAGACCCTCAGATTCTTATGGATATTGATCAGTCATATCGCGAGTGGAAAAGCCTGGACCATTAATTGTAATAGTGGCAATTGATATAGCAAAAGATTGAACAGATAAGGGTGTCTTCATTCTTTTGTGCTTCTCTTTCTTCAGCTCTCCTCCCTGTTACCCAGCATTCATCCATTCTGTGCATATACCCCGCTGGACCACTATAAGGGCAAACGGCTTATTTGAGAAAGCCTATGATATGCATCTATTTATCAAAAAAGTTGCTCTTGGAGCTATTATAACTCACTATACTTCTGTCTGTCATAACAGTCTCATGGTCCGCAAACCATAGCAGCAAGAATATAGGCACCTTCGTCAACAGTGTCGGCTCCCCTTCAAGAAGGCCTATATAGTGGCGAAATATCAAAACAATCTCATCAAAGCATGTATAACTTCAAGCGAATCTTTCTTCAAACACAGGTTGTGGGCCGTGGCCTTGCATGAATTCCAACACAAGAACCTCGTTCTCCGAACACCTATTTGAATGCACCCTAGAAATCACATTGGCAGTCAAGTGTCCACAGGCTATGTGAATGTAAAGCCCATGAGAACCAATCACAAAAACTTCCTGGTCTTGCAAACCTGTGCTTCCATGTTGTACATTGATGGTTTTGGCAACGTATCCCAGCATCGCACTAAGTGTCTAACCCGGAAATTCACACCAGATCTGCCCTTTAAACCACCAAGGAGTATTAGAAAGATGCACATAGAGGGAACAAGCATCTTAACCAGATATTCACACCCAAGCGCAAGAGGTGATTCGCAGGCATTCCTTTCGCGCGCCTACAGTAGCTGCACCCTCTAGCCTAGTGATGATTTGTTCACGACTGAAAACTCACTTCAGGGCATACCCTGATATTATAAATCTATAGGGATTGTTATAGGAATGAGCCTATTTATGGGGGTAGCCACTCACTGAATTTTAGGGCCTTTGATACTTTCATAACTAGAATAGACAGTCTTCATCAACTTCCTTAACATCATACCCTGCAATCTCATAAAGTGCGTGAAACACTCTCTCTTTGACAGTTTCAAGCTTTTCATGACCAAGGCAACCATCTTACTTGCTCTCAAAGCATGGTTAACTCCTGTGTCACTCTGCTCATGTTCTCTAGCCACTCCCGGGGACTTCAACTTGGCGCATTAGGAAAAGATGATCAAAATATCTCTAAACTTGCACTCCCCTTCCTCTTCATTTGCAATATTAGTATGGCAGAATACCCGACGGATTAGTTTCTCCACGTCACTCTCTGATAATGTGTTAGTAATAGAAAACGTGCAAGCTGTAGAGTGGAGCAACCTGTGGAGTGCATTCTGGTTTTTATAAATTATACCTTCACATTCAATATCTACAGCTATAGCAATTCATCCATCAAGATCAACGAGCCTAGAACAAATGAATAGCTGCCAACATATCAGCAAAGAGAGGTATGTGGTAGTCAACAAGAACGAAGGGACAAAGCCAGGTTCTCACTCCTGGAGGATGGATGATAATGGGTCGGGATATAGTAGATCTACCATTCAAATGTTTAACCTCCATCAGGTTAAACGTTTTTTTCCGAAACTCAGATTGACGTACCTATCATCGACGGTACTTCGTAGTGCTGAGGAAACCATATTTAGAACTGGAGAGGAACATTTTAAGGCCACTGGATACTGGCTTGGAAATCCATGATCGACTTATATAATAAACCGTTGATAACGAAGTTACCATAGATATGGTTGTTCCGCAGGGTTCTCCCGTCCAGTTGGGATCCAACAATCCGAAACCTTTCCAACTTTTCCGGTAATACGGCTAACTTGGTCTGGAGTTAGTTAACTAACTAAGTAACTAGTTACTAGTTAACACAAGCTTGCAGTTAGCTCCTTTCATGAGCAACGCAATTCTCTATTAAAAGTCACGACATCGAATGTCGACGACAGGCAGGTCATGGTCGTGATTTTTTTAAAATCTTTGGAATCCCGGGATTTATACGGCTAGGTGTCATTGCTCTTGTTATTTATACCAATGGTGCTTAACAGGCATGGCTTCGCTATGGTTTAGTTTGGTTCCCGAAGCTTTCCTGAAGCTCCATGATGTGCTCGTCTGCCTGGCGAAGTTCAATGACGCGGTGTCTATTGAAGCAGAACCTGATTTTGTAGGAGATTCCATTCTTGCACGCACGTTGCTGGAAAGAGTACTGACTGGGCTTCAATCTTCTGTGCAACGTATTAGTTTCGGCTCTCGACCTTGAACCCTTCAAAGTCTGGCTATGCCTCGTTCACATTTGATAGTGGCTCGTTCTTTAGCCAATTTTCTTTTGATGGAAGAATGCGCGGTAATACTACCGATACTGGGACAAGGAGTAATACTGCGAAGTTGTCATGCCAGTTGTATATCAAGGTACTACTCTCTAACCCTCTTTTTTGTTATTATATTTCATTCTAACCTGAACCTCCCAAGGCACTTCTATCTGTATTCAAAGGGCGGACTATTGATTTCAAAGACAAGGATACGGCTGTCGAAGAATGTAAGGTCCAAATCCTTGATGGTTTGGATGAGACTGAGTGCAGGGTCGTCATTCAAATAATTTGCAAGCATGGTATGAAGTACTGACAACATCCCTTTGTGCTACTTGCAGCCTGCTGAGGGAGTATAGGGGTTGTAAAAACCTACAAGTTGATCTATGAGCCTGTGGAAGTGCGACATGCGGTTTTCGACAAGTCCAAGACGCAGAATAAATGGGTAATAGATTCTAAATTCCTGCGGGAAATTGTGGAATATTTCGGGCCTACAGCCGAGCAACTTGATATATTTACAGATAACGGAAAGGCTATATTTACGAGTTTTACTACGAGAGTAACGAATGGGAAAGGTAGGGCAACACATGCATTTGTGGATTCTATGGCGACACTGGATCTAATGATATACGCAGAAATCCTGAAACAACCCGTTCATACATCCGTTGCAATTGACACCAGAGATTTTGAATCTCATCTTGTCGAGGAGAGACTCCATGTGGCGATAAGCGTCAAGGATTTCAAAGCCATAATTATGCATGCAGACACGCTCAAAACAATGATTACTGCTCGGTATACTCGGCCATGCCGTCCGTTGCAGTTTTCATATGAATCGGGTGGTATGACTTGTGAGTTCACGCTGATGACACGAGGAGAAACCGAAGATATCGACGTGTCTTCAAATGGTGATGCACGCGAGCTATCCGCAAGATCATATTCTCGACCTCCGCAAACGGCTTCCGTGAATAATGGGAGTACTGCTGTGGTGGAGCATGGGGATCCTTCGAGGAATGAATCTGCACAGGCATCCTTCCGAAGAGGAACTATCGAAGAAACTCCGCAGGAAACACCAGCAGCAGCGTCAGCCTTGCTTGATCCAAACAGTTTGTTCGTCCCAATGGATGACGATCGTCAATGGGACGAGCCTCAATATGGAGAGGAACAAGAAGATATTCTTGGTTGGGATGCGAGTATAAACCATGTAAGATAACATGAGCCCTTTTTCGTTCCTGCATCTTTATTAATGTGATATAGCAGGACATGCAGCCCAGCTTTGTGGGAACAATCCAAGATCGCAACGTCACAGTTGAAGAAAGCGAGGAACGGGCACGCGAGACCGAATCAACAGCTATTCCCCCGACTCAAAGAATATCTCAGGTATGTCCTATCACTACGTTTAAATGTAAAATTCGATGGGGAATATGCGGCGCTTCTCCACTGAATTGTTGCATTTTTATGCAGGTATACGGGCTAACCATAGCAGATACGAGGATTGTTTGACTCAAGCGGGTGAAAGATAAACTGTCCTCGGAGGATTCCACAATTGGGATTTATCATCCGCTGGAAGATTTCGGCCCAGTCATTGATCGCATCGTTAGTGCTCCTCAAAGGCATGAGGTCTTTCCTCCGTCATAAGCCAGCTGGTAGCGCAGCCCGCCCCGACTGCAGTAATGTTAAGTCCTTCACCACCAGCGGGTGGGACTTTTGCATATCGTCCCACGACATTACCTTGATCGTTAGTCTCTGGGCCACAGTTTCCGTGCTCACCCCATCCAAAAGCGACTACTCGTTTGTTGTCGATAGCAGCGACGACGTGTTCACTTCCGATTCCGATCAAAGGGACTCTGGGAAAATCAGGCGGCGGTAGCTGCCCGCGGTCATTCCGACCCCACGCAGTAATGGACCCATCGAAATTGTGACTGTAAATACCATGCCAACTTGCAGCGACGGAATTGTAGCCCTTCAGTGTCGATGGGGCTCCAGACTGCACCCCCCATTTATCTGAGCCAAGGATCACCAGGGACCCTTCTTCTGCATCCCCCACAATTATAGTAAACTCCCTCCCACACGCGGCGTTTCTTGCTTGGAAAGGAACGTTGACTCTCTGTGGAGACCAAAATATCTTCTTTTTAACTCCTGATTCTCCAAGTTGGCCTTTTCTCGCATTGCCCCAGCCATATACTTCCCCATTAGATAGTATCACCACAGTGTGTCCAACACTACCAGAAATACCAACAATCTCCGTACCCTTAGGCGGAAAATTCGGTATCCGTGTCGGGACATTCATTTCAGTGACATTCTCTCCGAGGCCCAATTCACCTTTCATCCCCGTGCCTGCAACATAAACATACCCAGTGCCTGCTTCAACAAAGCAAGAAGATTCCCATGTAGCCGACACAGAGGTAAACCGGTCAACTTTCCGCTCGCCATCATAGATAACAACCCGGCTAAACTCGAGTAATATTTCCGCGTCTTCTGGGGCATATGCACATCTCCCGTTCCCATTCGATCCCGCCGCATACACTGCGCCAGAGCTGAAAAGGGCAAGAGTATGGTTTCCTCCCGCGGCCAGGCAAAATGGCACGTTGTCATTGTAGTTATTGGGGGGCGCGTTCGTGGCAGCTTTATCCATCGAGTTAGGCTCCCATTTGATGAGACATCTTGTTGGGAAGGCAACGTCTTCCCTGTGACCAAGGCCGAGTTGGCCGGAGCCGTTGGAGCCGAAGGCGTAAAGGGCCATTTGAAATTCCTTTTTGATGGCTTTTTTTTTTTTTTCCGTTGTTGTAGTTCTCTGGGCCTTTTCTCTCTCTCTCTCCCCCCCCCCTTTTCTTTTCTTTTCTTTTCTTTTCTTTCCTTTTTTTTTTTTAGAAGAGACTTTGTGCTTTATTGAATCTTTAGGAATTGAGGAATATGGTATGCTCTCTTGCTCCGGAAATGGCTCCCCCCACTCGGGGCAGAGGATGCTTTAACAGGGAGTATCACCACCGCAGAACCCCAAACAATCAATTTTGTGAAGAGTATCAGCTTCCCCTTCTGCTGTGCATTTATGGTGACCGAGACTCTATTCCATGTGATGCACGACAAAGCTCTCTCCCGGGCATTGTCCGCATGGATGCATCGCCTCGTCGGGATTCACATCAATCTTCACGTGACTCTTATCAACAGCCCGCGCGAGACACTGGGGTTTTTGAATACCATAATATTGTGTCAATATCCGAAGAACTACACCATTATAAGAGGCTCTTATTAGTAAAGCTCATAATTTATTCTTGTAGATTTCATCTTCTATGAATAAAACCATATTGGAATCCAGTTATTTCTCTTGCTAGCTTTGATAGAATATCATACATTGTAAATCTAGATGCATGTGGAGTTTATGTTGACAATTATCAATGAAGATCTTTCTGCGTTCACTGTCTTATGCCATATCATTGATGAAGAAGCTGACGAGAAATTTCTCATGAAGCAACATGAATTCAATTTTGGTAAAGATCATTTTAAGTCGACAGACACCATGTCTATCTTCTCTGAACAAGAACTAAAAGTCTGCTTCCGCAAAAAAGAAGCAGTCCACTCTTGTCACTACTGATAAAGCAGGGAAGAGTGATGAAAATAATGTCAAATATCAATAATCAGACAAAGACTGATGAGAAATTTCAGAAAGTTGGGTTCTTCGTTCAGTCAAATGATGTAATTGCTTTAATCTAACTAATCATGTTTCAAGCGCCATCGTCGCATAACGGTTGACTTTGGCAGGGATCAGCCCCATCGGTCTCGATGTATCCCGAAACCTCGCAAATCCCCGGCCCGCGGGCGAAATCGGAGGGTCCGGGTATATCATTTATGAAGGAAATGTCTATTCGTAGGGGCAGGGGCTGCTTGCGAAGCGTCTCGAAATGGTCAAATGGTGGATTAGGATAACAACAACAGACGGGCGTGGGTGATCTACTGCGTCCCGGACATCAGGTGACATGGAAGCAACTCTTCCGCTTACTGACTTGATGATCTTCCATTTTACTGCTATTCTCCGGAGATCATTATTTGATGAATTTCATATCAACATTTTTGAATCGGGGTCAACATCTAGGGTGCCCAGGCGAATGAATTATATCACCCGATTTTAAGGTTCAGGGACTAGGAGATTCAGATCTTCCGATTCCATATTGTCAATCTCCCGGCGCACGGAGTACAACATAAATAAATGAGACCTGAATTTGAAAGTCATTAAAATCGCAACTATTACCTCTCGTTCCAACATGCTGAGGACGCGACGTCTTCAGTGATGGGAAATCACATATGCATCTGCTAAGGAAGAGGAAGTTAATGTTCTTCATCAACTGGGATATGACCAACAGACGAAATTTTTTGCTCATCTTAATAACCATCTGACATCGTTGCCCGTCATCTTGGGTTAAGCTCGCCTGCTGTGTGCCATATGGCAGAAGAAAACGACTGGTTGCATGGTAGTCTTAACACTTGCATTCCTGTCACCATCGTCGGCCCCTTGGTATCCGTGTAATGATTCGATTTCCACTTCCCTACCGCATTGGCGAGGATTTCGGGCCTGGGAATGCCGATGAGAAAATTAGGTGCGAGGCAGGAACCTATGCGTCGCTACAAGGAAATTGCTTCGATATTCCGATTCCACGATTGTACGGCTTTGCTCTTTCAGATGGTGAAACTGTACGGCTTTGCTCGGAACCCCCTCTCTAATAAGCTAATTTAAATGAGTTTACTCCGTACTCAGCTTGAAAACTTACCGCCCTTAATTCAATGGATTCAACGTTTTAAGCGTCGATTCATTTCATGGCTAGGACATCCAATTCCGTCAAAAAACATCCGCTCGCAGAGGAGAAGCGATAACATCATTGGAACCGGCTATTTACTGATGGAATATATTGAACCAAGCCGAGGAACTATGCTTTCCAATACATGGATGGATAGTCAACATGATATGCAACTACGGACCAACCTGTTTCGTGGTAGCCTCAGCCGAGTTCCGCTTCCTAGGATTGGCTCCTTTATTATTGATGATCACAAAGGCTTTTTGGTCCTAGCGTATCGGCTACTTTGCGTCGAAATTCAGCTGCTAGAGAATGGACGAATGTTAACAGATATACACCGCGATTATACATATTCAACTGTCGACTCCTATCTTACGGATATTCTAACATTTCATGTCCACCGTTTTCGGTATCAACCAAATGCGGTGAATCATCTTGAAGACTGTGCTTTCCAGCTGTCTTTTCTCACCGGAATGCGAGCAGTTTCAAAATCCTTTTCCAAGCGAATTTGCGACGCGGCCCATTTATTTTGACCTTTACTGACATGCATCAAAGCAACATATTCGTGGATAAGGATAGGAATATAACATGCCTTGTCGATTTGGAGTGGGCTTGCTCTAGGCTAATTGAGATGTTCAACCCTCCTCACTGGCTGACTCACAAGGGAGTGGACGAGTTGGTGTTATCGGACTATGATGCAGTGCGAACAGAATTTATGGGCATTATGACAGCCGAGGAGAAGAGACAAGATCCAACCGCAATGGAAAGGGATAACAGTAAGGAACTTCGACAAATCCTCCCGGCTGTTATGAAGAACAGTTGGGCAACTGGAACTTTCTGGTATGCATCGGCGCTCTCCAGCCCTTCTGGCCTCTTTGGGATCTTTAAGGAGCATATCTGACCATTATTCTGCAGAGATTATATTGAAGAATTCAATTTGGTTATGCCCTTCCTTTGGAAAGGAATGTGGAATACATCGCAAGCCGCAAACTCTCGGATAAAGAACAGTACGACAAAAAGCTCCGACAAGAGTTTGTGAATGATGCAGATTGAGCGGAGCTCTCTTACGAACTTTTTCCTTCAGAGGAGCCTTGGTTGCCATCCCGGCCACCTTGAAAGTGATACTGAACAGCGCGGCCGAGGGCCCTCATCGCTTTCTCGGTTTGGCTTTCATTTCTTTTTTTTCCTCGCAGCTTGGCCCGAGGAGCTAAGTAGGTGTAGATTTTTAACATCAGCTTTGACCCCAACGACTGCCTCTTTGCCTTTGGTTCGGTCGGGTGAAGTCTGGTGTGCCACCTTAAAGGTGATCAATTATCTGTATTTATATGGTTAGTAGGTATGGTGGGAACCGCGACCATATCAGAATTTCGTAGGCCTGGAAAAAACTGGGGAGCTCTGATGAACCCACTGTGAACAGAGCCCAAAAGATTCCTGCAGCAGGAATGATGTCTTTACTGTTTTTCAAGTAAAAACAGTTCTTATTTTTAAATATTTCTCTGTCTGAGAAATATTCTTAACTACGGAGTACTATAAAGTAATTTAAAAATAAAAATATTCCCGGAGTTATTGAGAGTCTAGAACCATATCAAAGCCACTTGATCTCGTGGCCCATACCGCAGATTTCCTGTGATTCATCAAAAGGTAGCCTTGCCTCCGCAACTCTGTCTTCCTTGTCTTCCTTTTACCCACTATTGGTGGGCTGTTGAATGTGCTTTATAAAAAGTAGCAGGAATAAATTAACTAATTAACACAGATGGGGAACACGCTACTTCGATGCCAAAGGCGATACTAGGACAGACATTAAAAGGCAGGTTAGGCCTCTACACAGTCACCAAACAATTGCAAGACTGTGTTTAGGTTGTAACGTATGTATCAGTTTATTTATTGTAACCTTGGGCTTAGCGAGACAATTCGCTCATTGACAGCACTTACAGGAACCGAAATAAGGCAAATGCTGTTGTGAAATGTGCCAATCACTTCCCACTCCGGAACAAGCGCGACATCTTGCGCCAACTCCAAAACAAAACTCCATTTATACGTCCACTGCTTGATGAGATTGAAGACCCCCCAAACCCTCCTGCCATAGTATTGACTCATTGAGGTACCTAGATGATGATGTTTTACACGCCTCCAATACCCAACGCCTCACTTGTCTAGAGGCGAAATACTTCACCAAAAAGGTCCTTGAGCACTCTCAGTTTTGCATAGAGAAGGCTTTGTTCATACCGGTGCGGATTTTACTCCTCAGAATTCTGGTGCTCTTTGAAGCTTGCTCATATAATATAGATGTCAAGCCTGGCAATGTGTTGGTGAACTATGGCCAGGATAGCAAGCAACACAACCGGTTTACGGACGACCAACTAGCTGACTTTGGAGATACCGTTCGTGAAGATTTAGCTTACGCGTGGGATGGGGACGCCATTGGAACACCAATGTTGAGAAGTCCTGAAGCACATTTGCAAATGCGATGGGGACTCCAACTGATATCTGGTCCTTTGGGGCACTGGCAAGTTTTCATATTCCAGAACAATGGAAATCTTGGGCCGTAGCTACTAATATTGTCTCCTTGCAGGTCGTCAGTTTGTTGTATGGAGAAGGATTCCACATATTCAAACCGGACGCCCCGGTCGATCACGACGAGTATGACCTCAAGATCCTTATGGAGCATCACCGATGCTTTGGCCCATTTCCACTCTCCTCCTATCAAGAGATTGCGGATGAAGGTAGACTAGAGGTTCTGAAGTGGATCATGGAAAATAGCCCTGCCGAGAGCTTGAGACCCTTTCGCCTCACAACTTCATGGGAAATTTGCCAGGAGGATAAGGGGTTTGTGCTGAGCATAATGAAGCTTGACCTGCGAGATAGACCGACTGCGCATCAACTCCTGGAGGATGAATAGTTCTCCTAAGCTTAAGTACTTACCTAGGGTACGGTGAGTCCATGCCTACTTGATGCACTTAAGCCTGCTACCGACAAACCAGTGGCTACTGCGGAGTATGCGAACTCAGAAAAGAATTATGCGTGGTCTTGCGCGTGGTCTGACTGAATTGTGAAGTTGCCTAACCTGTGCACCTCCCCTAATGCATACACTCGGATCGTCTCGCTTCCCAGCATTGAGCAGCTCTGCCACTCTGCATCACTCCGCATCACTCCAACCCAAGCTAATCCTCATTCACAGGGAAATGCAAAGTTTTTCCGTCTTTGCCGTCGTAACAGACGCCGGTGAAGTGGTCACGCGGATCATCACTCTTATGCTCGGACTCCGTAGCTAGTGGGCCAGCATGAGTAATTGCAGTGTGCACCGCCGCGTTTTGCGTACCTTTGGCACACATCAACCGTCCCAGGAGGCAACAGGTCCTTGGATGTCTCGACAGCTTTCATCCACCGTGGCCCTTGCTCTTGCACGACAGAATCCCGCCTAACCCACTTTGTGGTTTGCGTAGCAGGAAAGACTGTGATCTCCTGCCCAGCTTGCCAACAGGAATCTTCTTTACAATTTGATTGTGGGACATCGTCGAGATTTTGTCGGGGGAACCCGGCTTCGAAGGCAAATCAAATGGGTTGTAAAATCACGGGAAAGGGAAACTGACAATCTGGAAGCTATCTGTTCAGATTGCAAACCTTTGAAAGTGGGTGGAGAGCCAGCTTATAAGTTCTTGAGGCCTCCATCGACATCGAACCTTTCACCAATGATTTTGCGAGATCCCAAGCCCTTTCAGACTACTAAAAGCGCGGGCCTTCTTATTGGCAGGAACAGTCTGCTTTTGAGGAGGAGCGATGGAATTGTTGGCGACTCGGCCGCTGTCGAACTTTTCGATTTGTGAAAATCGGGTTTCCTTCATGGGGTAGCAGGATACAGACCCTTTTCATCACCAGGGTCTCCAAAGCAAATGGCGCTACCCAGCTCGAGTCCTCGACCAGTAGTAGTATGCTTACTGAACGTGGTTTGACTCGCAGGCACCGCACCACCCTGTCAATGCCTGCTTAACTGAATAACATGATCATCTTGAAAATAGCCAGAATAGAATTTCATAACTTGGCAATGTTGAATCATAGATCACCGCTTTGCTAATTAGATAGGCCAGGTCAGTGATACTACATTTGAGACAACTGGGTTTCTACTGATTGTGATGTCTCTTATACCAGATCACATCAGGAGTTGTTGCAGCTGTGGATGCCTCTATGATAGCGGAGCCTCACACGTTTGTTTCTTATTTCTTCAAAGCATTGATTGCTGTTGTCACAGAATGACTATTGTTTGCAGCCGAAAAGATCTCTTGACATCTGATCGGAATCAGGTTACAACACTGTAGCTCATTAATTAGCATGAAGAATAATTTCCTGGTGCGTAGCTGTTTAGATATGTATGTATGTAAACCACAGGAACTTGGTAACCCCTTTGGTTCTGCTCTTCCTCCGTCTTTCCCACTCAATCTAAAAGCTGTGTCTGACCTCCACTTTGTAGCCATATTTGGCGGCGAAGGGATCATATTGTCATATACCACTTGATGTGGTGTTGAATCCATGTGGGACATGGCTGAGCATTGAATTCTAGTATACCCAGATCCTCAATTCTCACAATATAGTACAAACAAGAGGGGAACCGATCGGATGTCAAGCCCAAAAATTAAATTTGGATATATAAGGGTGTACCAGGTCTGTGTGGGTGGCTTCAACAGGCCAGAATAATCGCTAAAGCTTTGTAAACAACTAATTTTGATATCACATGGGGGATTTTCTGGTTAAAAGCTCTCACGAAGGTTTAAGTCTGAGGTTCTACGGAGTAGTCTGTACACCAAATTCACTCACCAAGAGATGCATTCGCACAAGACTGCCTTGGCATAAAGCTTGGTGGGAGCTCACCGTATTCAGGAAATTGCGAATCGACTTGAACGAACGTGGTTGGTTTCGGGCGGAGCACAATGTCTGATGGAGGATGAAGGAACTGGCGGTGAAGTCTTGTCGTTTGAGTCCGCCCACCTTTAAGACTGGAGGGGCTGTTAGATCTGAGAGCGGTGGAGAGCTCGAGAAGACACGGGGATTCGTGTCTCAGCCTTGTGAGATTCGCGGCAAACAAAGATCGATGATTTGCCATAAGGTAGGTAATTTTCTCCACAGTGACAGATCAATGGGCAGCATTTCAAGAACCGTCGTGGGCCGACATTGGCTTATAAGTAGCCTTGGGGGGCGCTCTGTAAGTCCCAGAAAATTCCAATTCGCGAGGTGTTGAGCAAGAGCGATAGGAATCTTAAAAAGGAACAGAGCCCCTGCGATTTGGATTCCCGCAAATTTCTGCTGGGGAGCAGTGGTCGGGAGAGAGGAAAGTCAAGAATTGCATTTTGTTTCTCTGGCGCAGAAAATGATCCTGGCATTCGGAACGACTCTCCAATCCCCTGCGTCTCTAAGCCCACTTGGAGTCGGTTTAGCTTTCTGTTTTGTCGTGCATTTGGCGATTTGAAACCAAGATCATCGGAATTTCTCGCGTCGGTCCGTCCCTTCATGCTTATGCGGGTTTAAGATAACTAACAGTGGAGATAGCCAGAAGCAGGCGTTGGCTGGCCATGAGCACTGGCCGCCGAGAGATCTTTTTTTTCACGCTCCTCTCTGTCCGCCGAGAAACACGACGTCGAAAACTTCTGGGTAAACCATTCGCAGGCAAGCGACATGATTTCGAGAGCAATTGATGAAATAATTTTGACTTCTGCGGCCAAGGGGACTTGGATGCCAAGGCACCGCTGCGAGAGCCGACGGCGAAAAGTGGGAGGCTACTAGCGGCGCTGATAGGCTGGCCGGCAGACGATGATGTCGCGGCTCCCATCCTCTCCACCGCGGGCTCCAGGCGGCCCCATAGCTTGCTGGAGGCAGAGCAGGAAACCTGGTGTATTTAAGATGGGCTCTGTCGTCATTGCAACGTGCTGATATGTAACAAAAGGCAGACAATTCGTCCCCAAATGACCTGAACTTAGCCGAGAAGCGGCTGGAAAGTTACTTCTCTGAGGTAACTGGTATCGAAGAGATACATCTTGACAAGATACTTCCCGGACAGCCAGGGTGTGACAGAAGCAGACGGACTGGGCTGCACAGACACACGGACTCGACAAAACAGCGCATATACAGGCACAACATCAGGTAACCATCGCATTGACTGACTGACCCCTCCCTTGCCCGCTGCCCCTCCTTCCAATCCTTTCTCATAACCACAACAACAACAACAGCGGCACCGTCTTCACTGGCGCCACATTTGCTTCCACTATTCTCTCTCTCCTTTTCTCCCTTCTCCATCCTCCATCGTCCTCCCACCAACCTCACCCTTCCCTGACCTCACTCTCCACTCTGCGTATCCCATCCGTCCACCCAGTGCCCGCTTCTCTTCTTCACTTCCAAACCTCACTTCTCAACCATGGGTAAGAAGGCTGTCCACTTTGGAGGCGGCAACATCGGCCGTGGCTTCGTTGGCGAATTCCTCCACGAGTCTGACTATGAAGTCGTCTTCGTTGATGTGATGGACTCCATCATCGACGCGCTCCAAGGCGCTTCCTCATACAAGGTCACCGAGGTTAGCAACGAGGGAGAGCACACCAAGACCGTCACCAACTACCGTGCTATCAATTCCAAGCATAATCTCGACCAGGTCATCAGCGAGATCTCCACCGCTGATGTCGTCACCTGCGCCGTCGGCCCAAACATCCTCAAGTTTATTGCGCCTCCAATCGCCAAGGGCATCGACGCCCGTACTATCGAGAGACCACTTGCCGTCGTGGCCTGTGAGAACGCCATTGGCGCTACCGATACCCTCCACAAATTTGTCAAAGAAAACACTGACCCTTCTCGCGTCGAGTCCCTTTCTTCTCGAGCTCGATTCGCCAACTCCGCCATCGACCGTATCGTCCCCACTCAAGACCCAGATTCGGGCCTCGACGTGAAGATCGAAAAGTTCTACGAATGGGTGGTGGAAAAGACACCATTTGGGGAATGGGGACACCCCGATATCCAGGCTATTCTCTGGGTCGACAATCTGGATCCTTACATTGAACGTAAGCTCTACACTGTCAACACTGGACATGCTACTGCCGCATACTACGGGTACAACATGGGCAAGAAGACTATCTACGAGTCTATGAGCGACGAGAAGATTCGTGGCCATGTCAGAGACGCTCTCTCTGAGACTTCGACCCTTATTGTTGATAAGTATGGCATTCCAGCCCAGGAGCAGCGCAAGTACGTCGACGCCATCGTCGCCCGAATTTCTAACCCACACCTCGAGGACGTAGTCGAGCGTGTCGGCCGTGCCCCACTTCGCAAACTCGGTCGCAAGGAACGCTTTGTCGGCCCTGCCTCTCAGTTGGCCGAGCGCGGAAAGAAAGTCGATGCCTTGTTGGGGGCTATGGAACAGGCTCTGCGATTCCAGAATGTTCTCGAGGACGACGAGAGCTTCGAGCTTGCCAAGATCCTGAAGACAGAATCTGCAGAGGATGCAACCGCGAAGCTGACTGGGTTGGAAAGCGACCATCCACTTTTCGCACGCGTTGTTGAACGTGTTGCGAAGGTTCAGAAAGGACCGAAGTAAGTGATCACAGTGTTACCCTAGTGCGATGACCCCGATTTGGAGCAAACCCGTTTCACTGTATTTGTTGCTTACAAGAATTTTTACGGCATTACCTCAGTGTGATGATTTCAATTTGCAGGCGCCTCGTTTCACTGTACTCTGCTGCTTATGAGTCTCTGATGAAATCACGATAGTGCTCCGATCCCCGATATTCAACAGACAGAATATCCTATTATGGAAAGGCTATGAGATTATGGTATTACGATTGCACGGGCCTAAGAAAAGGAAAACGACAAATTATGATATGGTTATTAGCAAAAGGGAATTGATATGTATGAAACTCGTGGTTATGTTGCTATAACCCTTCCGGAGCACAGGGGCAGCTTTTCGCCCTTGATCCAAAAATAGAAAATCACATGTTGAATTTCTAGTCACTTATCCTGTTTCTCGTTATTTGAGTATTGTCATGCATATGGACAGCCTTTACGCAATGTGCTCCCAGTCCAATCCAACATGGGGCGGCTTTGTAGCGGTACGATCGCAAGTATGGGAGCTCAGCCTGTCAATGATGTCATCATGAGCATTGACTTTTTAGAAGCACAGCTGGTTCCTGGTTCTCTTCATGGATTATGACCCAGCGATCGTCGAACGATTTCTCCATCTTTCACACTAAAAGATGCATTATGCATGCCCATGTCCAAAATAAATATAGTATTAGGGCTTCGCTGGGATGGGGTTACTCTTAGCTACATTGTCCAAAGTACACACCGCCAAAACTTGAGATGTATTTCTCGCGGAGGGGGGGAAAGGTCGGGCAGTTAACCTTGAAAAAAAAACAGTCTAAAAGTAATACTGCTACTTTATTGTCGCGCGAGCATGCATAGGTGCCTATGGGGTAGCGTGGGTTAAGGAAAGAAGCAAGATTAAGCGAATGAGCCGTCTTCAGAAGCTGAGTTTCAAAGCACCATGCACACTCCTCTTTCCTGGTGCAGAGCTCTCGACGGTTCTGAAAGGACACGCTTGCCTTCAAGGCCCTAAAAGAAGACGAATCCCGCAAGGAGATTGCCTTCAAGAAGTGTCGAACATGAGACTGACTCTGTAAAGCGCGGGCGGGGTTATATAGGGTAGCTGGCTTCGAGAGTCATCTGCAAAGAGTTGGTTTCGTCGATTAATCCCCTAATTTTATAGTCTCTTTTCCTGTAGGACTCATGAGATCGTCGCCATCGCCAGGATTCGATTTGTCTGGAATATGGACTTCGAGCATTATCGTATGTGTTGGGCTTTGGCAGTATTTATTTATTTTTTTTTTGGGCGTTCGCGTGAGTTTTGAAGCATGTATCTCTTGGTGACCTTCTGAATGTGCATCTGGGGCCAGAAAGGGTAGTGGCGCTATCACTTTGTTGTATAACAATAAAACAAAGAGGCTGGTTTCCCTGAAATGGCCTTGGTGAGTTAGTTAAACAAAATAATGATGCATCAGTCCAAGCATATACCAAAATGCAGTTTAGCACTTGACCAGGCACGCGAACAGAGTAGCTTCTCGATCTATAATACTATTAACTGTATCGAAGACAATGACGATATAGATTTATTTTGAAAATGTTGTAGGATGGGAGAGTGCCCCCACCCGCCCGCGTGGGTGTTGTGGGGGCTCTGAGTGCTGGTCCCGGAGAACAATCCGCGTTCTTTAGGATGTCGCTCAACAGGGTGTTCAGAGTCTGTTTAAAAATGATATTCTTTGGTAGCAGAAAAACTGAGTGCTCCAAGGAATCAGCATATGAGCTCGCAAGATTGGACCATGATCTCAAAAAGCACTTTGGAGATTCTGGTTGGTGATTCCAACCATTGGGGGCCTGAAAATGATCTATAAAGGTATAGAAAAGAGAAAATTAACTTGATATGACCAACACTCCTGGGAAACCCGTTAGGAGGCATAAAGGTAGGCTATGTCCTCTTAGGACATGTGTAGGTGAAGGTTTGCAGGCATGCAAGGACCATGCAATGAACGACATGCAAAAAGCACTCACCATCTAACTGCTGCGAATATCTGGTGATGTGATCACTGATAACGCTCACTCCCTTTTTAAATTTCAATCTGGCGGTCAAACACAGAGGTTTTCGCTGTTGGTGTTGCATGAGATAGGGGTATAAATCTGGGAGAAAGAAAAAAAAAAAAAAAAAAAAAAAAAGGGGACTCAAGAAAGAAAAAAGACAAGCGGAAAAGGAACTGCAGGGAGAAAATTGCCTGTGGTCTCTGCCACTGGCTCCCTGATCTATCGTTGCGGACACAGGCACACCCTGTGGTTCAGAGGTCTGAGGTGTCTTTAGTTTCGGTATAATGGAGGTCTTTCAGCCGGTGTAGGCATTCTCGGTGAACATTTTTTCCGTACACTCGGCCTCGGCCCTGGCAACGGGAAAACTGCTGCCCAACATTGTTGGAGGCTTCTTGCGTATGAGTGGGCACAAAATTTACGATGTCTTGGGCCTGGGTGGGGGAATCCGGAACTTGTACCCTTGCCATTACAGTATCGCATTAACCCTGGCCTGATTCCATCCTCGTTAATTTCCAGAGGAGAAGAAACCAACAAAAATTTCGCAAAAAATATCCAGGGGGTTAGTAGGGCTTCTTCCAGCAAAACTACCCTTATTGAGAGTACTCTGGACTGGCCGGCAAATACATTGGAGAAGTCGTCGGGCCGAGAATTGGCTAGTCCTTGGAAGCCGTTCCAGCCGCACGAGGCTGTGCTCGGAAAATCCATGTGGCGAGCCACACTGCCAAGAAAATACTATTCCATATAAGGAGAGGCGGCGATCCACAGGGCAGGTTAAGCGGCTTGGCGAGAACCGTGGCTTTGACGGCGGCCACTCGCCATGATGTAACTCTTCTGGCAGCGTGGAGTGCGACCTGTCCAGAGTTCTCCCCACCCTCACCGGTAGAACAACGCTCGACAACGCTCGAACCACCAGGCACATGCCCCATACCCCAACTCGGCTGGTTTTCCTGTCCTCGTATATCATTGTTCCTTGCCATGATTTTCTCTAACAAATGAGACGTAATTCCTCCACCTCGATACACGCATATACATAGTTACATATAAAATGGCCGCATCCTGACGGCCATCCTGCAACCTCCCAGCAATCGAGGAATAACCCTCTCAATGTTACTGCTTCATTAGCTCTGTTTCTCACCTTGTTTATCAAAAGAAGCATGGGATACCACTGATAGACTGTTATGTCGGCTGAAATGTAAGTGAGAAGCTGCAATTTGACCATCAACATTGACCCCGCCAATCAAGAACTCTACTGCCAACCATGCACCAAGCGCATAGGTCTCTGTTTGGAATGCTTGTTGGATGAACCATGGATGCTGGAAGTCGCAGCTGAGCAGGAACTTGTTTTGTTTCCATCGCGGCCTTCTGAAACACAGTCAGAGACCTCAACTTCTTGCTACTTCCAATACTGCCCTGCTTGATCCGAACTGTGGGAGACCAGAGCCATAGGCAATTTCTTAGCCCGTTGTGTTAATGTGGAAATCTTTAGTTCTGATATTATTCCTGAATGTTATCATTTCATAATATCAAGGGATCTAGATGCTAACTCACTACCTCTAGCTATTTCAGCCTCACCTGTGCTTGTGTTCTACCAAGCACACACTCAATCTTACTTTGACAAGAGCTCAGCTGGTCTTTGAATTGATCCTTAAAGGGAAAAAGCTTTTGGAATCTTATCAATACACGGATAACATATGCAAAACAATGCACGATGTCCTTCCCGCCGCCTCGCTCATTGCTGAATCCGTACCCGGAGCCACTTCCACCCTATACTCCGCGCCAGCCCCGCGCCAATGAGCCAGAAACGGCTTCTATCCGCTCAAGCGCCCCCTCTTATGTCTCTGCAGCTCCGTCCTACCATTCATCCCCCCCGCCACATCACACGAGAGCGAGCGATATTGGGTCCACGCCGGACAACAGCTTGCCAACCCAAAGCAATTCTTCGGCACCACCTCCCACGTCAAGCCCTTCACGGCAGACTGGCCTCCCTTCTTCCCAGAGGTATGCGCCTGGCTTCGAAACAAGGGGCGGCGACTTGTCTCACGTGAACGTTCGGTCACTGTATAATATATCCGAGTGGGTTCCTGTCACAGGAGGCCTACAGGCTCGACATTATCACAATGTTGCCAAAAGACGAGTGACGGATGCATCAAGATCTCTGTTTCCCTCTTTATTCTCTGAGCCGGCGCACGGAGCGCGATATGAGAATGCTGGCATGCCTGATACGTTCCAGCGACGCTACACCGCTCCAAGCTTGGGTTCTGGTGGCGCTGGTCCTTCTGGAGAGAGTTATAATTTATCTTCTTTGAGCTTAGTAAATAATTTCTCTCCGGAATCGAGCAATCATCCTCGATCACACTCACCCCACAATGCCACTGGAAGCAGTGTTTCCTTAGACTACTATCCAGGGAATCCCTCTTCTGAAGACCTTCCATTCTATCCTCTTGAAGATCCTGATCTGGTTGGCGAGGCGGCCGCAGCGAGATTCCGTTCACAGCGCATTTACAGGACGCTTCAGCAGGAGGAGAACTTTTACCAGCAAACGCAACATTCTGGGTCAAATGCCCGGCAGCACGAACCCAGGCATCCTGATCACGTATATCAGTACAGCTCGCTGATCGCCGAAGCCGACAATCTAAATATCCGTCAGCGACCATCCACTGCCCCTGGCTTGTCATCCCACGAACCATTTAACGCAGGTTCAGCCGGTCCATCAAACCCTGAAGAAACTGTAGACACTCTTCAGCGCTCTAATACGGTGGTTGATTATGATGAACTTCTTCGTGCTCAAGAGTCAAAAACCTGGGACTGCATGCTCGCACAGATGGCCGACTGGGAGGAGCGCCAGCGCAACTGGAAGAAGTTCAAAGACGACTTGGATAAGAGATTGAACTCCAGTCTCAAGATCGGCATGGGTTGGAGTATGTGGTCGCCTGGTGGCGGGAGAAGAAAGTTGAAAAAAGAGCAATTTGGTAGCCATCCGGGCCTGAAGAAGTGGAAGAGCAAGGTTGGTTTAGCAAACTGAGAAGAAGCTGTTTACTAGCTTTTTATTTTATTTTATTTTATTTTTCTTTCTTTCTTTCTTTCTTTTTTTTTCCTGGGAAATTCTTTTGTGTTTTTCTTCTCATATTTCAAAGATTGAGGACTTTTTGAAGTGCTGCGAAACGGATTTAGCCGGTTGAGCCCCTTTTTGGAAATAGAATGAGTTATGCAAGGCTATGATTTACTCTTTTGTGCGACTTGACACGCCATTCCGGTGCCATGCTTGATTGATGAATTTGAGGTCCTTCTAGCACCACGATACCGGAAGTGTTAGCTTTGGGCGGCTCCATTGCTTGAATTTCGATGACTCGCATTCTGTTCCACATTCGATGCATTTTTCGGTGCTTCTTTGCGGTTTCGTCTCTTGCCTCGGGGCGGTGTGCACCCCCAGCCGCTTTTTAAGGCCAATTCTAGAGTGCTCCGCACGCAGAACTAATGTAAGGTGATTTTCTTCCGTCAATGACTTTGAAAATGACTAAATGGATTGAAAAAAGAAAGATAAGTAAACGAGCATCAAATTTTAATTTGAATTCGGAGCCCCGGAAAGTCGCTGAAGCTACATATCTACCCCCCAACATTTAACTTTCATGGACTTGGGTGCTTCCAAACTCTCCAAAACGAGCGAAAAAGAGTGTGACATTGAAAAAAACATACAAGTTCCCTTTACTTTCCTGTAAAGCGGCTTCATGAAGATCTCTGCCTTGAGGAAGCCAAAAACAAAAAAATATAGGCATTGAGGGGCTGATCTAGCCTCGAGCTGATCCCGGGGGGAGAGAAAAAGGGGGCCAAAGCCATAGTAGTTAAAAGGAGAAAGGCAGTTACATGATGATTCCGAAAGGAAAGAAGACAAAAACCCATCCAGATAGCTGCAGAGATGGTAGGAAGCGGCGGCAAGGGATGTTTTTAACACTAGTGTCTTCCGCTCCGTCATCAGCAGCACCGCCGGCGTTTAGAACCGGTTTGGAGAAGGCTTTGGGTCTAGATTAGCTTCATTATCTTCGCCGAGCTCAGGACTTGGAGGGTTGGTGGGATTCGGATTTGGCAGTCCTGGAAAGCTACTTGGGAAGCCAGGAAAGGTGGTTGGGAAGCCAGGAAAGCTAGTTGGAAAGCCGGGGAATGTCGTCGGAAATTGAGGGAATGAAGTTGGGAAGCCGGGAATCGAAGTAGGGAATTGTCTCTCCTCGATGGCCGCATGGGCTTCTCGGTCTACCCACAGGGTTAGTTTTCGTCAGCCTGTGGAATTGGGTGGGCTGTAGGGTAGAGGGGTGACGAACTGATTGCAACCGATGCAGCCAAGCTAGCGCAAAGCAAGGAGAGGAGGAGTTGGAATTGCATGGCTCTTCAAAGTAATTTGCTTTTGTTAACTAGTTTAAGGTAAGCGGTTATTTTGGACTGATTGTGAGGTATGGAAGATGAGGCACACCACTAGGGAGCTATAGATTTGAAGATTTTATATCGGACAATTCAGTTACTCGCCTTAGTCTTTATACAGCCATTCCATCTTTCTCCCGTGGAATGGAAGCCAGTGGCTTTTTATGCCTCATAGCTGCGCTCGATACGCTTGCTTCGGAGACATTGTTTGCTCGCTAGGTCCGAAATTTGTTAGAGCCTTCCCGTCATGAGGTCGTACATTGCGACTTTCTTCGAAAGAGACCGAATAACTCTTGGCAGCAGTGTTTCGAATTTTCTCAGCGTCCCACAGCATTTCTCTAGTGTAACATGCACCTCACTTCTTGAATCCATCCCCATTATGAGATTGTGATATACCTCTACTCCGCAGTTTGCAAGAGAAAGTTCGGTAGCACGAATGAGGAGCGCGTTAAAAATGTTGATCATCCCCAAAACAGAGTACCGATCGTTAAAATGACCGTTTATCGGTGTCACTTCTCCCCGAAGTTTGAACAGGATAGATGTGGGCGAGCTGAAGTACCAGAAGATCCCACGTCCGACTGCAGAGCAGCGCCGAATCTCCAGAACAAACGCCCGTAACACGTATGGAATTCTGAGCCTTCTGGTAGCTACAACATGTGAACGGGTAGTGAAGGCACCATGGTGACATCGTAGTCGTCATCGTATTTCGAGGGTTCACAAGGAGCGGGATAGACCCTATCTGATAGAGATAGGCTCCATAGGGCCACAGATACTTCAAGCAGCACAGATGGACCTTTGAGAAAAGCTTCAATCGTTAAAAAAGCTAGGGATATCGGAGCGTAGATCTCGGAGATTAGCTTGAATTTGTATCGAATAGTCTGCGAGAAGCATTGATTCTAACCTTTTCCCAAGAAGAGGTAGCAGAGTCAATCGTTCGTCGTAAAATCGTGCTGTCAAAAGCGATTCGCGCTATCGGAAAGAAAGTTCACCTTATTATAATATTCCTGCATCATATGTGTGACGTGCAAGAAGACTGCAAGTGCGTCAGGGGCAGACGGTTCCCTACAATTGGAAAAGAACCATACTTAGTCATGCATCCTATCCTATATTAAATGGAAACTGACAACAACGACATATTAGAGTGCCTTGTTCCACGGCGAGGAAATATGATGGATTTGCTTCCTTATGATATGTGCTTCCACCGCAAGGAACATTGTTTCATTTATGCCCTTGAGGGTATGAGAGTGCTCCCCGAATTAAAAAAGAAGCAATAGAAGGTTCATTGGCCGCAGGCATGCATCGTTGGACGGTCGCCGAAATTGGGACGCTGCTATCCTACCCGGGATCGACATTGACAGCAGGGGGTTGCACGTCCTCCTCAAAGTAGGTATGACTGTAATATCGAGCGCTAGAAAAAACGCGGACGGCATATCAAAGCCTGGACTCAAGATGGATTATAGCAATCAACCGTGGGCATGGACGCACGAAACGGATGAAACCCAACTCGAGGCCGGGTGGGGAGACCAAATCATAGCCCGCAGGCCGGGCTAACGGGAAAACATCCGTATTCTGATGCTCATGTTTTATATAGATACAATCTTGCATCAGCCTATCTTCGTTGGTTAGTATTCCAATATGTGTGCCGTATGACATAGACCAACACTGATCAAAAGGCAAGTTGCTCATTAGACGATGCAACGTGCGCTTCATGGTTATCTTGTCGTTAACATCGAAGTGACATGGATATAATCAGGCAGGAAGAGAAACCAGTGTGCGGGGAATGATATCAGATTTAACCAAGGCAGTAATAACAAAGTAGGACACCGCATCATGAGGCATCACACGGAATCCAAATATGCGAAGACACCGACAAAAGGCAATAGGACTAGCCCTCTTTCTATTAATGAAGCCTCGATTAACGCCACCTTCGCCACGTACTAACCCTTCCTAAAGCGAAACTCCACTCGTACGGAGAGAAAGGAAAAAACCCAAGCAAGCTGACCTGTATAACGTAGGAAACTGCAAACTCAGAGCAAACCAGCACAACAGAGCCTTCATTATCATATTTCTGTCATTATATAAATTTGGTTGACAAGCTGAATACCTCGCGGTAAGTGAATCTCCAAGGATCCTAGACCATTACGCCTTTGAGATCCAACCACTGTGGACCATGAAATCGAAAATTCGGCTGGATTTTGCGACATCAATCTGTAAAATTCGAGTTTTAGTGACGAGAATTATATGCCAACCAAACATTTCCCACAGCCGAGGGACTGGACTGACCTTGCACATGTTCCTGGCATCCTTTTTCTTCAAACTTCCTCCTTGCTTCATTGCTTCTTTGAGCAAATGCTCTTTGATAACAAGATATGGTTTCGGTTGTAGGTGCAGTATGTTACATAATTCCACTTCCTCCTTTGTTAAGAGATGGATATCTGGCGCCTTGTCGTTCTCCAGCTTCCATGGAGCAAGGCCATTAATCGGAGGTACGACAAATTTCGATTTCGCTGGTTGGGGCGTCATCGTTCCATTAAGATTGCCGCTGGCAAATGCTTTATCAAAATCATTTAGAACGGGAGGGGGATCGACCGGAGCTAACTTCCTTTGTAGTCGTAGGGGAAGCTCGGGCATGGTTAACTGAGCGGCGGCGGAAGGACCTTCGGGCTGCTGTGGTTTAGGTCGCGCACTGGCAAATCGGTCAAATGCTCCCTGTGGCACAGCCCTTTGGGCCCTCTGGGCCTTCTCTTGTTCGTATTTTTCGCCGCTCTTTAGGTCTCCAATTCCCATTGTTCTCCATTCTTGGAGTTGCGCGATCGCTATTCGAAGATTATGCTCATACTCTAGACCTTTAGTAAATTCCTCGAAGTCCTCATGATTTATCATTCTCGCGAATGGCTTTGCTTTATTCAAGAGATCTCGTTCCTCTTTAGTCCGTTTCTTATCCAGCGCGGTATTTTTCCGATAATCCAAGAGGTTGTGTTCGAAGAGAATTTTCTTGCGTTCAGTTCTGGCAGTCAGACGAGAATTATAGATATCCTTCACAGTCATCTTGAGCTCCATTTCCGCGTCCAATTCGCCATTAGCATTCAGGCCGTTTCCAGGCTCGAATTGCATATGCTGGACGGCTTCTTCGGCATCGTTGGCAAATTCGGTCTCAAACTCCAGTCTTCCAGGCATATATCCTTGGACTTCATGGCAAGCAGGTACCGAAGCAGTGGGTTTCTGTTTGGGAGTTGCGGGTGGCGCTGTCTTGGCGGCCTCTTTTCTTTCCTCGATACGTCGCTTTTTGCGAGCTTGGAACTCCTCTTTAGGTATTTGTTCCTGTAAAGTCTTATCTCTGGGATCGGCAAGCTCTGGAAGCGGGAAGTTGGGGCTGTTTATGTACGTTTGAATGTAATGGTCGCGGACTTCCTCCTTTGTACGGTAACCTCCAATATGATCTGCAATGTCGGCCCATGATCCTAGACCGTAGATTTCTGCACCTTCTAGAAGTAATAGCTCTTCGTCGGCGCCCCAGTCAGGGTCATATATGGGGACTGAATTCTGCTCGATCACCGAATACGGATGCGTCCGGGGGTCGTGGTTCTTCGAGTGCTGGCCGGCAGCGAAGCAGGGAACGCAAAGATCATATTCATGGCAAGCGCTATGTGCGCATGAAATGCGCACCTGTATCACAGATCGTGGTCAGAGAGAAACGCCCTACTCCCGTAGAAAAGGCAGAGGATCGGAGATGAAAGCTTACCGTGTTGGTGACGTCGACGGAACAGACGTCGCAATGGTACTTGGTACCACCATCTGTGCCGCGCGCCGCATTCTTTTTCCTGATGACACCCATGGAGCCGTCTCCTATCGGATCATTGTCCTCCACCTTTGGCAATATTCTCGAGCCTGCGGCGCGACGTTGAGCGAGGCGAAGTGCCCAGCTCTCGCATCAGCCGACGACAGAACCACCCAAATGATCCGAACCCAAGGCCCCTCTCGTATAGACCCAGCGCAAAGCAGAAAGAAGAAAATGAAGCGGTGAAATGCTGCTGTTGGGAGTGATTGTTAGTCTTGAGTTGTTTTGACCCCACGGCTGTTTCCCCGTCACGAATGGGGAGGAGCAAGCGCAGGCACGGGCCGATGAGGTCCATTATGTAATAACGGGATGTTAATTTAAGCGTGTCATTCCTTGGCGGTCTAGCCGCGTCTGGCCAGCGGGAATTCTTGGCAGTGGCGGAACACCACCTGAACATCGGATCTGGGCTTGGACCACAAATGTTTTCCTCTATGAAATCAGGTCTTGTACATCGAACGGAGTACAAGGGTTTGACCGCGACAAGATATTATGAGAGATATCGAGGAAATACTAAAGAAGACAAGCCTTTTAAGATGATAATTAGTTATGTGAACATTGGCTGCTATCAAGGTGAGGATAAGTGGTGGGATCCCATGTTCAACCTTCCTCTCCTCTATATCTACAAGGAATAAAATCGATCTCTAACAATTATAGATTAGATCCGCAGCTAACCACATTATTTAACAAATTTAGTATTCTTCTAGGGTCTCAATGTATTTTAGCTCACGAAAATGCTAACATGCTGGGCACTCATCCTGGCCGCTTCTCCAGGAATCTAGCGCGGTCTCCCGGTCCTCCTCCTTGATTATACAATCTCTGCACCGCCAATAGGCATCATTGTCCCTTGGCCGATATGTTGCACAGGAATAGCAAAGAGACCAGTAGGTATTCGGTCGGCCGTTTTCATCGAGAGGTTCAACGCGTTCCATCAGGTCTTCCATTGTCGGACAAGTCATATCTCTGGTAACGTACAACTTCACGGGGATGCAGCTGGAGAGGCTGAGGAGTCTCCTGGAAGTGAGTAAAAGAGAGAGTCGGAAGATGATGATCAGCAACTCGTTTGGAAGTCGAAGGAGCCGGGAATTGATGAATGTTGGCGTATCATTGAACTAAAATTTATCAGCTCGACTGGTTGGTCCAGGCTATACCGGATAGGGACCGAATGAGTCGCTGTACGTACTCTTTTTGGGACAACGAATGTGTGTTCCAGTGGCATGGAGGATGGTCTAGCTTTTCCATGTGCGCAAGTAGGGAGTTGTGACGTTGAGAAAGGCTTTTTCCGGGAGGCAGTTGTCGGATAGTAGTACGACAATCCAGGAGCAAAATTTATTCGGGTATTCTGGAATAAATGCATGTATGGACTGCGAAGCATTTACTTTCCCCTGGCGGTTCAGCGCGTTGATATATGGCTCTGGCAGGCTCACTTTAGATCCACAATTGCCAACAAATAAAGAAGGCAAACTAAAGATTCTAATTGATTCCGACCATGACAATGCACCGGGCAAATTCATTCAACATGGAAATGGCTTCTCTACTCTGTAAATGTTCCTGTTTTGGTCTGCTGCTTTAGAGAAACAAGAAACCGACCCTGTTCGGTCCAAACAGATCCTCTTTGATTGCTGCTCTCCCATAGGACTAGCATTTGTGTATATTAGATCTCCTGTGGCAAGCAAATCAGCCTTGTAAGCTCTAGAACATTTAATACTTGACTTCTTGACTAGAATTGAACTGTTCTTCCCATCTTGCTGGGCTTTTTGTTGAAGACCTAACTTTGCAGTCTCACCAAAGTACGCTTCTTGCACCTTGGTTGTCTTATGCAATTTAAGCAGTATTTGAGGATAAACTGATCGTGTCCAGCCTTTATGGGATATTTTGGTGGGAATAATGATTCAGGAAATAAGCATTGGCCCAAGCCTAGTGCAACGAAATAGGGGAGGCACAATGAAAGATCACTATGCTGGAGTGTTAGTTTAGGGGTTGACTACAGAGTACAGACTACAGAGTACTCCGTACGGAATTTGAAATTAGAAGAGTAGAGAAAAGGCCTCACTAAGAGGAGAAATTGTATTTCGGATGTATTGGCGCACGTACCAATCATCCAAACCTGGTGTACGGAGTATTGCTGAGGCTGTCTAACACAAAAAAGGAATGAGGAGCGAAGGTCTGGATGCCTGTGCTTTAAAGTATGCAGAACTTAGTGCCATAGATATAGAGATATTAACTGCAATACGGAGTACGGAGTAGAAGATTCGTATCCCCTGCGTCCCTTCCCATGTGGAGGATCCCCCTCTCCCTTTTTTTTTTTTTTCAACGGGCGAGCGTCCAAATAAACACCCTAGCTAACCAGTCGCTGTATTCAACCGTGATGGCATTTTGCCCGAATTCGCGAGCAGGGAGCACAGGCAGATGGATAGCTCGGTGCTCTGTATGTAAGATGGTAGCGTTGTCAACGAGGGATACGGTTGCATCCCTGAAGGATTAGAGCCATAGAACGCGCTTTCAAGAGTGTCTCGTGCTGTTTCCTGGGGCCAATCCATGGATAGCTTCGTCCCGAGCCGTCATGGATAGGGTATGCCAGCCACCTTTGGATATGATAATCTTCCCTTGAGAGCCCGAGGCATGGACTGGGTGAAAACTTTTGTCAACGAAGAGTTGGGGGCAGGTGAGAGGGGCAGCAGGCAACCCTGGCTTTTTGCCTCTTCAAGAGGAAACACCATCATGCAGCATCAAGGGTCTCGAGATGCACGTAATTCCTTGACGTCGTTTGACTCGAATTGCTTTAGGGCTCGGGTGAGCCAGCGTCATCCACCGCCCGCGAGAGCGACAGGGGCGGGTATTATTACCGGTTCCACTGCGCTGGAGTGGCCCAACCGGAGGCGAAGCCGCATGATTGGCCAACAGGTGTGGCTGAGAAGAGCGACACTCGTAGTTTAGCGCGCTTTTATTGGTGGATCTCGGGCTGCCCCCCTGTAATTTACCTGGATTATATAATGGCGACAGGAAAATGAATACAGGCCCCATACGAGCACCGCTCACCATAATACGCCCCATCATATCACTTGTGAGAGAGTGACGAGGAACCAGCGATTTCCCCCCTCCCCTATCTCGACGCTCGCATCAAGGCTCTGGAACTGTTGAACAGCAGCGCCGGCAGAGACCTTGGAGAGGTCCAGAACTGTCGATTCCTGGTCTTCTCTGGCGACTTGTGCTTCCCTCATTCATCTTGTTCCCATTTACTCTGAACCCAACTGCACCTGAGGGGATCCTCACCTTGTCAGTCGCAGGCGTATTGAAACACATTCCAAGTGAACCCCCTTCTGTTTAAAACAACCTCACCGACGACTAAGCAATCCCTCTTCCCTTCTCGTCTACTGTCTCCATGCATAGTTTCTTTCAGTCTGACAATATGTCGTGGAAAATCACCAAGAGTATGGCATTCCCCTCATCCTCCTTTCAGTCCGAACTTTGCTTCGGTCTGTTGCTCTTTGCCCGCATTTTGCTGACTACAACTCCCCTCAGAGTTGAAGGAAACCCATCTGGCCCCTCTGGCCAATTCTTTCGGTCGATCCTCCTCTACCTCTACGATTAAGCCTGATCCTGTTGACGAGACTTCATCCGTGCCGACTCCAAACATCCTAGTTTCCACTGCTAATAATGGCATCGGTGAGCTTCTCACCTTGCTCCTGTCACGGAGGATTTCAGTGATCCCAGGCCACTAACGACTGAATATATTCACAGCTGCATCTGAAGCCCTAGTGTCACCTCCAGCTACTCCTGTGAAGCCTGGAATCTTGATTGTTACCCTTCATGAAGGCCGTGGTTTCTCACTTTCCAACCACTATCAGCAAATCTTCAACTCCCATTTCCAAAACAACTACACAGGACCCGTTAGGCCGAATTCATCCTCGTCTCACACAGGTCACAACCCAGTTTCCAGTTCTTACACTCAGACCAGTCGACCACAATCCACCAGCGGTGGTATTAACGCTGCTCCAACCAACCATGGACGCTATTCCACCAAGTATTTGCCATACGCGCTTCTCGACTTTGATAAACTCCAAGTTTTCGTCGATGCTGTGTCTGGAAACCCCGAGAACCCTCTTTGGGCTGGAGATAACACTTCATTCAAGTTTGACGTCTCTCGTGTCACCGATTTAAACATCCAATTGTACCTACGAAACCCTGCTGCTCGACCTGGCGCGGGCCGAAGTGAGGATGTGTTCTTGGGAGCTTGCCGGATACATCCTTGCTTCGAGGAGCTTCCAAAGAATGCCGACGACTCTAAGGGTAGCAAGAAAGACCGCGAAAAGGGGCCTGCAAGTCAGCAGAGCCGTCACCGTTTGCATTCCGGCACGGAATGGATAGACTTGCAGTTTGGTACTGGATCCCTCAAGATTGGTGTTTCATTCGTTGAAAATCGGCAACGAAGTCTCACCATGGAAGACTTTGACTTGCTCAAGGTCGTTGGCAAAGGTAGTTTTGGCAAGGTTATGCAAGTCCTGTGAGCTATTTGCTTTCGTTAACCCGGTACTTTCTGGAAAGTGGTACTAATACATTGTTTAAGGAAACGCGATACGGGACGAATCTATGCTATGAAGACTATTCGCAAGGCTCATATCATCTCACGCTCCGAGGTCGAGCACACATTAGCTGAGAGATCTGTCCTTTCCCAGATTAACAATCCCTTCATTGTCCCACTCAAGTTTTCATTCCAATCTCCAGAAAAGCTCTACCTTGTCCTTGCCTTCGTGAATGGCGGTGAATTGTTTCACCATCTCCAGAGGGAACAGCGTTTCGACATCAACAGGGCCAGGTTCTATACTGCAGAGCTATTGTGTGCCTTGGAATGTCTACATGGGTTCAATGTTATTTATCGTGATCTTAAGCCCGAAAATATTTTGCTTGACTACAGTGGCCATATTGCTTTGTGCGACTTTGGTCTTTGCAAACTCGATATGAAGGATGAAGATCGTACTAACAGTAAGTTCCCAAGTCAAATGTCTCCGACCCTGCACATTGCTGACATGTTTTTTTTCTCACAGCTTTCTGTGGAACTCCCGAATATCTTGCTCCGGAGCTTCTCCTCGGCCTTGGATACACCAAAGCTGTTGATTGGTGGACCCTGGGTGTTCTCCTCTATGAGATGTTGACTGGATTGCCACCATTTTATGATGAAGACACCAACGAGATGTACCGCAAAATTTTGCAAGAACCGCTTACTTTCCCAAGCTCTGATATTGTTCCAGCTGCTGCTAGAGATCTCTTAACCCGACTTCTTGATCGTGACCCGCAACGCCGCCTGGGAGCTAACGGTGCCGCTGAGATCAAAGCACACCACTTCTTTGCGAACATCGATTGGCGCAAATTATTGCAGCGCAAATATGAGCCTAGCTTCCGACCAAATGTGGTATGTAGCTTTAATGTTTATCTCCAGTCCTAAAAAATTCGATTAAAGACATATCTCCTAACTGCACTTCAGGTTGACGCCCGTGACACTGGGAATTTCGATAGCGAGTTCACCTCTGAGGCTCCAACTGATTCTTATGTCGAAGGCCCCATCCTTTCCCAAACTATGCAGAAGCAGTTCGAAGGCTGGTCCTATAATCGCCCAGTTCCTGGGCTTGGCGATGGCGGAGGCAGTATCAAGGATCCAGCTTTTGGCAGCATCCCTGAATAGTCTCGTATAATAATTATTTGACCGGACGAGATCATCTGGCGAAGTCATTCCCAATTATTTCGTTGAAATAACTTTCGACTAACTTTTGGTCCTGGGATGAGTACCTGCTTTTTGCTCCTAACCTCGCCTCTACTTGTCTTTTCGCTCTACCCGGTCCATGAGGGGCCTCCAGGCTAACTACGAGCTGGGACGGTCTCGCGTCGTGGCTGTGGCTCTCGCAAATTCTCAAAGACCCTCAATTGATAAGGCCTTCAATAACATCTTTGCCCCTTGTTTTCCGCGAGCACCAACCATGAACGTGCCTTTATTAACTTGGCGACAAAAGCTTAACGCGTTTGTGTTTCCAAGTGAATAACAACAGGCATTATTTGCAAGAAAAAGAAAACACTAAGTCACAGTTACAGTTCTAGATATTTCATTCACCTGCGTTCTCATTTGTTTGTCTCTTATTATCTCGCTACCCCAGATACATCAATTCTGTTAGCCATCTTTGCTCTCACGACTCTACTTCGCCGCTGAGCTTTTCTTTCGACCTCATTGTTAGCCCTCAGCGAATCCTGCCAACGATGCCGCTTTCTTTGTGATTCCTGGGGCTTTTATGGATTTACACCCAGCGTGGCCTTTTTATGTAGCATGCTCTTTTGCCTTTCTTCCCTCGAGTGTATCGGAGTACGAGATTGATACTTTTCCTTTTTTTTTCCGCCCCCCTTTTCCCATATTGAGCCAGCAGTATGGATTAGGCCCTGGGGGGTTTTCTCATTGTTTTAAGCTGGTTTAGCAAACACACCCTAACAAATACCAAGAGATTTGTAGACCTACTATATTCTAGACCGATTCGTCGAGTACACGGAGTACACTACTTTTCCCAAGCTCCAAGTAATAAATCTATATGTATTCTCACGAGGTCCACCAAAGTATATCAGGCTACACCACATACTCTCTTGAAAAGGGGGGAAGGCAGACTCAAAACAAAAAAGCCGAACTACCTCACAATACGAAACGAACATAATCCTCAAGTTCAGTTAAAATGAAGTAACGGGGATAATAAAATCGAAGAATCATTTACAACCGGGGGCCTTGCGTCATCAAGCCTCTTCAGCGTCTTCGTAAGCCGGCTTTTCTGCTTCCCCATCGCCACCAGCGTCACCAGTGTCATTATCATCACCATTAACATCAATCAGGTCCCCCGCACCACATTCAAGTTTCAGATACTCATCCCACTCCGGAAACAACTCCTCATCCGCGCCATCTACACCAGGGGGCACACCGAGAGTCCTAGCAACTTTGCCCTTGCCATTCTTCTCGAGACTCTCCTTCCAGCGCAGCACTAAATCCGGTGTTCGACTTGGTTTATAAGTCTGAGAGAGAAGGACGGCCTCTGTAATGCGGTTGGTTTGGACAAGTAAATCTATGCAGCCATCCATGTCGCCGAGTTGCCAGAGCGCAGAGAAGACAACGTTATGAGCACCTGATTCTTTAGCTCGCTCTGCTAGATTACGGAGGCCATCGGTGTTGCAGCTAGAGGAGTGGAGAAGAAGCAAGGAGCCTAGATCCTTGGCGTGAGTGAAGCATTCTTCGGCAAGAGAAAGATCCCAGGAATTCATAGCGGCATCACCGACGGTCTTCCATCGGTGCTCGACGTCTGCTTCACGGGCAATTTCGAGAGCGATATCAAGTTTTCCTAAGCTAAGGGAGAGTTCAAAACGGTGTTCTTGATCAGTGGCGACATCAAGGGCGAGGTCTTTGTATCCTTGGCCTTCTAAAAATCGAGCGATCTTATTCATTTGATCTTGGGGAATATCGGGCAAGAGTTCACTTGCGGATTCCATGTCACCACGGAGAACCAACGTCTGGTATTCAACAACCGCAAGGGAGAGTGAAAATGAAACAGCGGTCAGATCCTTGTCGGCGAGGTATATTCTTCCATCTCGAGGAAGATAGCCTAGGAGATACATTGGCTGGTCGAAGTGGGAAATTGTGTACGTTTGATCACCAACAAGATAGTTCAATCGATTGGTTGAGTTGGTATAAATAAAGCAGTCTCCAACCCACTCTCCAGTGCGAACAGTGTCGTTGATATCGGTAACGATCTCAAAGGCTGCTTCCACGCCATCTTCATCAACTTCCCCGGCATTCACAGCAGCTATATAGTTTTCCCGTGAAAACCGTAGAACGTAGAAGGTATCGTCACAAGCAAGGGTAACTAGCTCTCCGGACTCCGACCAATATACCTGTATAGTAGTGAGAAAAAAAGTGTCTTTAGGGATGGAAGGCGGAGACACATACTGCTTTGGGGTCAACCTCGATTCTTCTGACAAGGCCGCCAGATTCCCAGTCAAACATGCCAATTCCACCTTGTCCTTTAACTCCAAGCAAAACACCACTGCAGAGGCCTTCTGCTTGGAATCCAACATCAAGACCTCCGCTCTTCTCCTTGAAATTGCGGAATATCTTCACACTGGTTTGAGACTCCCTGATTGCATAGTCGTTGCTATTGTCTTTAGAACCCCATGCAAAGTCAAGTGCCTGACCAAATGCCTTGTTTCTCCATGCAAGAGCAGTGTAGATGATATACTCGCCGTCACCACAGACAGATACAAATCTCCCGTTCGGTGAGTGCATCAAGCTTTGGGGATACACTTCACAAGAACCAAGCTCTTTGACCGGCAGTGTAAGTGGAGCTCCGTCTTTGAGAGTGGCATCGCCGCCCTTTATAACTGTAGAGACCACCTCGTTATGGCGTGCCCAAACAATCTTTCCGGATCCGTCCATTGACACGGCTGGCTCCTCTCTGCCCATTTTCACGACCACAGCACCATCGTCAAAGCCCATCGCAATTCCCTGTTTTCCTCGCTGATAGCTCACACACCACGCTCTTTCCAAGCCATAGCTTAAAGATTGCTCCAGTCTATATGTATTAGCGTTCCAAATCTTAATAGTTCCATCTTCCGAACCGGATATGATGATTGGGAGTTCAGGGTGGTAACAGGCGAAAGAGACATTGCTGGTATGGCCTTCTAATGTTGCGATCAATGCCTTGGTAGTATAATCCCACACTTTCACGGTCCTATCGTCGGAAGTAGTCAAGAGATATGGCTTGTCAGCGTGTGGGTAATATTCAACGTGATTGACACCCTTTGCTTCATGAGCTTCAAGTGTGAGGTTGGGGTGCGGTGAACCCAGACTCCATATCTTGACCGTTCGATCCAGGCACGCCGAGGCAAATGTGTTTGAATCCTTCGGGTTAATAGCCAAACCCATAACGTAGTGGCTATGTCCTTCGAATACCTGCACACATTTCCATGCTTTATCCCAATCCCAAAGTCTGACGGTCATATCATCGGAAGCGGTTAATACGAATGGATGGGTAGGGTGTACTGCGATGGATCGAATATAATCGGGGTGGGCCTCGAACGAGATTATTTTCTCGGAAGTGTTATAATTGTAGACGCGTAATTGAAAATCATCGGAACCGCAGACGATCCAATTCTTTCTCGCAATGAAGCGCCCGGCTCGCACGGGGACATCTGTAAGTTCGAATGTTTTGACGATGGACTAGAAGCGATATTAACAACCAGAATCCGCGGGACCAGACAAAGCGCCTACCTGTGTCTCATACGACCAGATGTAAACATGGCCTGTCGAAGGTGTCAGTATCGGATTAGCGGAGAGTGATTCGTTTTATATGCAGCATACCGCTGTATAAAGTGGTTAATATCTGCCCTGGTTGTTAGAACTAGTATCTACAACCCCGGAGGTACCCTGACTTACCCATGGCTCTGTAGGATGGAAGTCGATTCCCTTGACCCGATTCGATCGGGCGAAGAGTTGTCTCTAAATTTCAAGTCACTACAAATTCCATTTCGAGGCTGGTTACCGGAATTAAACTCACCTTGACGTCGAATCGCATAGTGGCCGACCTCACTGGGGATTGAGTGGATGAAGCGTGCGGCGGCTCAGCCGCAGGAACAATGGCACTCCTTTATTCCGAGGAAGAATTGCGGCTTGTTAGTTGGCTTGACTATGCCCTGTGGATGATCAAGGAAAGGAGATATAATTATAGAATGGTAATTGATGTTGGTCTGAAGTTGTTGCCTCTCATCAACAATGCAACTTGTCCACACAAGGAGACTTGCGCACTCAATTTCTTGATGTTCCGCCCAGCTGTCCAAACTAGGTTAAGCGTCATATCTGGCACCAAGACGCACCCTTATCGCCTGATTGCAGATGCACAGTTTGATCAAACATTCCAGCCCTTAAATAGAATTGAATTTATGTTTGAGCTGTGATTGATTTGGCTAGGAGGCTGCATAAATATACATATGTGTCTTTGAAGACAGGCCACCGACACGTTGCCAATCGGTCGATGCCAGAACCAAGTATAAGAAATCAGACTTTGACAACCGCTAGTACAGTCTTCGATTTGTATGGGGCACCAAAAATTCAATATGGTATAATGTACATAGCATCCAAATGTGCCGATTACGACAGGGCACATGTGATAATCCTATAAAAGCAGACAAGCCGTTCATCTACCAGCCCAGTCTGCCGCTGTAAACCCTCTAGGACTCTTGGGAGGTTCCTCGTTCAAAATAGGTCCATTGTCCCGGCTTAGGTTTCTCTTCGAGCTCCTCCCAACTAAATACTGTCAGCATCTGGAGGATTTTTTTGGCCAACATTGGCATTCACTTACACTCTGTGCTTGACCATTTCGTCGACCAACCCTAACTCGGCTTGCGCGGTTTGAATAACCTCCTCGATTAGGCCACTGCCAATTTGCTGCTCGATTTCGGAGATCCTGCTTGGATTAGCCGCATTCATTACATTCAGCGGGAAAGAACTTTAAATCCAAACATACTGCGCTGCTTCAAGAGCTGGTTCTGGTTCCCATGACAATTTAGGCTCCAATTGCTTATTTGCTTCTTCCTGGGCTTCCTTGACCCGGGCCTCCATCTCTTGCTCGTTAAGATATGCGCCCTCCAATTGAGGGTTGAACGGTTCTCCGGACCAGTCTTTCTCCTCCTTTGGCTTCTCCTTTTGTTCGTATGCAGCGTAGGAGCCGTCTGGTCTTAAAGCAGTTTTATAGGCCTCCGGATTCTCCGCAACAGCCGCTTTAACTCTCTGAAGCCAAGAATCGAAACCGGGGGGTTTCACCGACTGGACGATGTTTAACCGGTGGCGTGTAAGCGCTTCTGTCGATTGACGATATACGGACGATTCAGGAATAGTCTTGAGCTTGTCTAGAGTCGTTTGGTACAAGTAGATGAGAGTTGGTCGGGGACTGGGGTGCGTGTTAAGGCCGGTGAGACCGGTGGGCGCGAACGGCTCTAGGTATCTGCCCGGCTTAACATTTGCCAGCAATCTTAGTGTCGCCCTCATGATTGTAATCTGGATAAAACAGGCAGCCCTGGATCAAATCAATGGCTCGCCGTGCTGCGGGTTTCAGGCCTCTCCGTCGTCGACGATGACCGATGTCTGTGTTGTGTATTGGCCAGCGGAAGGCCGGTTACGTAATCGAGGGCCACGAGTCTCGGAACAGGATTAATTCGGGATCCGAGCCTAGATCTCAGAAGCGAAACGTTGATCGTTCAGTTCAAGGGGAAGCAGTCGAAAGCAAAACAACCTCCGTTCTATCCACCGCGCGGCAGAACAGAGGGCTGTTTGGCGTTGCTTAGCAGGTCCTGTCTATCCTCTCTTTTCCCACGTACGCGGTGCTCACGAAAGTCCGGAATTCATTGCGTAACTTGCGTTTCCGGTTCCCCGAACCCAAGTCCAGCTTTCCAACTTCTTCAATCGGACGAACTTCACACTCAGAGCTGGAGTTTGAGCTGGCCTTGGCCTGGTGGGCCATTGCATCTTTCTTCAATATGAAGGCCAGCTTTTTGGCCTTCTCCCTCCTTGCGGCTGTCTTCCAGCCAGTGTTTGCTGCATCACACGGCCAGGAGAAAAGAGCGGACGCCAAACTTGAGAATGATGCTTCAGATAGAACGACAATATTTAACGATGTGCGGGTACCGCCTATGAAGGAAGTAAATGCTGCCGGTTTCGATGAGACTATCAAGGATGGATATTGGTATGTATCCTCGAACTTGAGCTAATCTACCGGTGTTGCTGATGGTATCTTTTTCCTATTAGGTTTGTCAAATTCTACTCTCCTTACTGTCATTTTTGCAAGGCTGTCAGGCCCGCATGGCAGACTCTTTATGAATTTTACTATGTGCGTGCTGTCCTTAATGGTTAGTCCTCAAATACTCACTTCTGGCAGACATCGAATCCATTGAAATCTTCAACTTCGAAACAAGTGCCTAATCCCGAGTCCTCCCTTAATTCCTTCCAGGGTTATTACGACTTTCACTTTGCGGAGATGGATTGCGTTGTAAATGGTGACAAGTGTCAGGAGTTGGAAGTCAAGGAATGGCCGACTTTTGCACTGTATCATGATGGCAAGCTGGTCGAGAAATATGATGGTGGGAGGAATATGGAAGGCCTGAGCCGCTTTGTCGAAAAATGGTTGGAATCCATTAAGCCTGGCTCGCGGCCTAGAGGTGAAATGAAACTTCCGGAACCTGGTGCCAAGATCGCTCCCGAGCAACCAAAGGACCAGGAGGGCGCTATAATTGGTGAACCCGACATAAACGCTGGAAGCTCAACGCCTGCCGCTTCCCAGAAGTCAGATGATTCTGTAAAACCTGCTGCGCCTGCCCTCCCCGAGAGGAAACAACCTGCTCCCAACCCGCAGGGAATGTCGGTTCCTTTAACAGCGGAGAGCTTCCAAAAACTTGTTACCACGACGAGAGACCCATGGTTTGTGAAATTCTATGCTCCATGGTGCGTTCATTGCCAGGCCCTTGCCCCTGTCTGGAGCCAGATGGCCAAGGATTTGAAAGGCAAGCTTAATATAGGCGAGGTAAATTGTGAGGTGGAGAAAAGACTCTGCAAAGATGCCCGTGTCAATGTCTATCCGACGATGTACTTCTTCCGGGGAGGCGAGCGCGTTGAGTATGAAGGCCTTCGGGGTCTCGGTGACTTGGTGAATTACGCGAGGAAAGCCGTTGACGTCGTCGGCTCGGGCGTCCAATACGTGGACGCTACGGCGTTCAAAAAGATGGAAGAAACTGAAGAAGTTATTTTCTTATATTTCTTTGACCGCGCCACTACGTCCGAAGACTTTGCTGCGTTGGACCGTTTAACCCTTAGCCTCGTCGGGCGTGCCCGCCTTGTCAAGACCAACAGTACTATCCTTGCCGAGAGATTTAAAATATCAACATGGCCCAGGCTCCTTGTGTCGAGAGATGGTAGACCAAGTTACTACACTGCGCTTGCACCTAAGGATATGAGAGACTTCCGTCAGGTCCTCGCATGGATGCAGAAAGTGTGGCTACCAATTGTCCCAGAAATGACGGCATCTAATGCTAAAGAAATCATGGAACGAAAATACGTCGTCCTCGGCATTCTCAACAGACAGCGATCCGATGAATTCATACAAGATAAACGGGAATTGAAGAACGCAGCACTAGAATGGATGGAAAAGCAGACAAAACTATTCCAACTGGAGCGTCAAGAACTTCGCGATGCAAAAGAGCTACGGATTGAAGAAGCTGATGACCGAGATGACCAGAGAGCTTTGAGAGCCGCTAAGAATACACGCATTACGATCAAAGAAGACGATAAGAAGCAAGTTGCTTTCGCCTGGGTTGATGGTATTTTCTGGGATAGATGGATCAGAACGACATATGGCATCGATGTGCGGAATGGAGAGCGTGTCATTATTAACGATGAAGAGGTATGTTTATATCCTACATATTGCTTTTAAGGTCCCAGTCGACGGGGATAGAATGGGTGCTAACCCTGCTCTCACCTTAATAGAACCGCCGATACTGGGACACGACTCCTAACGGAGGCTTTATCGTCCCCAGCCGGACCTCCATTTTGGAAACCATCACACACGTCGTTTCAAACCCGAGCAAACTCAAATCCAAGTCCACCGTCGGTACCTTTGAGGGTCTTTTCTTTTCTATCCGTACATTTACCTTCGCTCATCCAATCATCACCTTTTTATTATTCGTCGCTGTTCTTTTCGTCTCGTCCTTTATTGCTAGAGGCAAACTTCGAAGAGGTAGATCCGCAGGCGGCTTGTTAGGCAGTGTTGGCGGTAGCTCTGGAGGATTCTTTCACCTTGACGGAAAAGAAGGCCTCCTTGGTGGAGGCAGTGGAGGTGGTAAAGTCGATTGACAAACGTGAACTTCGACATTTACCCATTCTCCATATTAACCTTTTATACTATTATACTTTCTGTGATAATATTGCAAGGTTGAGCTTCTCCCTTTTTCGCTGTTATATTTACCTTGCGTGTAGTTTTTTCCATTAATCGGGGGTTTTTGATGTTTTCAGTCATATTGTTTTGGAGATGTATACGAAAACATTGAGAAGGCTGGAACAGGAGTATAATTGATGGACCCTTCCTCGTTTTCGCCTTTCTAATGCATTTTTTTCAATTTTCAGCTTTTTCTTCTGTCTGCCCTCCTATTCCAGTTCCGCGTCTCTACATCAACGATTCTCCCTGTCTGGATCATCGTGTCTTTATAGATAGAGTTCCACCACAACTTAATGAATACTGGTCACTGCTTTTGTCTCGCTGTGTAACTACGCGGTTCATGCCAATCGGGATTGGTATTGGGCCAGGGGTTTTCAGGATAAGAGTTTGTATACAGAGAACTTGGGAATTCACTTATAAACACCGCAGTTTAACGTCGAGGTGGACTGGGTTATCTAGTTCGCTCTTGTGCTTGTTCTGCTATATTTAACAATCATCGAGAACTGGTATCATTTACAAAATCGGGCAGGCATTAACTTTTCCTTACACCAAATCATATCTCCACCCCCTAAATTTGGGTAGGGGAAAACAGAAACCCATCGGATAGGTGGTAGAGCAACTGGCCTTGGAAGGCCGAATCTCCCACGGGCATGATGGGTTCTCTGGGAATTTGCAAGCCACGGATGCATACCTGCAAAACCAGGAAGCCCACCTCTGGAATTTACGGAAGAGATCCCGGTTCCAAAAGTAGACATTGGCACTGCTATAGACGACAAGGTAGCTCTATGCCACGATTTCGATCCGGTCTGAAAGAAGATTTGTATTCATAGCGTCCGCTCTGCGAGCCGAGTATTATATAGATCAGGATAGGCAGGTCGTTTTGGGTTGTTGTAGGGAAGTAATAACTCGGTAGGCTGCTGGAACGCCGTGGGTGGAGTGCCAAACAACCTTTATCCGGCTGCACTGCTCCCGGCAGTGATGAGCAAGTCAATCTCCAGGTAAGATGGTTGTAGTATCGGCGAAGAATCGCAAGTTTGCTCTCGCCAACGCCGAGTCCAGCCTCCAGTATAACTAATTCGAGACAGTCATATCCCCAAACCACAGCCATTCCAACATTTTTAGAAATCAGGAATTGTCCCAAAAGTCCGGATGATATTATCGACAGCCTTTGTCCAAATCACAAAGCACCGGCTGGGGCATTCATTTCAGGCAAGATCGACAATAATGGATCGACAATGTCATACAATCAAACGCTTGGTCACACAAATTCAAAGAGGATATGTGAAGGCCTTAATCCGGCTGAGCCCCGGTTAAGTACTCCAAGCGGCCGGAGGTGGCCCAGTTAGGGCAAGACATCACGGGCTTCTTTGAAGCACACTGGTCACGGACATGGTTTTCAACCTGCATTTTTCTTTCTCTAAATCTGCCCGTGCTAAATGTCATGAGTCAAGCTTCATGGAGAGGTTAAGTCTTTCAGAAGCTTGATTCTTGTTCTGATGTCTCCTGAAATAAGGCGTAGCCCTGTAACTAGTTCAGGAGGGAGGAAAAAACTCTGCCAGTCCGTGACTGCGGCGCAAGGAAGTCAGAAATTCAGGTAAATGTCAAACTAATCGGGATCAATAGTATCGAGTTGTTTGGGGCTTTGCGCTCCGCGATAATGCGTGAACCTAGCGGGTCAGCCTCCAAACAAAGCAAACAATGAATGACCCCTGCAAAGTCCAACCAAAATTTCAACCAACTTGCGCACAGGACGGCTGCAAATATTCACTCAATCATACATCTCACGTTCTAGCTTGAAAGCTACATACCGCAGACTACCTACATGACATATCCTCATAACTGCATCCATCCACAATCCCGAATCTCAAATTCAATAAAAGGGAAATTCCATTTCCATCGCTTTCTCTCAAAGCACCATCCGTATGGAAAAACCAAGAATGGCGGATGAGCAGTCAAGCATCAACAAACAAACCCAAAGATGCAGTATCCTCCAAAACACCAAGATCCATCCCTCCAAAAAATAGAGGGGAGAAATACTCCGTACCAAAGGTGGGGTTAGAAGAAAGGCGAAGAAGGACCCGAATAAATATCCCACCGAAGAAGAAAAGAAAAGAAAAGAAAAGACGAAATGGGGAAAGACTCTGAAAATGGGGGTATAAAAGGGAATATATGAAAGATGAATGCCCTGATATGCATACAAAAATCCGAGTTCCTTGCAACTATGCTGAATGCTCTGGTGTCTTTTTTGCATAAAAAGGAAATTTAAAAAAAAAAAAAAAAAGCTGAAACGAGGAAAAGCAGGAAGGAAGAAGGGTAAGTGGTCGGGATGTTGGGTAAAAAATAAATATTATGGGCAGAGAGAAATTCCATAATAATGGCAGCGTTCTCTCAAAAGAATGGAAAACGCCCCCAAGGTCAACTTGGGTCGCGTATCATAATACAGATAAAACGAATGGAGGAAGAGTTAAAACGGAGGTGAACCTCCTTTGAAGAATGTCCCTTAACATTGATCGGTCAGTACGCAGTACATGTGGGAAAGGGAAAAGATGGAGGTACCAAAAAAGAAGGGGAAAAAGGATCAATGATGGAAACTTACAATGGCTAATTTAGTTCAAGCCCCAAGAGATGAAGGCTTAGGATGAAAGAAGGAATTGTGGCCTTTTCGCAGTTTAATTCCATGATTCTCGTTCTGTCGGCACGGCCGTTATAGTAAGTGACGCTCCCAGGGCCGAATTCTCATTAATTTGGTCATCTTCTTGCTTCCCAATTAATGTCCAATCATATCAACAAAAAGTCCCATCCATTCTTTTGCATGACATCCCGCCAATGGACGGTATTCTGGCCGTTGATAGATTCCATGGGTATGTGCTCTGGAGACTGCTGCTGGTATTGTCCATCCTCAGTCTTGATCGCGACTACGTCATTCTGACTCGCATCGTTAAGTTGCGAATCCTCAACGACTCCATCCGCAGCGCGCCACACCTCCTGCAGCAAACGCGCCATACGGCCGAAACTTCCAAACTCAGCCTGTTCACCGAGCTGCTCCATGCGTCTGGCGAGCACGGAGCGGAAGGGGCTGTGCGGCACGGAGTATGATCCACAGATAAGTAATGGCCAGACGAGCGAGCGGTCAAAGCCACCTGGTCCGCCGGGGATTAATTCAAGGAGCTCACCCGCGCGAGCGATGAGGTTGAGGGTGCTGGGCTGGGTGCGTTGGAATCCAGGGACCAGGCTGCAGAGGTATATCCGTGCAGCAACGCAGAAAAGTGCCGTCATATTCTTCACAAGCTGGCGGGGCTGGAACGTTCCGTCGGCGCATGGGTCGGCGATCGATTCTGCTGGAGGCTCCGCCTGGTCGAGTTGCTTGGCGAGAGTGGTTATATGGCCACAAAGTCCAAGGTGGTCGATTCGTCCTTCGTTTTTGAGAGCATCGAGGCATGAGATTTCGGCGATTAAGTACATTATTCGATCTTCGCATCCCATTAGGTCGCAGAGTCCCGAACTAGAACCGTTGAAGAGCTTTGTTCGATAGGTATGTGCAAACTGTGGCATCTGACCGAGCATTGTGGAACCTAGGATATCGATCCAAGCAGAAAGGCTCATATTGAATGGCGGATGTACATTGACTTGGTCCGCTTCGATTAGCCGACGAGAAAGGTCGAGTTTGTGAACAAGGCTCGTCGCTGCTTGGAAGTGCTGGTGCCAGGGAATATCGGGGAGCGAATCGTCTGGTCGGCCAACAGCGCACTGGAAGAAGATCATTGCAAGCGTCGCTTCGAGGATGTCAGTGTGGTTAGTATCTTCGTTCAGTGCCTTACAGAGCTCTGAGACAGTCTGATAACGGTGTCTCAAAATTTCATTGTCGATCGACTCGCTGCTTAATTGCTGCGTCGCTTTCAAGTGGACGCCAGTACTGCTCAGGCAGCAGTGGAGATAGCACTTGTTTGATTCTATCGCGGGTAGTATGACCTCCGAGCGTACTGCGCCTGGGCGCTTCGCTTCCAGGATCGGAAAGATTAGACGCACGACTTTCTCGAAGAAATGATCCAGTAGTGGACGGTCCCGATCCTCGACGTGAATGGTGGAAATGTGAACTGGAGCATGGGTGAACTGGAAAGGACTATGGTCAGAAGGCCCGCTATAGAAAGGTTCTGAATGGCCCTCTAAGAACTCTTCTTCCGACCATTTATCGTCAGAGAGAGGAGGTAACATGGAATGCGGTAATGGAGGCTGGAACATGCTGAATGTGGACGTGGTGGATTCTCTCCGAGTTGGAATATCGTTCACATACACCTCACTTTCGGTTTTGATGTCGATCTCGTATGGCGCGGCGGTCCAGAATGGGGCGGATTCGAAGAGTGGGTTTTGAAGTTGAGAAGTGAGAGAATCGAGGGGGTCTTGCGGGTGACATTGACTGAATTCATGTTCAAATGGGTACTGTGGCTCTAGGGAAGGATCGCGAGTCTGAACCATTCCATCGATGAAGGTCTCCGGGGTGGGAGCTGAATGCGACAGGGCTGGCGGAGTGTATGTGCAAGCTGCTGATGAACGAGCGGCCGAAGAAAGTCCCCGCTCATTTAGCTTGGTGTTTTTGATGAGCTCCTTGATCAATTCCTTGTGGTTCCGGCGCTGGTCGTTGTTCCCCCACCACATTGGCCGTTTATATTCACATTTCAGTTTAAGGTTTCGGCAGGCCTTGCATACCGGTTTACCTTCGTCACACTTCTTTCTTCGAAGACGGCAGGTGAAACATCCTAATTGGGAGGTACATAAGTCTTCTAGCCACCTTTACTAAGTTTTTTTTGTTGGTTTGTTGAGGCTTACCGGACCGAGACCTCTTGTGTAGCCTTTCTCCTTTTTTAATTGGAGTATCTTGTGAACTCGTCTTGTCTGATATTCTTGAGGAAGGTTTGCGTCCCTTTCTCGTCGTTTTGGGTTTTGACTTATCATCGGAGGCAGCCGTTATTGAAGGTGGAGGCGTGGGAGCCTGGGTAGACGGAGCAAGGGGAGGATACGACATTGTTGCTGCTGAGATAGGGGGTTAGAGGATTGCCGTTCGTTTTATTTTTCCCGATTTCGATATACAAGAGGGCTGCGCAGCAGTGAAGATTTCCAAGAGCCAGTCAATGGCGGTATACTTCGACAGAGCCGAGACTTGGTGGTCGAGATCGTGAGATGTCCACCAGTGCGCGAAAGGAGAGCAACGTGGCGGCAGCAGCAAATACACAAACACCCGACCAGCAGGTCCTTGTATTGGTTGACAAGGGAGTGAAGGAGTAAAAGATAGTCAAGGAATGAAGAGGCCACCCACGTTCATCAGAGATCTGACATCTTTTTTGGATGCAATGGCGATGCTTGAGCTTTAAGAAGTTAAGAACACAGTCAGATCGGCAAGTAGCGTCGATAGCTCTGTTTCTATTTTTGCCTGCGCGTTTAAAGAATAAGGGCAAGACAGTTGAAGGTTCCGCACAGAGGTACATACATATGTATGTATGGCAGCCTTTCAAAAGCCAACTCTTTGCCCATGGGACGAACCCATGCAGCTTATCCGAAGCGGGGTGTGTGTATGGACAGATCGAGGACAGGGAAGGCCGGATAGCGAATCGTTTTCGCCGGATGTCACCTTGGGGGGAACATGATCCCTGCAGGCAACGGACCTATGGCGGAGGATTCCATAGTGCCTATTTTTGCAAGCCGCTCTCTGAGAAAGAGAGAGAGAGAGAGACGGCGTCATAGGGTGGTGCAGGGATTGAGGGAACGCAAGAAGGAGGTTGGTGTGAGCTCGGGATAGGCTGCAGGGAGGTTTTAGTGGCATGCAGCTAAGGAAACAAGCCTGTCCAATCCCTGCCCGACTTTTTAACCGCTGAGGTCTTGACTCTCACTCTCAGCCAAGAGACCATCCTCCTTGTGGTAAATTTAATCCGTCAATCAAGAACGGCTAACGTGAGAATGATCCACGGCCGGCCGCTCGATCTCGCGAGGAAAACACCTTGGGCAAATTTAACCACCCGTTATTTTTGGCACATCACACGATTCATCTCATGAAAGTTAAGTTGTAGTTTGGATGGTGAGCCTGCCACTTCAATTCAAGGTAGAGCCGGATGCTTCTGCCCTCAGAAGTCTGCGGAGAATACCGGACAGCACAGAGAGATTAGGCCCATGCCTCTTTCTCCGTGCCTGCAGCAGCATGCGTCTGCAGTCTCTCGTAAGACAGAATAGAAGTACGCAGGAGGTCGTGAGGAATGGGGTGAAGGTCATCACTTGGCGTTGCCAAGATCTCTAGGGTGGTCGCTGAGGAGCCCATCCGACATGATCGGCACAGTGATTCCTCGTCCGGCACTTTCCTCGACGCTTTCACGATGGCTAGCTTCAATAGTCCAGCAAAATCGTTAGCCGCGGTGGTCAAGCTCGCGCTCTCGCTCGAATTTCGCGTGCGAGTCACTCGACGTGCCGGTCACGCCGGGGCAAGAGATTTCGCTCACCCGCCAAGGCCTCAGCGGGCGGCCGCCCTGATTGGCCCTGGTGTGGGTTTCCCTCATCAAAACCGCCAGCCACTCAGCGCCTCGCGCCGCGGCGCCAAGACATGGCCCCCGCTGCCTGATTTGTCACTTTAGCTCGAGCCACATGCAGGTGATCGGTGTGGGGCGGCCCTCCCTCGTTCTGGTCCTTCCCGGTCCGCAACTCTAACTTTGATGCCTTAACACACTTAGCTTTGCATGATGAATCCCGCTCTTGCAATTCAGGCTAACCTGGCTCGGATTGCAGGTTAAGTTGCTTTAATTAGCAGCAATTGTGGGCAATTATTAGCCATTAAGTGGGTTAAATGCGTGCATCCCTCTCCTGACCTCCTGGTTATCCGTTCTTAATTTATCACCCCAGTTGACTCTCGAGGCATATTCTTAACAATCAATTAACAATCAACCCCGCTATTACTATTTATAAAATTAGCTCTTAATTTTGCGAAAATACACATAATTAGCAGCAATTGTAGCAATTGTAGCAATCCAGGTGTCGGTGCCACAGTCCCCGTTGCGGCACGTTTCCGTCATCGTCAGACACCCGCACCACGAAGTTGCCCCGCGACGACCTCCCAAACCCCCAAAAATCTCTCATTTGCAAGACGCAGCTTAACCTGACAGATTGAGGATGTTGGGACCTACTTAGCTCCTTTTTTCCCGAGACCAGCCAGTTATGTACCTGACATGTTATATCCCTCCTTGATCCTCAGCGTGGCCCTAACGCTCCATTCCTAGCGTCGGAATCGCCCAGCACTGCATTCTGATCTCAGCATCGCTGTATTGCCGCCCGTCGTTTGTCTCCTCTCCTCTGGCCATTGAGGATCTACGTGTTCAAACGATAAACCAGACGAATTTACATAATACCGACCTCGTCCTCCTAGCTTCAATTTTTTCTCATCTTCCTCTTCCCTAGCAGACTATCCTTCTCTATATTACGCACCAGCGTCTCGTCACCCTCGCTCTATTCAACCTCTAGCCGGGCCATGCTACCCTTACACCGCTTCCTCTAGGTATTTGGTTGTCGCTGCTACCCCCCCCTCTCTCCCCCGGTCAAGCCCAGCGGCGAGAATGAAGGAAAACAGGCACCCCAGCCTCCAGCGCCGAGCCTCGGAGCAACACTTCGATAGAGAAAGTGCTAATCCTTTCATCCCTGCCATCCATCCACGCAGGTCCCGGCCCAATTGACACCAGGCCTGACAGGGTTCTAGAATGTAACCTGATAGCATCCCTCTTTCACCCGGACCCGCACAAGGCGGAAAAAAAAAAAAAAAAAAAAAAAAGAAGGAGGGTGAGATATCGACCACAAGGTTCAGCCCTCTGCTTTTCCTGTCATGTTTTAAGAGAGAGAAAAAAAAAAAGGCCATTGCGCGCATATCAGGGGTAGGCCATGCGTCTTGCCCGGAATATTCGGTGGGCTCTATTCTAGCCAAATCCTCCGAAGGGATACAGTGGCTCCCCATCCCCGTTCTAAAAGTCTTACCATGGAGCGGCCCTTTTCTTGAGTAGTACATAGATTGGGAGGCAAGGGGTCGTAGTTTCGCAATCACATCCGAGTCCAATGAACTACTTGAAATATCAGCTCATCCATGAATATACCGGACAGCGACACGGGCCCAAAGATTGTGACAGATAGGCTTCTCTGTTTGATCTAAATTTTTTTTTCCATCTCAATGTCCCATCACGTCGCATTCACTTTTGTAACGTTTGTTTTGAATAAAGCACGGACAACCTGGTTTTTGGGGCTAGCCTGATTGGAAGGTCCCTGGCGAATTTTCCCCGCTCTCTCCTTTGCCGTCTTATCTTATCAACAATGGCTCGACCCACTTTTGAGGGTCGAGGACGAAAATCTCCACAGCCAGCCAAAGATCGGCCGAAAATACACACTCGAGAGCTAATTACGTAGTTACGGAGTGATTTATGGAGTTTGAACCTCTTCGATCGTCAGCTAACTACGGGGTAGTCAAGCCCGTCATCGGCGGCTGGACATACATTGACATACATACAAGTCCACGGTGCGTGCTCCACCGCGTTTCTCAGCAGGAACACAATTCTTCTCGACAAGAGTATGAACACGGCCACCAGGGTGAATTTTTCTCTGCACGTTGTCGAACCCCGGCTTTTCAACATGGCTGGGAACCCAACATCGTGCAGAACAAAAATACCGCACACCGCAAATTTGGAACAACCTAACTATCGACAGCCTTCTCAATTCTATCCTGCTTCCTCCGAGTGGAACACCAAAGGCAGCGTCCATATGGAATATAGGCGGAGTGCTCCGTACGACGGAGGAGTACAATGCTCGGCCTATCGATACCATCCTGGTCTTGTTGCATGGGCCTCATCACACCAACGAGAGGGAAAAGTTCCCCGAACCGCCGACTAAAACTTCAACAGCTCACGGGCACGCCGCAAATCAGGGCTTTTCTCCTGATGGATGTAAAATGATGATCTTCCCCAGGATGTGATCATCCAGCGAGCTCGTTGAATGCGCATTGACCTGCTCAGGACAAGAGGTCATTGGCTGGGTGGCCTGGGATACTGTGACAGCGGCTGCCTCTTGGACGACCCGACGCCCCGGATCGAGCGACTGTCGTCGACCCAGGGCTCCCATATCCGGTGCTTATTCACGAATCAAGGGGCCTTTTCATTCTCCCACCCTCCTCCAGAGTATTGCTACTCCTCCTTGTCTCCTTCTATCGTGCACCCGATGTGTATGTGTCGTGGCAAGCGGAGTATAGGGTGGCGAACCGGTTCACAGGACATGCTCCGTACATGAGACTACATATTTTTTTGTCCTTGAAGAACGACGGCATGGGAATTCGCACAGAGTACGGAGTATGTGTACTGCCGATTCTAGTCCCTCTGCGACATGCCTGGGCGGACATCTAGCACTTATACCGCGAAAAGGAGGACATATAACGTCAGTTGCGCATGTACACACTCACACACGGCGAACAAGTGGTCCTAGCTCACTATCACAGCCGCCTCAGGAGCAAGGACATGTCCAATGCCTGTCGGGGCAAGGGAGCAGCTGACGGGTTGGATTGTGACAGCTCGAACGTTTGACGTCATTCAAGAACGCTGGACTTTCGGCTTGGAATTCTCGCTCAGGAATTTTCTCTCCTTTCGGCCTGAGAAATCAGCGACGCTCAGCATTAGCCAGGAGCCCGACAGCTCGGAAGAGCGAACACGACGGAACTTATGTAGCTAAATTGAGAAAGGAACACAATGTGACCCCCAGCAGAATCATGTGATCCAAGCTTTGATGTGCAGCTGAAGTTTGGCTTGGCTAATGTTGCCAGACATCCATCCGAGCGCCCCGTGCGCTGTGTGACTTGGGTGATCGATCAATGAGGCCGTTAAGTAAAATGAAAGAAAGGGCCGTTCGATGCTGTGACTCGGCCAGAAGGAAAAGACGGGCACTCTCTCAATCACCACATAATCTCATGTCACATAAACACCATCCAATGCCAAAGCCTGGAGGCATAAATATGTATTTCTGCAATCGCGGGTGATTGCAACGGTCGCATCATGAAGAAAAGATGTGAGGAAACGAAAGTAAACATCCAACGGTAGCGAGAGAAAATTACCTGTAGCTCGTAATGCGGGACGTTCGCCCGGAGTAACCCGTAACTAAATGGCTCAAGGAGTTCGTGGAGTCAGCAGACCCAGGACGTCATCATCGCAACGGCTCATCTCAGACTTCAGCCGCCATTGTCTTAACTTGGGTATATTCGGGCGTCGTTCAGCGGAACATGGCGGTGAGCCGACTCCTCTCTCTGTCTCTCTCTCTCTCGCCTGCGACCAGCTACGGAATGCGTGGCCAACGTAACGAGGGAAACTTCCCGTCGCAAGCATCTACCCGCGGGCGCTTAAACGCTAACTGACGCCTTTTTGCCCCAGCCCCTCATTCGCGCAGCAACTGCCCTCAAGACAGAAGGCAAAAGTGGCAAGATGATCGTAACCGCCCGCTCTGATCGTCGATTGATGGGCATTTGTGGTTGTGAGTTTTAAACCGCCTGGTTCAGAAACTATTCCATTTTCTTTTTCTGGCTAAGTGGCGAATTACATCAGGCGTTGGGTTGCCGCTCAAATTTCGTCTTATTCCGTTGAGCCCAGAGAAGGAGTTCCATAAAACTACTCCGTAGCCAGGTCATGAGACACATCCTAGCGATGTTCCCGGTGGTTGAGATCTCACCTTTAGCGCCCATGCCACTGCTCAACATCTCCGAGAAAACCTCGAATTTCTCGTGATAATCCTCCGTAGTGCTCTGATCGATTCTCTCGGCGTAAAAGCAACAAACAAGAAAACAATAGAAAATTGGTGCCAGGTGGGAGTTACTCCGTCTTACTAAAAATATAGGTATGTAACTGGGGTTTAAGGTTCACTCGCTTTTTAGGTCGAACCCTCCAACTCAAAAGCCGTCTTGTCATTTCCTCTGGTTCTGGCGGCGTGGTCGCATAGGTGTAGTCGGCTCTAGGTGAACAGCTGTTACATTTCATGCCTCGTACAGTCACGTAACGGGCGGTAGTGCTTGCTTTATATGCTGTGCGATCGAGATCATCCGCTTGTACGAATGTCAATCAGAGAGTTAACCACAGTGCTACGGAGTACTTGTCTCTCTTTCCCCGATTCGTCAATATGCCTATTTTTGATTTCTGTCTGGCCTTGAGATAAAATTGGCTTGTCTTACTAGATTTGTCTCCTCTGTACTCCGTACACGGCTCGGGTCAATGCACGTCTTCGAAAGCGGCTTGTCGTGGAATGACATCTTTGACACAAGGGAGCTGCAGGAGCTGCCGCACATCTACATCGCTATCACCGCATTGAAAAACTACCTACACGAGGACCACTCAAGGTCGAAAGAAAAGCCAACATTATGCACCACGATTTTTGAGGAATCATGTTAGTGTCTCACTCTTAGCCGAGAGAAGTAGCTCGCAATCATGTACTCCATGGATGCATGTACGTACATTCATACATACAGTACGGGGTATATTCTTCGGGCCTCGTCCATATATGTACCGTAACTCCGTCCACTTCAACATCGGTCGGGATATTTTGGACGTACTCCATCCATGTTCATTCACTATTTCCATATGCTTAGAAATGTAGATTCCGGAATAGACCAAGCATCGTGAGTCTTCCCAGTGGCCAGACCGTACTCTTGGAGAGGGGTCTGGAGGAGGAGGAGGCGAATATACTTTGTACTGATAGTATGATGTAATCTCCCGATAAGCCCTCGGGCTCGAAGTAGAAAGGGACCGTCGCCAGCGAGAGTGGCGGCGAGCGGAGTCAGTCAATTAGGAACAGATAGAATGGGATAGGGGTCTGGAAAAATTTTCTGCCCAGGGTAAAGTCCTGAGCATCTTGGCCCGTATCACAGAACCGGGCTCCTCGGCCTGGTTCGGTGCCCCGGCCGCTTGCCCAGGCCCCAGAGGCATAACCTAGAGAGGCGAGAATTTGGGGGGCAGGGGGGCCATGGGTAGATTTTGTGCGGGAGGGATTGTTGACCGTAAGAAGCTCTCATCCAACTTGGGATATTCGATGCATAACCGCATCGTGGAATGTTGTCAGGATCCACGCTCTTGAAGAAATATTAATATCGGGAGAACAGTGTTGCTGCATGCATGGCGAAAAGCCCTTGTTAAAAAAAAAAAAAAAAAAGGCACAGCGCAGCAACTGACCAAACATAAAAGGAAAAAGGGCCACGTCCAAGCAAGGTATTTGAGGTGCTAGCCCCGGTAACTTCATACTTACAGAGGTACTTCATGTACAGTACAGCGTGCATATGTATATGTACTCCGTATGTGCGTTTGTAACTGTACAAACGGACAGCAGCACTAATGCAAACTGTGCGTTCCCGTGCAAAATTTGATCTGTGGGAACCAACTGCTGAGCTTTGCCCAAGCCCGGCCATTATGCGACCGTGCGGTCATCCTGCGACCGGTCTTGGCCGGTTCAGTTGTGAAGGCGATGGAATGCCAAAGCCTGAAAACAAAAAGACGTTATCAAAGCTAGCTAAAATAATCCACAAGGACACACAATTTTTTTTTTTTTTTTTTTTTTTTTTTATAAAAGAAAAAAAAGATATGTAATATCAACAGCCCAGACCAGTAGGCAAATCCTCGTTTTCTGTGGAATGTTGCACAGAGAAAAAAAAGAGACGTGGGTTTTGATTCAGCCCGTGCCTGGATCCTTATTTTCCTCTTTATTTTCGTTTTTGCTTTTTTTTTTTTTTGGTCCTTTTGTGCTTGTGCGTTCTTACATCTTGGGGAGCAGCGAAAGGGGTTGTGCAAGAGTCATCTCTCGAATACCACCAAGGGCCATGGTCAAACAATTTCCATCACATCAATAGTGCGTGATGGGCTTCAGCTCCCTCGATCTCGTGAGAGTCCGGCGGCAAAAGGGAAGGGAAAAAAAAAAAAAAAAAGAACCTCATTCGAATCGTCGTAGTCAGTCAGCACAGGACGTTCTCCATTCCTGCCGTACCCCTCTGCTACCCCTCTCGATGGCCATTCGCCCGTTGCAGTCGCCCTTCCCCGACCAATGGGCGCCTCCCGGCCGGCCTCTCGCTCAGCCAGATGTGACACCTCCCACCGCGAGCAGAGAAACCCGCCCGTGCTCTGTGTAGGCCAGAAGTACCAGGTACATCCTGTCCGCAACTCCCCAGCTAACCCCCAACGCAGCCAACACGGCAGCCGGCCAATCACGTTGCCACGCCGTATTTGGCCTGCACATGCGATTTCTTCACAAAGCAACGGACAGGGATGCTCTGCGTGCGCTGATTGGCCGGCACTGTAGAAATAGAGTTTCGTCACAGAAACGTAATCACCGCACTAAACTGCATACAGCAACCGTACCTTCTTTGCGTGCATTGGGGCCCACTGGCAGCGCAGTCCCTGATTGGTCGCCATGGTCTTCAGCGAAGGGAAACTAACCTGTGAACGGGCTGTGATGTCTGCATCCCGTACATGGGTGCAGAAGGGGAACCTGCGCATGAAGTACCAGTCAGCGCAGGACGCTCGATGTTCTGTTAGCAATCCTGACCAGGTGATACATCCTTCCCAAGTCCCCACTCCCGGCATCGTAGAAACCCCCTTCTGCGCCAGACGTTTCTGCATCGCCATGGAAACAGGGAATCGTGCCCGTACTCCGTACTGCCCTCGTAACGGGCAGGCCAGAAAACGCCCACCAACGTCACCCCATTTGTCAGGCCACGGGTCACCACGCTCTCACAGGTAGTGACTTTCCCTGTCTCGTCACAAACCGACTCCCTGCTCTGCTCCGGATAGGCCTTCTTTACAAATATCTCCAAGCGCCCGCTTACCCGCCCTTGTCCAGCCCCCCCCACACACACACACACACACACACACATATACTCGCATACATCCACCACCCCCACCCCCCTTCGCGGATCTGCGTCGGGGCGAGAAGGGATCCTCACGTCCTCAGATATATTATCGACCGCCTCGAGACCTGCATCTGTCTGTCGAACTGCATCTCCCTCCCTTCTCCGGATATACACTAGACCGCACATAGGACCGGCAACGGTTGACCTGCTTGCTTTTCGCCCCCCCCCCCAAATTCCCATAACCCTTTCTTTCTGTAGTGCTCTCTATCTTCGTGCATCGTTCATTCGGAGCATGGACGTTTATTGATTTCTTTCCCGCTTCGTTTTTCTCTTTCTCTTCCGGTGGCCCTTGATTCACGGCTTTTGACCCGATTTCATCATGGTAGGCAAATGCAGAAGACGGCCTGGATAGGAACACCGATTGGCTGACGATCCGATTCAGGAGTTCACATACCAACTCTCGCAGCCCCAGCAGGGAGTCCTGATGCTGCAGAAGAACACAAATTCGATCACTCTTTTTCCTAGACATTCCTCGTTCAATTCACGGCCGCTCTCTGAAGCAACGGAAATCCTGGACACCGATTATGAGGCTGAGTTCTCCGATATCGAGTCCCCCAGAAGAAGCATAGAATCGGTGAGTAGAATCTTCCCTTGATTGCCCTATCATGACAACGCCTCTGACCCCCAGAAACAGCTGGAAAATGACAGTGCAACAACTCTGTCCACACCAGACGACCTGCCCACCCCAGATGCTCTGGATACATCGTTCAAGATTGGTTTGGGCCCCAGTAAACCCGTCCAAGGGCCGTCTGGACCACACCTTTTCAGGTCATCCCTGGATGCATCCGTAGCTGCCAAGTCAGACGATAATGACTGGCACTTTCCCTCATCGCCGGATGAGCTGGATGACGTAAGGAACTCTTCGATCCTCTTGAATGAGCGGATATTCGACGCCAGACTCGACGCCAGACCTCCAGTCGAAGAATTCAGACCAGCGAGTAGTTTGAGTGTTTCTCGAGCATCTCCCCACCAGGATGTTACCGACGTGCGAGCATGGACGCCAGCCCAGGTGGCTGAATGGATGTACGAGGCCGGTCTTGAAGACATGGTCGTTGAGCGCTTCATCGAGAACGATATCTCTGGTGCTGTCCTCCTGGATCTCCAAATCGAAGACCTCAAGGAACTGGACATTCAATCCTTTGGAAAACGTCACGGTCTAATGAACATGATCCAGAAACTTCGCTCTGGTACATCTGCTCGCTCGATTGAGAGGTCCTCCTCCCGGCTCAGCAGATCTTCATCGATGCGCAGAGGAGATAACAGGGACCACACGATTCGTTCCCCTGTGAGCGACAGAGGTAGTTCCCGTCAACGCCGAAATCGAGTCATTTCGGAGAAAGACATAATTTCACCAGGAGAATCCGTCTCTATCGTGGCAATTGAGCAGTTAATTCCCAAGCCCCACAAATGCTCCAAGGGAGAGAACTGCCCAAAATATCAGAGACGGCAGCGCAAAATCGCCCGTTTTGCAAAGGAGTTTCCGAATGAATTCACACGGATAAGTGGAGAGCATATTTCCGTACCTCTGGCCAGCCCAGCGAAGACGGAACACGGCCTTCGCCCAAAGTCTGATGCTACTCCTTCTCTTGTTGCTTCGTCTGATGTCCTCGGACCATCACAACTGCCGGAACTCAAACTTAGTGCCGAAAACTTGAATGGAGTCCAACCCCGGGATCCGCAGGAAAACGTCCGCCAATTCCTGAATTTCCAACATATGCACAACCCAGTGCAACCTGAGTACAACCAACCTCCCCTGGAGATGTTCCCTCCCCTATCCCCTCCAGCTTCGTCTACACCCCCCGCAAACATGACCACTCAACTTCGTAGTCTGCCAAGGCTAGTAATTCCTCGGAGTTCTTCTGCAAACAACACCTTTTCTCCAGATCGAACCATCACCCCATCAATGGGGCTGCCACACATGGGCTCTGCAACTGCAACGCAAGAAACAAATCCATTCCACTTTGGTCAAGACGTGTACCGCCATGTTACTCCCTTTTCGGAGATGGACGCCCCGATCACCGCGATGCCGATTGAACCGCTGGACCGTGATGCTTCGCAATCGGTACCCCCTAATATGAGATATGGTACCTTGCACTCACCTACTGGCGACTCAATCTATCGCTCGCAATCCGTACGACCCGATCATCACCGTCGACGTCCATCCTTTACAACAATGGCCCCTCTTACAGAGGGCAGAGTACTCCCTCCTATTGATAACCCATCGGAGCTTCGACCGGCTCTTCCCGCCAAACGCCACACGCAGGGACTCTTGGCTTCGAAGTCAGCTACCGAATCCGGAGGGACTCCTACGTCCTCGTCAAAAGATAACGAGGTCGCCCACAGTGGGTGGATGAAGAAGAGGAAAACCCGCCTTTTACGTCATGAATGGCAGGATGCACACTTCACCCTCAAGGGCACCGTTCTGGCCATGCACAAAGATGAGCGTGACTCTCGAAGCCTTGAGACGATTGACGTAGACGATTACGCCGTCGCTTGTTCATCGCTGGCGAGCAACTCCAAACTTACAGCTGCATTCAAGAGGTCGGCCCTTCGCAAGGCAGCAAGTCTCTCCCAGAACGGATATCGAGGCATGGATGAGACTGCCTTTGCATTCTCTTTGGTTCCCGCATCGGGAGAAAAGAAGTCGCTGTTCCTCGGATCGGGTAAAAGCCATCATTTCGCCGTGAAGACGAGGGATGACCGAATCAACTGGATGCGAGAGCTAATGCTCGCCAAAGCTCTGAAAAAGGGCAAGGAAGGAGGAAATGAGATCTGCGTCAACGGCAACGTTATCTAAACGCTGAGCGCATCGCCGCATTCCTCTTTCCAATAATGCCCTCTCCCAATAAACGGGACATCTGTATATACCTCCTTGCCCGTACAGAATACGGCCGCCATTCGTTTGCATTGTGTTCTTCTTCGGGGTTTTGACCTGGCGCCAACGCTCTAGATCTCACTTTAAACCATAACGACTGATGACGACATGCCATGTTTCCTTTTTTTTTTTTTTCCCTCCTCCTTTTTTCTTTTGTTTTCGTTGTTTTTTTTTTTGGATGAGGCCTTTTATATGTCCTTTTTACCTTTTGTTGCAGAATACCCCTCAACTCTTGTATTTTTGCGCTCCTTGCTTATTACGTCTGTTCGTGATTAGTTTTATTTTCTTTCGTGACGGCCTTATCAAATTGGGGGGCCATTTATTGTCGAGATACCACTGACCACCGTCTTTTGTCTTTGTCGAAAAGATTGCTGGGCATTCTTCTCTTGCATATATTAGTGACTACCCTTTTTTTCCTTTTTCTTTTTTTGATTTTAAGTTTACCCTGCAAATGGGTTTAGGAGTGGTAACAGGATCGATAGTCTAGGGAATGGAATAAATATCGGGATGACCGAAACACAGCAAATTCATGGATTCGCATCTAAGACAAAAGTGGAAAGAAATCCCTTAGCGATTCGCAATTGGTCAGCTTGGGGGCCAGGAAGAGTCGTAATGTACGGACAAATTTAATACGCTTTGATATCGCCGTTCCCAAATCAAGTAAACGTGACGCCCGGCTGCATCAAGCCCCGATACAGCTCCTCCAAAACGTCTCTTTTCCTCTTCCGTTCCTCTATTTCCGTTTCCTCTCGCTCGGCTTCGATCTCGTCGATTTCTTCCTCTGTCCTCGACGCCCAGCACCTAATCGTGCCATCGCCATGTCCCGAAAACATCTCCATCCCCTCTCCAGCCCCGCCGTTTCCGCGCCAAGTCAACGTATTTATCCGTGCCGCCGTCAGCGCTGAGGGTTTCCCGATTGCTCGCATCCGCTCTCGCGATAGGATGCCGGGGACTTTTAGATGCGTGACCAATTCACCTTCATTGCGGATGGAAAAGACGAATATTTCGCCGCGGTCGTCCGGGTCGGAATAATTGGGCCAGAGGAAAAACGGGGCTTCTTGGGCAGAGAGGTTGTCTGGGACGACAAGAGGCGCACGCTCGGCAAGGTGCATCGATGCACTGTTGCGGATGCGTGGGCCGAAGTGGACAAGCGTGTTGGCGCCGGTTGTTGCGTCCCATACTCGTAGACGCGAATCTTGACCGGCGGTGATGATGAAGTCGCCCTGTGGACTCCAGCGGACGCCGGTGACGGCGCCGTTGTGAGCGCGAGATCCACGGGTGAAGGGTTTCCGTGGATGGAATGTAGGTGGCGCGGTGGGCGGTGGGAGAACGCCCACGGCGTCGTCCATGTCGAGGGAAGCAATGGTGGAATTGTGGCCGCCGCGGCGGACGTCGAAGATGAGAACACGGTTGTCTTTTGAAGCGGAGGCGATTAGGTGGGGGTTATGAGGGGCCCATTGGACTGATAAAACGGCGCCTGTGTGGCCAGGGAGGGAGTGGGTGGAAAGTCCGGAACGGAGATCAAGGAGACGGACGGCTTTGTCCGATGTTCCGACGCCAATGAGGAGGTGAGAGGACGGATGGGAGGAAAGGGAATGGGAATAGGGCGTTGAATGAAGGGAAAAGGTATGGACTGGAGTGATTTCAGATTCGCCAATCGACGAGAGTTTGAGGGTTGTGTCGTGGGATGTGGTGAGCACGGTTGCTGGCGTCGGGTCAAAGGGATAGATCGAAATTGAAGTCAATGCGTGCGTGTGTGCTGATGTGTTCGATGATCTATAGAAGTTCGGCATTAAGGTCATTTGATTTGATAGACGCGTTAATTAACGTACTTCGAAACAGATGCAATCGACATATGGAGGTGGGTTGACTGCGCTCCACGGCTTTCTAAGTCCCACAGGTGGACGGACGCATCGGCGCCGCCAGAGACCATGCTAGAGAATAAAACCCATCAGAGTCGTATATCGAAAATCAGAGGCTACTGCTTAAAAAGAAAAACATACAAGCGTCTATCATAGTGATCGATAGCCAGCACATTCACGCCTGCTTTGTGTGCCCACACTTCATCGCCATCTGTGGTTGATGCTGACGCGCTTGAGAATCGAATTCCCGGCGCTGGCGCGAGGCACTGGATGAGTCGCGAACATTGCGCCACGTGGAAAGACGAAGGGCATATAGATCCTTGAGATCTATTTAAAAGATATGAATTCATTCATTAGAGTGGCCTGCGATATCGTGAGGAACGCGTTAACGCTTGGTTTGCTGTCAGTGGGATGAAAGGGTGCGCGGGTTTCCGTGGACCCTGCCATGTCGGGATTTTGTTGGTCCGAAAACCCTACATTTCCAAGATCTCACAGTAACTACTCCGTACTCTCTCCGCTAACTGAAATTTACAGAGTAGCTTGGCGAATGACGAGCATACGAGTCCTCCATTGCGGGCCGGCACGTCATCGGCGCCGGATAAACTCAGGCCGAGATATCATTCCAAGTGGACCGACCTGGGCAAGGTTCGTTGGAGTGCTCGATGGAGCACGACAAGTAGATCTCGTGGTGAAGCATGCCATTGCGATGAATCAAGAAAGGGATGTTTTTGAATCGATAGAACACAATGCAGAGGATGCTCCTCCCCAACCCCGGAAGCGTTATGCAAATGTTTACGATGCGGTTGCTGGTATGGTACCTGCATTGTTGGCTCGGCCTTGAATTGTTTTAGACGGCTAATTTTTCTTTTCAACAGGACGAGTGTCGACTCAGGAATTTCGCTTAGCGCCATCTCTTGATAGCCGCAATTCTCTTCCCAGCACATTTCACTCCGTCCCTCCGGATGAAGTTCTATTTCGCCGCTTAAGTGCGCCTACCAGATACCAGGAAGACGACATCTACTTCGCCAACGAACGTCTTCCACCGGATCAAACTCTTCCAGATTCAGACCTACTGAAAGCCATACATACGTACGCCTCGGACTTCTACTCTAGCGCAACTGCTGACCGTGGCCGATCGACCTGGTTGAGTATGGACGAAACCGCTTTGATTGCGATGGGAATTCTTCTGGAAGAAACTGCCGTAGAGGCATTGGGGGAAACTGGAGATATGGTGTTTGTCGAGGGAGAAGAAGTTGTTGGCACTGACGAGCCTGGTTATGAGTCCGAAATTAGTATAACTTCAGGCCGGCGGTCCGTTCCAAGCACATTGGGGTTTTCGGGCGCGGGAAGAACGCGAACGACGGGCGTTGGAAGAAGCGGGGATGAATTGGTTGGAATGAAAAGGAAGAAGCGCCGATTGAGCAAGTCTGGGCGAGCGAAGGACGATGCTGTGCAAACTGACGGTGAGGACATTTAAATCGCTGCATACGCAAGTGGCAATAGTCCGTCTCGACCGGCACGTTCAGCGATTACGTCTCATATTCCATGACCATGGTGATAACACAATCGTGAGTACTATGTTTCCGATGTAGTTGAGGTACATGTTGCAAATTCGCTCCCGTTTCCTAAAAAGGAAACTTTGAGCCTCGCTCCCCCTCTCTCCGAGGCTTTTCAACGACGTCGCCTAGAACTGGACACTTCATCACCCTTCGTCAAAGAGAGTTTCCAATGTATAGAGTATAAGTTGACTCCCTTACAAAGATGGTGAGTTCTTCTACCTGCTGAATCGACATCAGCGATTTCTCCTGATTAGCCCTAGCTAACGAATACCATAGGGCCCATCCAAGTCTTTGCCTCCAGCTGCCAAGCAAGCTCTTATTCTGACTCATTTACGCTCAACACGTACCTGCCACACCCTTAAAGATCTTGAGAAAATGCTTCCATCTGTTGCATCGATCAACAGCATGCAGGTTAAGGACTACATCCAAGCCCTTGTGGACGATAACAAAGTCCGCGTTGAGAAAATCGGTAGCGGGAATTGGTATTGGGCTTGGGCTGGAGAAGAGAAAAAGGCACGAGACAAAATACGGACCGGGTTAGTCAAGGAATTGGATAAGATTAACAAGAGCGTTGCTGAATTGAAGAGTAAGATCGATGTGGCAAAGGCTGAGATTGGTCAAGGTGCGGACGAAGAGGCTGAGAGGACAAAGTTGTTGGCAAAGAAGGAGACGATGGGAGCCGAAGTCTCGGCATTGAGGGAGGAGCTTGATCAGTATTTAAACGGCGAGGCTGGCGGGAGCGTTGATATGATGGAGGCGGATATCAAGCGCTGGAAAAGCGAAGCAGAAATGTGGACGGACAATATTTACATTCTCGAGGGATACTTGAACAAGCTGACTGGCGGCGATAGAGAGGTCCTTGAATTTCTGAGGAGAGAATGTTACGGTGACGAGTACGTTGAGGGAGAAGGGCTGTCAGAGCTTTAGGTAGGTATGGTCTATCAACTCTACCCTGTGAGATGATTCTGTTTACCATGAGATGGCTAATATCTCTAAGGAAAAAACAGATATGCGTTTGAAGCTTTCATATTTCTCGTTATATGCTGTATGTATGAACAGGAGAATCATACATGGCATTCATTCCTTGAATTCATCCAATTTTCCAACCCTTCCGGATGTGCCACCCCGTCTATTTTAATTCCAAATAACGCAGGAAAATCGACAAAATCATTAAACAAAAAATTAATTCACCTCCACGAACTTCTTCTCATAGTCTGAAATTGCCTGCACTTTTTGCGCACTCGCACTCTTCTGGTCGAATCGATACGTTAGCCACTCGCCGGCTAACCTCTTCGCCAATTCAATTCCAATAACCCTCTGTCCAAAGCAGAGCACCTGCGCGTCGTTACTCAAGATCGCTCTCTCCACGCTGAACGTGTCGTGGGCCGTTACGGCCCGGATTCCGGGGACCTTGTTCGCGGAGATGGCTACGCCTAGACCTGTTCCGCAGATCATGAGTGCTCGGTCGACTTTGCCATCTTTGATCAATTGGGCAGCTTGAATGGCAACGTGTGGATAGGCGGTCTTGTCGGTGGTGGAAGTGACACCGACATCCGTAATGGAAGAGACGAGAGGATTGTCGGAGAGGTGGGCTTTGAGGGCTTCTTTGTAGGAGACACCGGCGTCGTCGCAGGCGATGGCGAGACGGAGAGGTGGAAGTGGGGTTGCTGCCATAGCTGCGTTTGGGACTCAAATGGTGCTGCAAAGTGTCTTAAGCTCGGGTTTTTTATTTTCTCTGGATTTTGGCTTGATTTTTGCGGGGATTGAGATTGATATCAAGTATTGCAGCAAGGAGGATGTTTGTTATGAGTAGAGAACAGATGGAAGGTTGGCAAGAATATTACGCTTCGCAAGATGCATAGAGCCCTTAGATTCTTATTCATCAAAGAAAATTCTTTGATCTGGAGCACTCTCCACCTGGTGGATGATACAAAATGATACTCGCGATGGTCCCCATCCCAAGTCTCAGGTAATTCTGGAGCTTGGGCTACCCTGGTTCAGCGCTAATACAAAAATGGGTTGGCCAGTACGGTATTCTTATCGATAATGTAAGTTACGCCGGTACTGGTATGGTACAGGCCGGTATGGTGGGTGATGCGCCGTGCATCCGAACAGCGGGATGCCGTTTTCAGAAGTTCCGGCGGTGTTTTCGGAATCTCTGATGTCAGACCACTAGGGCTGATCAACGGCGGTACAATACAAAACCGTACTCCGTACTTCAACTTTCATATTTTCTCATGCTCTTCTGACACTTGAACGGGGTGCCTGTTGAAGGGTCATATTTTGCTCTTAAGCACTGTTACCGAATGAGGACTACATGAATCCTTTGATAATCCAGTGCCTTGCGTCAGGATAAGAATGCTCTTATTTTACAGTCTTAAAAATGGGCAGGGCAGAAACATCTGCTAGAAGATGATCCCTACAGGACAGAAGGCTGGTCCTTCCCTCAGCTGCAAAGCTACAACACCTCTTTTACATCATTCTGCTTTTGGGCTTCGTATGTATTCGGGACTCTTACTTCAAAGGCTTGTTGACCGATCTCACTCGGTACGAGCCCATTCAATGTTCAGATTAGCCTTGCTCCTGAGTTAGCGATGAACAAGCTTACAATATGTATCCTACCAAAGCTGAGGCACCAAGATTGATCGAGAATGCTAAATTTATGTATGAATAGCACTAATATCAAACAAACCTCAGCTAGAGCCGGGAGGATTAGTGGACACTGACCTACGTAAGACGTAGCGGGCATTTTGATATAACTTTTATAAAAATATGGGTAGAGGATAGCACAGCTGAAGGCAGAGCCTCTGGAGACAGCATGCTCCCGAAGCTGCCAATGGCTACCATTGAGGATAGGGTTAGCACTAACATAGTGATGTCTGCTTAGGCTCCAGAATTTTGAAACAAAGGATGATCGAGAGACAGCCTTCGGATGGAAAGGGGTTCGAAGGCATTTTGTACTTTAATTCTATTGGTGTCAAAATGCTGAAAGATTTATTTACTCTTACTCCGTACAGTTCATACAGAGCTTCACCCAGTGACATCACAGATGAGGGACTACAAGAAGCAAACAGGATACTGCGCAGGAACACCTATACACACTGAGTCTCAGGGCTTCAGCATTAGAAACAGAAAGCCTTTTGTAAACTAATAATTCTTGCCTTGCTCCATATCACATTGGGAAAAACCCACAGTTCTTCCTTTTAACAATATTACTAAATGAATGGCGTGTAATTTACCCCGCGCCCGGTAATATATATGTCACCATCAAAGCTGGAACCCATGGGCTGTTTGACGGGAACTCCGTATCTAGCATAAGTGCGACTCGGCCTTTTTTTTTCAGGTTTAGAGTGCTGAAGTATTCTACGGAGTACTACAATATGCTTTTATTGTAATGGTTGCACTCTGCGCTCGATTTTTATTGGCATACAAGGCAAAGAAAACAAAACTTGCTTGGAAGGCTCCTGAGAATTCTCCAATCGAAGAAAACCAAAAAGACACAACACAGGTAGAAAATCAATTGACACTGAAGACCTCATCACCATGGCATCCGCACTGGCAGGGCCTCGTTTTCCCCCACTGCCAAAAACGCTCCTCATCATCTCTTTGAAAATGTACTTTACTCCCTCTCGAACAATCGACTATATCCAAGGCCTCCTAGAGCCCCGGAACGACATCATCCGGCAAGAGAATAGATCCAGACTCCTTCTCGCTCTTATTCCAGATTTCCTTACCATATATCCCTGCTCTGAAGCAATTAAAGAATTTGAATCCAACCTTGCCGCTCCGCAAGATGCAGACACACCACCCCCACTTCTCCTCGGTGCGCAGGATTGTTTCTGGGACAGCTTGGGTCCTTATACAGGCGAGATATCCCCCGTCTGCTTGCGAGACATGAATGTTTCAATTGTCGAGCTTGGACATGCAGAGCGTCGCGCCATATTCGGCGAGACAGACCAGCAAGTTGCACGAAAGGCCGCCGCGGCAGCGGACCAGGGTCTGATCCCGCTGGTGTGTATTGGGGAAGTTTCCACACTGGGACCAATCGTGTCAGAAGCAATTGGTCGCGCGGTGGGGGAGTGCGAGGCGCAAATTAGACCGGTGCTGGAGGCGCTGCCGCGTGATGCGCCGGTGATTTTTGCCTACGAGCCAGTGTGGGCCATTGGGAAGCCACAGCCCGCCAGGGTTGACCATGTTGGTGCCGTTGTGTCGGGAATAAGGAGTGTTATTGAGAGAATTGATAGACATAGGAAAGGGGAAGTTAGGATCTTGTATGGCGGGAGCGCGGGACCGGGACTATGGGGGCCAGGGGGGTTGGGAAAGGAGGTGGACGGGATGTTTCTGGGCAGGTTTGCACATGATATTGAGGGTGTAAGGAAGGTGGTTAGGGAGGTGGAAGAGAGTTTGAGATAGGTACTCGGGCTCCAACAAGCCTTTTCCGCTGCGAGACCCGCCCTCCACCCCTTTGTTTCGTGTGTTGCCAAGAAAGCCCTTCCGCTCAGACCTGGACCCGCCGACAGCCGGGTGTCGCGCTAATTCTAAATGGGCTTAGCCTCGGATGCAACATGATTTGCCGACTTCCAGGGCCAGCGGAGTCCCTGGATTACTCAGCAACAGCCCACAGAGAGCTTCCATCCGATTCTTTGGGCATCTGCGGGCATCGTGCGGCCGGCTACACCGTCGACCTGTTTGCTCAGCAGGGAAGATAAAAAAGTAATATGGAGATGATGTGCACGGCTCTCTGTTTGCTGAGGTAACACTGGCCGCGGAGAATGTCGCGAAAGGAGAAAGTGGTCTTTCCTTGCGACCTAAGTTTTATTTGGATGGCACTGTCACATTGGCAGTAGAAGAGCGAGCAATTTGTTCCTTTGCCATAGGACCGTTGCAGGAGTTCTAACAACTGCGGTGAGGAGACTGTGTTTTCTCCCAGCACACATTGAAATTTGCTCCTTCTACAGAGTGCTCCGTACCGCACATCAGAGTGGCGTGCATAGAATCAGATACCACAGATTCAAGTTACACCATCCTACTTCAAACGAACACACTAGGGCGCCATGGCGTATGAACTCAAGGCGAAAGGCAATGAGCGGTACAAGGAGGGGGACTATCAAGGAGCGGAGGAGCTATACTCGCAAGCGTGAGCAACCCTCCCGTGGCATGCTTTTGATTCATTCCCCCGCTTATTTGGTCTCTGATAACTCACATCTCATGCAGAATCCAGAAGAACTCCCATGAGCCTGCCTTTTTCAACAATCGTGCCCTTGCCCGCATCAAACTTGAATCGTGGGCCGGTGTCGAGCATGATGCGCGCATGGCAATGGAGCTCTACGGGCCTAAGGACCCCGCCTCCCTCAAGTCGCAATTTTATCTCGCACAGGCGCTCTTAGGGCTCGGACGCCCCTCGGAGGCATGTGAGGTTGCTCTCGCTGCGTACAAGATCAGCCTGGAGACCAAGAGTCCGAATTCGGAGCCATTGTCGAACACGATATTAAGGGCTAAACAGGCTATTTGGGCGGCGAAGGAAACGGCTAGATTAAGGGAAGCAGACGAGACTCTAAAACAGCTCGAGGGGCTCATGGAGGCAGAGTGTACGAAGGAACTTGAACAGCTGCGACTGCAGTTTGAGGCGGGTGAGATAGGGGCGATTGGATATGCCGAGGACCAGCGGATATTGCGGGCGGAGGCACAGAAGAAGGTGGATAATGTACGAGAAATATTCGCAGCTTCCAAAGGGGATGATATGAAAGAAAGGGTGAGTTTTTTCTTTCCTTTTTTTTAAAAAAAAAATAAAGCCAAAAATTAGCGTTATCCCGCCTCCAGCGATACCCCGAGATGCTGACTTCACGAATTCTTAGGTTGTCCCCGATTATCTCATCGACAGCATTAGCTTTGAGATCATGCACGATCCGGTGGTCACTCAATCCGGCCATTCCTTTGACCGAGTTAGCATCCTCAAACACCTCCAACAAAACCCATTTGACCCCATCACGCGCGTGCCGATGTCTGCCAAGGATCTGCGGCCGAATTATGCATTGAAAGCCGCCTGTGAAGAGTTCTTGCAGAAGAACGGCTGGGCAGTGGATTGGTGATTACGAGTCTCCTTGCACCTTTTATCCCCTTTCTGGATTTTTTCTATTTCCTTTATGCGTGTGCACTCTATTCTTCTCACTTTGTATCTGTACAAAATACCCTTCATACTTAATATTTGCATAGCTTTGGGCGTTGTTTGCAGGCTGGTTTGGCTGGTTTATCCATGTGAATGTGCTTTTGGCATATGACTCTACTTATTCCATATATGAATGACTTATAATCAAGCATCTTTGCTACCTTGAGGACCCCTAGAGCCTAGCACCAAGTTGGAATCCCTCAAGAATTTCAGCCTCTGGCATACAACAATCCCTTATCCTTGCTATTGTGCATGCCAGTTGTAATGTGAACACCACAGAGCCACGTGTTTATTTCTAAGAATATAGAATCAACCCCTGACTGCTTGGATGTTTGGAAAGTACCATTTTTCGTCTCAACAATTTGGAGGGGAACTCTTCGGGCGGAAATGTCATCATCTGCCGCGTGACCGATGCTTTTTACCCCTCCCCCACCAAATATCAGCGCATCCCCCCCAGCAGAGCCACACGCACGCCGGCGAAGAAGGAAAAGGTAGGATTTCCAGCGCAGCCTTTGCTTTTTTTTGTTTAGTTTATTATCTTAAGTGGCAGTGCAACTATATATCCTGGCTTTTGCTGTTATTTCTGCCATATATTCCATTTCCCGGTCCTCCCAATTTGCAAAACCCTGGCTAAAGTGTCTACCCTAACGCGCAGTTAAAAAGACCCGTTCGTATCTAGAGCTATTTCCAAACAAGAAAACGGAAGATTTAGAAGAGCAGGCCGTGACAGGAATATAACAATGACTGCGAAAACCCCCGAATTCGAAGCCGCTGTGGAAGCGAGCCGTAAGCTCCTTGCCAAACCGACTGACGACGAGCTTCTCATGGTAAATACACCAATCTTCTTCCCATTTCTTCCCTGATCCAAGGATCAACCACGTCTTCCATAAAGCAATGAGTGGAGCAGAAAGTAGAACGAATAAGCTGACATATATTTTGCTACCGATATAGCTCTACGCTCTCTTCAAGCAAGGCATGCAAGACCCGCCCTTTGAGACTGCCCCGGTCCCAGGAACTTTCGACTTCAAGGTATTCCACTCTCGTCTTCCTCTTTTTCTTCCCTCTTTCCGCCTTTCTGCATCCAGTTCTCAAGTTTCATCCCTCTTTGCTTTTCCTTGCTGAGCTCAAATTCGTTTGATAGGGCAAGTACAAATATAACAAGTGGAAGAGCATCGTCGAGGAGGGTGTGACTCCCGAAGAAGCACAAAAGAGATATGTCGAATTGATCGAGAAATTGAAGGCCAAATACGGTTATGATGAGTCGAAGGAGCCGGAGCAGGTTGGCAGATAAGGACGTGTCTGCTTTATTGTAAAACTAAATATGGATGAATTGCGGCCCTCGAGTGAGGGTTGACTGCCCCCTTGAAGGGGTCAATATCGGGATTTCGAACCGTACTCAGAGGGGATAAATGCTTATTGTCTTTTATGGAGAGGACTGGATCTTTCATGGCCGGTGCTTTGTTAGCTTGTGAATCGTGACTATGGGCCAGAGAGATACTACCACACAGCACGCTGACATATAGACATTTTACACCCGCGATACATGAAGTGCATATTCCCTTGTTTTGTTTCTTTTTCTTTTTCTTTTATTTATTTATTTATAACACTTTTACTGGCCTTGGTCTTCTATTTTGAAAAGGTTAGCCTGTTTGGTAAAAGAATACTTCTGTCTCTATGGGATAAATAACATCTCTAATAATTATACACGGAGTGAGTCATAAAAAAAGTTTCAAGGCACTAATCTCTGCGTCATCCCTCTTCCCAAGTCTGACCTAACCAATCCGGCTCTGTGTGTGTTGCTGTGGCGCACCATGGGATATCCCTAGAGGAATAGGGCTTCAGGGGAAGATTATATGGCATCCGGAAGCCGACGAGCGTTCTCCACGCTTTGGACTTGTCATCTCCTCGCGATGACTCTTCCAGCTCTAGCCTTTCCACTTCTGATAGGCAAGGAGCATTTTGCCTAAAACAGGGTATCATCTGTGCATATTCACCTCTTTCATATGCCTTGGATAACATTTTATCATCACGATCAGCCGTTTGAGGATCGTTAAGGAACAAATCCGGCCACACCAACACCCCAATCTCCCAGCTACAGACCCTGACTTCCTGATTTGCATTGATCGCTGCACCCCATGCTTGAGTGGATAAATTTGCAGATGTCACCATTGCCCAGTCTATCGTGCGCATATCTTCGGCGTCTGAGAAACGTATATAGGTCTTTATATGTGGTGCGGCTCGGCGACGCCCGGCTTCCCGCACAAAGGTATTATTCGGCGTACTCGTGTCAAGTGTAACCGTACTTGATACACTCTTCTCAATATCAGCATTTTGGTTGTTTTCGCAGTCACCAGCCCAGTGACAGAGGTAGGGTCGCATATAATCAAACTGCTTTTGCTGTGCTGCACTTTGAAGCTTCATGTGAATTGACCCGCCGGATCTGTAACCATTTAGAGACCTGCGAATCTCATCGGGGGTGGGAAATATAATTGAGAAGCGGGCAGCTGCCGAAGGAGGACAGAGAGCATTGAAAAAAGTGTCTTTAAGCCATTTATCCGTTTGGCCAAGAGACGCTATGGATGATATCTAATATTCCTTCAGAACTTGAACAGTTTCTTGCAGCTAGGCAATTTAGTAGGTGGAGCTAACCTGAATAACAATTCGTGGTTTTTTCGGCTCACATGACAGCTGTTTATGGGTCGGTATCTGGCGCAACACGTCCTGCACTGCGGGCCAGCCCCATATGGTCTTCTTCTGTGAATCAAGATTCGGAATTTCTTGTCTTGAAGGAACGCTGGCGATCAATGCAGCACGCACTTCATCAAAGTCGTATTTCTTAAGTTGCTCAACTAAGGGGCCTGTCTTTTTTCGGCCATAAGCATCTAGGTAGGCGAGGATGTCTCTTTTAAATCGACGTCCACTGCCAATAATACCAGAAATAGACTGGTCGTAGTCTCTGTCTAATGGCAATAATGGAAGCAGTGGTGATCTCCATACCCCTTGGCACATGTTTGCCCAATCTCCTGGGATCATGTTTGCGGTATGGATGATAATTCTGCAACACATCAACATCCGGGTATAGTAGCACAAAGGACTATTACTTACTGTGCGCAATCATCATGTCGTATCAAGATCATCATTTTCGAATGGTGTGTGCCGAATGGCTCTGGCATGTATGCAATGATTGGTTCCACATTTTGGTAACGGGCACAAGCTTCCTATCGTCATGGGTCAGCATGCCAAAGTATAGATAATATCAAAACAAGGAAACAGGGAGCATTCACGTCGATATAAATTCTATTCGGAGAATCCTTCTTCCAAGAACCGTGAATAACTCGGATCTTAATTAGATTTTTCACATCGGGATCAAACTGTTTCATTAAAAAGTCGATATCAAAAAGATAATTGAACTGCCAACATTCCTTGATCAAGGGGTCACCGAGAATATCCTGCAGCGTTACAGTGTCGCAATTATAGGTAGATTTCTCGGATAAGTCGCGTATATGCGTAAGCTGCACAGGAGAAGAGATAACATTAAACCCAGTTTTGATCCCGATGGGCTCTGAGTGGTTTGCGCGGGGTGTCTCGGAGGGCAATGGCCTTGCCGTCGTTTCCTGCCGCCGGGATGATGCAGGGGGCGTTATTGGCCGACTTAGTGACGATAGTGACGGACTTCCCTCGCCATCGCAGCTAACATTATGTTGCGAAGGCCAACCAGAGTCGTGGGATCGCTTCAGCCGTTTGGCAGAGCGACCATTGCTGGGACCATCTTGTTCCATTTCTACCCTCCAAAGGCCGTGCTTCAAATGCGTAGTAGAGCACAGTCCTTTTTCAATTTCCCCCAGTCTGTGAAACGGATGTTATCCCAGTCGGCAATGGGAAAGCAGCGGTTCCCATCAATTAGTTTTGCGACGGCTCTAATAAAGCCTCATTAGGCAACAGACTATAATTTCGGTTCGTGAGCTGGTCTAATTCCATGGATATGCTCCAACAAGAGCATGCCCTGGGGATTGTCTCGTCGGCGGAGAGGAGCTTTGGTAGGCAGAAGGTGATGTCGCTTTGACTTTCTTAGCGTTTTGTGGGGTTTTAGCGGCGAGGCAAAGTTACCACGAAATACGAAAACCTTAACTATCTTGTGCTCCTCACCACACCGACGTCTCCTCTTCACGCAGGCTAGTGCAACAACGCTGAACTCGGCCGCTTCGCACCGCTTAGCTAGTCAGTCACCGACTTGGCATAGAGCTGGCTATGAATCCCTCATTTCTACGAGCGGGCTGCTGGCCTGCTGTTCAAGGTAACAGCGTGTACCCAACCAATCAACTTGGCATTCATTAACTCATATCAAAAGGATTGGAGGATCTTAGGAGGGCTATCACCGAAAGATTGCGGAGTCTTCCCGCATGAGAATTGCCAAGCTGATTTACGTCTCCCGGAGCGGATTATTGGCCGTGAAATGCGGTTTGCAGAATGCTAAAATATGGGTCACAAAGTTGGAGAAACGCGGAGGCGAACGCATATGTTTTGATTCCACCCATCCGCCCCAAACCCAGCTGAGGGACAATTCTGGAATCCTTCTGTCTCAGTTAACATTCATGAATATGGCCGTTATGCGAACATGCCGAATATACAATATCAAACACCGAGTGTCTCGGGCGAACCTACATATTTGGGGGCCGTATGTCAGGAATCTCTCAATACCTTCCTCTGACGGCACTCGATGACTCGGGAATGAGGATATGATTGTTGTTTGCAATCTCTATTCAGGCTTTTGTCTGGACCATGAACTGGTGGCAGCAGAGCAACGCTCCCCACACTAGTGTCCTGATCCCCGAATGAAACCATGCTAGACTAGAAGCTAGGATGGACATACCATTTTCGTCAAAGTGTATGGATAGCTGCGCTCCATCTTGTCATTGTGCCCAACTTCTAGTTGCATGGACCTCGTTCTGAGGAGCTCGCCCGACTATTTGAATGTTTTTCTGGTTTTAACATCGTGCCATTCCTCAATTTCTTCGCCAGAAACTAATTCTGCGGACCGAGCGAGAAAGGATATAAAGACCCCTCACAATGATCCGTTGCTACGTAATAGCTATTCCCCGCTCGTGCAGATAGAGCTTCTGAGGGATACATCTTTAGCGGTTGTCGCTGTTTCTCTTTTCACTTTTGAGGAGCTTATTGACATCCAACGTTGAGGAGCAAGTGCAACCAACCTCCCATTAAATGCATCTATTTTTTCAGAGCTCACGATCGATCCCAATTCGACATTATGTCTTCAGAACTCGACCAGATCCAACCAAGCCACCACCAGCCAAGTATGTCCGTTCTTCCGGCCGGCGATATTCCAGTGATGGATCACAAGATGGATGAAGACGAGAGGATCATCGTGTCTCTTGGATACAAACAAGAATTCAAGCGTGAATTTTCGCTCTGGACGACTTTCTGCGTTAGTTTCTCCGTTCTGGGGTTACTACCTTCGTTTGCGAGCACTCTATGGTACGGTGAGTGCTGACCAATGATTGCTCCCAAATGGGCTTACATGAGTGTTGTTATTAAATATAATTGAAGGCATGGGATATGCTGGCACGGCAGGAATGGTATGGGGCTGGATCATTGCAATGATATTCATTCAATGCGTGGCCATGGGAATGGCGGAGCTTTGTTCGTCAATGCCCACAAGGTGTGTGTTTGTGTTTACACCCCTAGCCGTATGATACTGAGATTAATTCATGTGAGTCAGTGGCGGCCTTTACTACGCTGCTGCTGTTCTCGCTCCCGATGGATGGGGTCCATTTGCGGCATGGGTAACCGGGTGGTCGAATTGGATGGGCCAGGTGATGGCAGCGCCATCTGTCAACTATGGCACGGCGGGCATGATTCTTGCTGCTGGTTCGATATATAATCCCGATTATGTGCCGACGCCTTACCAAACCTTTCTGTTGACCACTTTTATCATGTTGATTCACGGGGTGCTTAGCAGTATGCCAACGAGATGGATTGCTGAGGTTAATTCGTATGGATCAACCTTCAACATCATCTGCCTTATCATCGTCCTCATCGCCATTCCTGCGGGAACTACGAATTCCCCGAAGTTCAACTCATCGGCCGATGTTTGGGGAACAATATATAAAGGGACCTCGTTTCCTGATGGTGTTGCAGTATTGATGTCGTTTGTTAGCGTGATTTGGACCATGTCTGGTTATGATTCCCCGTTTCATTTGAGTGAAGAATGCTCAAATGCGAACATCGCCTCCCCCAGGGCTATTGTCCTCACTTCGGGAGTGGGAGGACTCATGGGATGGTTCCTCCAGGTCGTTGTGGCATACACCGTCAAAGATATTGACGAAGTGTTGATGTCTGAATTGGGACAGCCGTGGGCATCTTACCTGTTCCAAGTGATGCCGAGAAAGGCAGCAGTTGCTATACTGGCATTAACAATCATCTGCGGCTTTTCAATGGGTCAAGCTTGTATGATCGCTGCATCCCGGGTGACTTACGCATATGCTCGCGACGACTGCTTTCCGTTATCAAGGATTTGGAAGAAAGTCAACAAACATACGCAGACTCCAGTGAATGCAGTCTGGTTCAACTGCGTAGTCGGCATTCTGTCCACTTTGCTGATATTTGCCGGTGACCTTGCAATGGGTGCCCTATTTTCGATCGGGGCTATTGCCGCGTTCGTCGCATTCTCCATTCCAATTGGCATTCGTATCTTTGTCGTCAAAGAAAAATTCCGACCTGGTCCTTGGAATCTAGGAAGATATAGTCGTGTAATTGGCGGAACGGGGGTGTCGTTTGTGATCTTGATGCTACCGATTCTCTGTCTTCCCGCTTATACAGGTTCGGATTTGACGTAAGTCTCGTTGCACCCCTTATCATTTCTCCTTGCCAGCGGTAGCAACCTGTGGGATAACAAACCATGCACTACAGGCCAAAAGAAATGAATTGGACTTGCATCGTCTATGGCGCCCCTATGATCGGCGTGCTCATTTGGTGGATTGTTGATGCAAGGAGGTGGTTCAAAGGGCCGAAAGTCAACGTTGAACATCACATGTTGGATCGTGTGCAAATTGGAGTTGATCGAGTTGACACTAAAGGCTCTGAGAAAGAGGCAGTACAGCAGCTGGAATCTGTTGATGTCTAATGTGTGGAGGATATGTATGCATTTTTGATCTAGGTTTCTTTATGCACATATCAATTCGGCCTCTCCATTTGTTTATGTTGATTTTATTAGGAGTTCAACTCTCCTCTAGGCTCATGGCATTAAATGTTGTGAAACACAGAACTGTTATTGATGATCGTCATAAAACCACTAACTGTTTCCAACTTTATATGTTCCCTTCAAAGCAACATTAGGACTGGCCTGTGTTTGTTTTGTTTGCTTCTTGCATGCACTCCTTCGGCTCAAATCCTGCGTCCTTCCGCGACGCCGCACTTCAAGTTCCAATCCAACATATAGCTGAGGCTCCAGTCCAGATATTTGTCTTCCTCCAGACACCTAGGAAAGGCCAAAAGGGTTCTCCTGTCGATAGCTAAGCCTCTACACAGATTTCCCTGACACGCCTAGCAGCTAGACCGCAAAATCGGAATTAGTGTGTTGTGTATTCTGGGCTGAATAGAGTACTCCGTTTAACTAGAGCGGGCGCGGATGTATACAAACACAAGCTGGGCGTAGACTCTGCCTCGCGGCAACGTTGAACTCTGTTGACCAGGTCAAGATTTTCCGAGGCACATGAAGTTGTTGAAGGGACAGAACACTTGGGACGATACAAAAAAGGGAACCCTGTGCGACACGCCTATGGCTGGAGGCGATTGAGCATACGGCAAATGCCACCTTTAGGAGATATCTTCTTTTACCCAAGAGGAACGTAGGCCAAAATGGGAACGTTTAGCTTCTTGCAAGTGGCGACAAACTCCGTTGAAGAGGACGTCGACGACCCCTCCGTGCAGGGCCGAAAATATCAATATTCTTGGTGCCGTCTAGAACTCGATTGCATTCCTTGGCGCGGGTACGTATGCTGTCATACATGTCCGGATAAAGGGGTTATCTGGCGTCCGTTTTCGGGATTCTCCTCAAAGCACTGGCGTAGAAAAGACAAATGTGTCATTTTCTCCTCAGGCCATATACCGGAAGGTACCAATATTCGCAATCACTGCCTTTATTGCAGCGAAAGCGTATCATTCATCAGGAATGAGTTTTCGAGCGCCAGGTTGCTCCGAGCAGGACACGCCTAAAGTCTCGGGTACAACAAGGCAGCCTCTAGTCCCCAGGGCTATGATCTCAGGCACTCAGCAAAAAAAAAATTCAAAGGAGAGATCTCATCTGTAGCGAGTGTGAAGTCACCAGAAAGGCTACTTGTAGTGATGTAAAGGGCAAGCGTGTAGACTCCATTCTTGAACCCTTGTTAAACGTAATCAGCATAATGAAGCGTCCATTAAAGTCAACATCCCTAGTTCCTAATTGCGCTAGCCTTTCTATGACCAGCGTCCCAAGACAGCTTACCCCTGAACTGGGTAATAGTGGTTATAATGCATTCAAAGATCCAGAGCACGGTCTGGATGTGTCTCTCCTATCCCGTCGGTGATCCCTCCAACAAGAAGGGCGTCTTTGACAATGGTCATTGTTGTAAGTGGCACTTCCCTGGACTGCTCAAAATGCTCCGATGCCCATCGTAGATACGCTGCGAACGTTCCTGGCTTGCGGTCGGCATCACAGTTCTCTGGCTGACCCCAAATCGTAGCCAGGTACTCTCTCCCATGCACAAAAAGCCCATGGGATGCTTTCAGGATCGAACACATTTCTAGAACGCTTTTGACAAACGCATCTGCTTCTTGATACTGTTCATCGTCCGGAGAAGCACCCTCTCGGAATGTTGACAGCAGCTCGAACTGCTTGCGGCCGTCCCAGTTAGTCAGAATCTGAGCCCAATAGACATCCCTAACCCCGTCAAGGATAAGGGCCTTGTTTTCGAAGAATTCAGGCCCATCCCAACCAGTAGTAGGTCCTTGAGGTGTCTAAGGCGCTCGAGGCAGAAAATATGAGCGAGATAATCTGCAATTTCCTCATACGTGAAGATGGGCCTCTCCCCTTCCGGCGCGGGTACTTGATATTTCGGCAAGTGTTGTAATAATGGATGATTGCGCATGGAATCGCAATTGGTCACTGCCTTCCAAACCTCGAGAAAGATATTGTGCCAATATTTAATGCATAAACTGCCCTTTTGACCGGCAATAAATCCGTTGTAGAAAATCGAAGACTCCGGGCCCATAGGAAAGCCATAACCGGCCATTTCAAACGGCGGGTTCGGGTCTTCTAACAGATTCCAGCAAAGGGTGTCAAGGCTTTTGAACAGGAATGTTCCAACATCCATCCAGACTCCGCCATAGAGGTAAACGAGTGGAAGTCGGACAAGATCACCGCTATGTGGCCCCACGTGTGTACCCGTCATTTTCTGGTTAATAACCGCGTCTGCGAGGAAAGAGGAGGGCAAGTATTTCAGGGCATGTGTCGGAGAACCTTCGACAAGGTCAAGGACCCGCACCGTCCACGCCGGACCGAGACGCCGAACCCAAATGATGACATTTCTCTGGCACCATTGCGGGCAATTGGCGAGCCCACGATTCCAAAATGCCCAGACATTGCGCTCCGAGGAGCTCACGGGCTTGAATGTCTGCAGGTCTGGGATTATCTCGGAGTCAGATCTGGTATCCCGTGAAGCATTGGTAAGTTGAGAACTGTCTCGAACAGAACCCACGGCGAAGAAAGGGAAAGGATTTCAGGCGTATCTTGTCAGGAGGTAGTGTAGGTCAGTAGACGATTAAATATAAAGGGACGACCTTTCCGTAGCCATCAGATTTGACCCGTGGATTTTGGGAAAGCGAGGAGACTTTATGTACTCCTCTCGGAGTTCCCAATTCCGCAACGACAAGACGGCCAGGGTTATACTTCGACCAGTGGGATCGCTTTGCAGATTTGCCGGCTTTCATTGTCAACAATGACAAGGATTCCCCGCGATTGCCACCGCAAAGGGAAAACTGTGATACACCTATCAACAGCAAGAGAGTAACTCTCAATCTCCTTCTTGTTACCTTTGCCCCTATCAGACGGGTAAAAGTTAGCCATTTGATGTGCCCACGGCATCGCAAAATTCATCGGCGACCAGCTACTCTTGATTTCAGCTCTTGTTGAATTTTCGATTTCAGCTGGGCTGGTCCCGACTGTTGGTACAGGGATCTTCAATTTGTTAATCCACCTCAGCGATTGGTGACCGGATTTTTGAGGAATAGGATTTGAAAGGTGAGAACACAGCCCCATGATCAACCTCTCATGGGTACTTGTTAGATGCGAATTGATCCCAATCGGGGGTTCACAGCAATTCTGTTGGACCAGACAACACCCATGGTTAGAATTGCGCTGGCGGAACCTCTGAAAATGAAGTTGCATATCGTCCATAGCTGCCCGAGGGTGATCACACATTGCAATGGCTCATGGGAAACGCCGGGTCATCATTATCACAAGCACAGCGGGGATATATGTAAACCTTGTCCAAAGTATAGAGCCAAAATCACACCTCAGAGCACCAAAGGGCTCTCTTCACCCAAAATGTGAGAAATTTATGTAAGTAAACCTGCCACGGGGCATAAAAGCAAGTAGGTACATCAATAATCTAAAGCATCTTGTACAAATCCATGCATGTGAATCGTTGCGGTCCATGAAACTCCCCAGCTCTAATCACCGAGCGTTATATATCGATTTTTTTTTTGCAGCTTTCCCCAGGTGTGCTAAGACCATACAGCACTCCATACCCAGGAACCAGGAAAGAAACACCTTGTCTATCAGGCCCATGCCCTCCCCAAACCTATATTGACATAGAACAAGATCAACATAGAAATAGCACAAGGGTATACATGATTGCCATGAAATATCCCTGCCATGCAAATAGCCAATTAAATATTTTCTCAAAACATATAAAATCCCACGGCAAACATTCTATCCACTGAATGGATATGCTGTGTGCATCAAGATGATTTGTGACGAAAAAAATAAATTCAAATGAAGGAGATATCTCCCTCGAGAAGAGAAAATCGCAAAATGAGGTAGTCATGAGAATATTCCCGCCTTGCAGCTATCTCCTCGTCATGAATTCCAACTGCCGCGCTGGTATTTCGGCAACGATTCTCCTTCAACTTCAGCCTGTGTACCCGAGACAGGATGGCCGAAAATATCCTCTTCTGTGAGAGCTGGTGCAGATGGTTCAAAGTTGTTTGAAAAATCACCTTCATGGATGCGAGCGTAACCGTAATCACCAGGGGAGCTGGCTTCATTTAATAGACGCTGTCGCTCGAGTTCCTGCTTGTCATCTTGAACACGCGACTGAGGTACGGTGTTATTCAAACTTGCGTTGTTCCTGGCAGCTTCTGGCCACGCGTGAGCTTGAGGATGGCCTGAAGGAATTGAGGGAGGTGAGTGATCATTCGTAATGCAGTAAGTTGGCGTAATTGTATCCGTGGAGGGGGCAGATACAGAAGGTGAAGTGTTGCGATTTACGGGGTTAAAATCGTTGTGATTATTGCGGGTGTTTGCGGGTTGATAGTTGGAATCGTCTTCGGAGAGGACGGGCGCGGAAGGTGGCAGTCCATGCGGTGCGGAAGACGGACCAGCTACATCGCCTTCGTGGGGTGGTGGCTCGCTGGGGAGAAGCATTTCCTCAGCACGGCGTAATCTCGTCTTTTCGTCAACATTCTCTTCCGGCTGGGCGGGTGGGATAAACATAGGAGGGGGGGAATCGGGGGAATAGTCGCTATGCGGAGGAGGGTGGTCTGGCCAGTCTGAGGTTCCGGCGGGATCGTATCCGTTGTGGGGCGGCGGGGATTGGCTGGCGGATCGCGTATGGCGAGGTGTAGATTGTTGTTCTTGCAGGTCGTCAGGCGATGTGGATTGCTGGTGGCTCTGATCCGAAAGCGAAGATGCGTCTTGACGCTGGCCACGGGAGCTATCTTTCGATCCGACGACGATCTCGAAAAGACATACAATGACGCTCTTATCTCTCCGAACCTGTTCGGTGTCAAGGATGTTGCCGGCAACATTGGAAGTTGTCATGCCACGCTGAATTTCCGCAGCAGTATTCATCTTGCCATTGCCATAAAAATTATTGCTCATCATGTTCAATCTTGGAAGAAACCGATCCTGACCCGCCAGTTTTCCTCGGATATCCATCACCACCTCTACATAGTAACGGAAGCTAATCATCGCGCCGGGCACACGCGTGATCGTCGGAAATGCGTTTTCCGGGATACGAATCGATGTTTTAATCTCAGCGGTCATGGTGTTGGGGTCGACGATCAATGGACAGAATATTTGCGACAAGTCCTTACGGAAGACACTGCTTGTCCGCGTCACACCAAAACTCAGGCCACCCAGTCCAGTGCGCGACTTTGGGTAGTAATCTTCATAAACGGGTTTCTTCCCTTTCTCAGGCGTGCCAATCGGTAACTGCGGATACATATCAATTCTTCCTTGCCTGTAGAGAGTGATGATGACTCCGTTGGGGCTTCTGATGGGCTTCGTGTGTTTGATCGAGATATTCACTGGCAAGAGGTCACCCGGGAGCACACCAGCGCGCAGTACCTTTGTTGTAGCAGTGATTTCTTGGCTAGCAGAAGATGTTGCACCACTCCACAAATCATCGTTTCGTTGGGCGCCGCACCTGGCAGAGCTGGGTTCGCTGACGATTTGAAAGCTCTGGGTGCTATTACTAACGCAACTTGAATTGCTTCTTTCGCTTGGTACGGGGCTAAGAGGCGGGCCCGAGTCAGAAGACTGCGGTTCGAGAGACGACGCCCTTCGGGGCATTTCGCTAGATGTAGACTTTGTTTTCGACCTTGTCTTTGACCTTTTTGATATAGGTTCTAGGGATATGACACGGGGCTTTGGAGGGGGTAAGTTTGCGATATCAATGGTTTCGAGGAGTAGGATCCGCTTGTCACAGCTTATAGTGGGGGAAATGGTGGTTGGACGGGTTAAGGTAGAGGTGATCACATAGGAGATTGTACCTCGTTCAAACTAAGAGACGCGAGATTTAGCGTAATTACACAAAAATATTCAATGTTATTGAAGGGGGAGCACTTACGTTGATACTACTCGGGAGGCTGTAGGGAGGGAAGCACAGCTCAAAACGAAATTTATAGATTCCCTCCTTCAATCGGCCATCGCCGCACAACACAATCTCATCCTCGAATAACGTCGCCAAACCGTTCCCGAGGTATTCGCCATTTCTTCGCCCTCTTCCCGTCCCTGGAAATCCGGAGTCCTCCGCTGTCTCTCCCGGAGCGACTGGATTCTTGTAGACTTTCGCATAGCCATGCAGGCAGACGACCAAATGTGTAATCCGAACGGGTTTGACGACGACCAAGCACACTGAGCCATCCACGATATCTCCGGGCGAGTACGACCTCCAGGGATCATCTGGCTGAATGTAGAACTCGGAAATGTTCCTGTTTCGATTGCCGAATCGGTTTGTGAACTTGGATAGAATGGAGCGTTTCCGGGCGGGGGAGGCTGAAGTCGCGTCGCCATTGGGGGAGTCTAAAGCCATGGCCGGTGGAAACGAGTTGACTCCATAAGCGTGCTTGATGCCCGGGTTGATTGGAGGTGTGGTTTGATCGGCAGAGGAGTCGGATGGGAGAGGAACAGGGGATAAGAGAGGACACGAAGCGCCCCGCCAGCGTCAGCATTCGATGTCGAAGAGGGAGTGAACGAAGCGCAAGAGACTTGCGGGCGAAAGACGGTAGGGTCAGGGATTTTGATAATCGAACGAATATGTACAGGGTGATCTGGGGAGGAAGAGCGGGAGTAGGTCATAGAGAGAGGGCGAAATCAGATGCGGCAGCGGACTCGACGACGGTGACAGGGGGATTCGAGCGGCATGGTTCCGCCAGCATGGAGATGAGAGCGAGCCAGGAGTGATCGGCCTGGCAGATGGGAGGAAATAGGGAAAAAGAAAGTGAGCAAAGACAGCGAGAGAGTGGGAGAGAGAGGGTGAGGGAGGGAGAAAGACAGAGTGAGAGGATGCCCGGGCTGTGAAAAGGGAAAAAGTACGCCAGCAGGTCGTTAATGTGGAGATTCAAGCCCTTTGGTTACAGCAGCGAAACCCCCCCTGTCGGCTCGTATCTTCTACCAGTATTGCTTCTGCCTCTCGTCTGCTTGTCCGGTCTTCCTCGAGTGGTCACGTTCTAGACTGCGTTGCGGGAAGTTAACCCCGTACTCTGTCCCTACGAGCGCCCTGACTGAGGTCTCTCGGTGCCCGCGCGTCCCTCGACACACGACGAGGTGGCAACGACCCCCCCCGGAAAAGAAAGTTTTTTTGGAGGATGGGGGCGTCTCGGTTGGAGAGTCAGACATCGCCCGGTGGTGAGTGGCTCGCTTGGGACGGTCAAGCTTCGCCAATCTCAAGGCTTGTCGAGGCTTGCTGAGTCGTGTCTCGAATCCTGCTGGTCCATTTTATGAACTCTCTTAACTTTTTTCCCACCATCTCAGGACTTACTAGGGTTCCTTAGCCAACCAGAGAAGAGAAACCGGCTCGCGCTCTGGAATCATCTTCGAGAATGCTCCGTGTAAATGCTACATCACTGCTTTCCCCCCACCCCCGGTCAAGGGTGTCGATAGATCTCGGAGCGACTCTACAGATGTACGAGCATTCTAATTAACTCCCAGACTTCGTCTTTTATCCGCGGTGTTTACTCCGTACCAAGGATCAATTCAAGCCCCCGTCCCTTAATCTAGGCGGGCCAAAACAGTGTCTGTACTCCGTACTTTCTGGACAGTCGCTTGTTTGCTTTGGCAGCGAATATCCTGGCTCCCTTGGGGCACAGCACTGGTGCTTAACCGAGGGTCCTGACCATCATTCACACCAAAAAGTTACGGCCCGAGCAGTGTGCCCAATTCCTCCAAAATCCTCCGAAGATGGAGCAAACAGAACGAGATCAACAAGTGGGACCAAAACCCTATATACCGTACATGATGTACGGAGTACCCAGACTGAAAGTAACTCTGTAACCCCGGAGTGCCAGCATTCATGGTCGCGTCACAGCCCAAACTACCAACCTGTCAAATCTGTCTGTCATTTCATCACAAGAATCAATCCTCATGAACTTTCTGTGGGGGTATTGATGGCTGCTCCATTCTCAGCATCCTTGCCATGACCTTGTGCCTCAACGCTTAACATTGTTAGCTATTCAATAGTTCGACTCAGGATCGGTCCTCCGTACATCCGAGGGCGCCTCCACCTTATTACGACGCCCACCGATCTTGCAGTT